GACTGAATAAATGCGTGCGAAGTTGAATATTGACAAGTAACATTGTCGTGCGACACAAATCGTTTACATATGTATCGCGATTAATGCTTGCGAAGGGATCAGGCTTTCCAAGAATATTATTGTTGAGTCATTATTATATCGGGTGTGATTAAATTAATCTGTTTGTGTTAGGACGAGTTCATCCCTGACGGTAAAACTAGTAATTAAAATAAAAAAATATAATTAGTTATAAAATGGAAAAAAACAATTTCTAGTGCCGTCCTTTAAGGGCCTACATCTTCATAGGGAAGTATAGGGGGCATTCTTATAAGAACTTGTGATATGTAACATCTGAAATTTATTCTGTGGTTTTCATGCTGATAACCATCCAAGTTTGGATGGCTGCTAAATGAAACCACATATGTTTGAAATACTGTTTGCCGATAGATTGAGGATTAAGAATTTATCTTTCGGGATACTCTATATAGAAAGTTATTAAAAAGTATTGGGATCTGGTCTATTTCATTTTAGAACTGAACTTGACAGGATATACGAGTATGATCGCACAACCATTTTAAACTAAAAATAGAGTACTTTTTTGATCTAAAAACAGGTCTCTCAAAGCAAAATAGTCTAGTGAGTCTGAGAGATGTTTTTCACATTCTGGAACACCCTATAAAAATTATTAAACGGTATTGTGATCTCATTTTAAAGCCGAGCTTAGCATATGAAGTATCATAGTTCAGACGTTTAAAAGCAAAGATGATTACAAGTATTTTCTATTAAAAACTGGTGTTGCAAAGGGCAAAATATTAAGATAACTCCGCGAGATTTTCCCAGGGATTTTCCTCATATTTTGGGACATCCTATAAGCAGTTTTTATTTCCCCTCATAATTTAACAAATTTTTTTGAATTTCATTTTTGGGTAGCCAACAGAATTAAAAAAGGCTGGAAGGGATGTACCAAGTATTACCTTTTTTAAATGGCCAAGTAGTAGTGGGTATTTTGACATTATATTTTTGGAACAATTGTTTTTGACATAATTTTTAATACTATTTATTATATTACACAAGAAGCAAATTTGTAAGATATTTGAAAAGTCATACACTTGAATGTACATATACACTCTAGGAAAACAAAAAAAAAAAACATAAACTAATCTCAAAATACTCTACAACTTTAATTCAGATAATTGACCACTAAGATTATAATTTTTAAAGGAGTTTTCAGCATAGTAACTCAGATCAAATTTGTTAAAATTTTTTCAAATAAATCACAAGTTCTTTTCCCCAGAATTTTTTTTTGGTGTCTTGGATCATTGCAAGCAAAAAAGGCTTACATTAACTTTTCTCTAAAGCTGACCATTTTCGAGTTGCAAGTGATGTAATGTCTGAAAAGCTCTACAAATGGGTATATTAAAAACTTGGTGAAAAATATCTTCGAGGTCGACGGTATCTATATATTTATTTTATTTTAAAGTGATTTTTAACCTTATTTGTTAGGCCAAAATGGGCAAATCATATAGCACAAAGCGTTGGCTCAAGTTACCAACAAGTTTGCTTGTTGGGTTATACTGAACTATATGAATTGTGACCAAATGACACAAGTGTTATTGAAGAGTGATTATTAGATACAAAGAGCAAAATTGAAAATATGGAGTATCATTACAAAGTATAGAATAAAATGGATTTGCAGGTATTATGGAGGTTAATGCCTAGAATATTGTGATTTAATGGTTTTTCAGCCATTCTGTGGTATGTATCTTTGAAACATACAACAACTTAATGAAATTATTTTGAAAAACCTGGTTTTTATTTGGTGTCATGAATTGGCTATATGAAACCAGGATAATTCAATATCATTGTCCTCTTGATAAATACCTAAGTAGACTCAAATTTAGTGTAGTTCGAATAAGTGCAACAAAGGTAGTGAGAGTCACAGAGTTATTTATCTTAGTGCACTCTGTAGAGTTGTAACCAAGGACACAAAAGTTGATCTTAAGAATTTTGTGCTAATAGCTGAAACAACACTGTACTATCAAAAGTGTCCATCATGGGTTAAAGGTTGTTTTAGCTTGAATCATCAATTATTTTAAATAATTTAGGTGAAATTATTTCAGGTATTGCACTGGATGCTCCGATAAGTACCACTGTTGTCAGTTTCAAAAGGACATTATGGCAGAAATTCAACAGCTTTTAATAATAATTCTCAGATATTTGTATTCTCCTACATTATACAATGTTCATTATGATAATACACTTCTCAAATTTTTGTCTTTGATAGAAAAATAATAAATGTTAGAAGCAGTGAGCTTCACTGACTTCAAGCTATAATATTCCTCAAGAAATATTTCTGAGCAAGTACGTACATTAGAGGTTTCTGCTGCATCATTAAAAATAAATGCCAAAGCATGTACTTATCTATTGAACTTATGTGATGTTTTTTGAAACTGTAAATAATGGAGTTTACAAATATGATGCCCTCTAAACGCTCTCAGGAATACTAGCCAACTTTCCAAAGTTATATAAATAATGGAAATATATTATGCACCCTTAAAATAACTAGTAACACTATAAAAGAATGAAATAAGGTATTCAACCACGGACCCACTCAATAAACCTTATACCACTACACAAAGAAAATTTGACATGTGTTAGAAAAAAGAAAACAAACGAAATGCCCACTTCACTCCATGTATCTGATTTTCAACCTTGCAGATGTCAACATGGATCACTTGATAGCTGCGAAAATAAAAAAAAGATTCGCTGAAACATGCTGAAAATAGTTGCTTAAAAGCAGTGGTTTTTAAACTTTTTTAAAGGATGATCTTTGGTATTGACGTTTTATGGATCCACTTGACCAGACAAAAAACAAGTCACGGTTTCACATAAAATGGAATTATCGTTGGTATGAATGGCATATCAAACTTACTTAACATATAAACTGGAACAAAAACGCATATTTGTGCATTTTTGAGCGATCGTTAGCGCACTTTCTTGAGCACGACTAGTAAAAATTGCAAAATGTCACACCCAAACGGCAAATGTATTTCATAACTTACCCGAATAATGAGCTCGATCTCTGGGACGTCGCCGTTTTCTACTTGTCCGTTTTCAGTCACTTCGTCTGCCATTTCGATGTTATAAGTGTATCACTAATAAAAAGGCACTGGGAAAAGGCAAAAATGGTCGGACTTTTTCACGGAACAGTCTATGGTGGTCACGTCACTGCAATCAACCTTCAACCACAGCTTCAACACTAGGACAAAATGAAAATTTTGCTGTTAGCTGTTGGCGGTTTGAGATTGCGATTGCGATCACATCACGACAGTCTTGTGACCGTTACAGTGTTGCCAAGCGTCGGATACACAATGGTCTGTGAGTGTATAGTTTGGTAAACAAGGACCTTCATGTGCGCAAATCGTGACCATTTTCTGTGACTGCACTTTGGAAAAGGCCTTAAAGCTAGTAAAATAATATTACATCATATTTTTTTTGGCCAGGATCATATGGAAGTCAAAAAGAAAACTATAAGACAAGTGTCGGAAGTCTCATTAACCCCTCAAGGTTAAAATATATAATATTTGCAAGCAAAAAAAGCAACACAAACATTTTTCGAAAGAGGCGAAAGGCAATGCAAAACGCAGTTTCCCAGGACTCTCGAATCGCGAGGTTTCTCTCCCCAGTCCACTATTCTCCAGTTTTATATTATCTAACATTGGCTAACGTATTGTATTGTACCTGTCTACCTGTAGCCTGTAGGTAGCCAACCATGTACAGGTGAGACAAGTGATTGAAGAATCCTAGCGCCATCTATGAGATAGTAACAGAACCAAGCACTCTAAATATTTTTAAAGTGGGTTTCTAATTATTGTGTTCTGCTACTCTATCATAGAAGGCTCTAATAAACCCTATTTCCTGAGTATCCATCACGTTTTGACGTCTACTGAGGTGATTAGCTGATCAGCAAGTGACACATTTGTATTAGTCTCTAACGTTGCCAATAATGAATCGGGTGAAAATCTAGTAAAACTTGCTTGTAACGTTTTAATTTTTCGTAAGCAAATTAGCTTATCTGAATAAAAGAGAGTTGTAAGCCAGTACAAAATGGATCCGTAACGAATAAAAAACAAAAGAAAATACGGCTCTGTCTACCTGGTGCTGACGTATCCATCAGAGCTATGTGACATTTGTCGATGTGTGGAATTGTAAAATATTACTAGATAATCAGCTGTTATTGTTATTCTACAGTAATGTAAACTCCTGAAAAATACAATATCTTCCAGATCCCTTTTTAGACTCGGAACACAGTATATTTTTGGTTATCTTCAGGTGGAATACGCGCCCATTACTGCTATCTGAACTTAAATATTATAGATTGCAGTCAAAAATCGGAGCAATAATTTTCAGAAAAAAAATGTTGGATTAAAATACTATTAAATGGAAATATTTACCGGTATATTAGAAAAACCTTATAAAATTGTAGCTACTGAGTAAAGTTTTATCATTTGGCAACATCCTACATAGTGATACATGGTAACTTGGTTTATTTGTTGCTTTAAGCTCGCCTCATAGCAGATGTCAAATATATCTCAGAACCCGGATTCTGACCTCTTCGATATGGGACGAACTAGATATGGCGGAATCAACCAACGAATTCGAATAGATTTAAAGTGCAAAGCCTATATGTTTACATTGCAATTTTAAATGACTAATTCCTGTTTTGAAAGTAAAAGTTCATATTGTTTTTGAGAATTTAAAAATTAGTATTGATTCGTAGACATGCACTTGAATGTGATACATGGTGGCCACATTGCAGTGCGCATATTGACTATTGATAAAATTGACCGGTAAGTAGTGTGGGCTCATGAAAAATTCAGACAGCTGTTTTTTTAGTATTATATTAGACTAATGGCTATAATTTATTAGAAGTAAATTCTCAAAATGTATGCCAAGGTCCGCCACACATAAACAACATTGACGTAAAAAAAATTCAAGTCGGCGAAACGCCTGTCGATTGCCTAATTGCTGTTATTGCTGCCCTCATTTTCTGGCGCAAATCTTGAAGAGACGTACTCGCTGGAGCATAAGTAATCTCTTTGAAGTATCCCTAGATGAGAAAAATCAGTAGGGTTGAGATTTGGGGATTTAAGTGGTCTATCTATCTATCTATCTCTATCTATCTATTACCGCAACAGTCAAGTCATCGTTGGTTGTCAGAGCGGTCCGTGGGACCTTAGCTCTTGAGTCACAGTGTCAGTTTGTAAGTCTGTCAGGTCTGGTAACCCAGAAACCAGACAATTTTAAGGAAAAAAGGGAAGGAGAGAAGGAAGAACGAGAGCAAAGGGGAAGAAGAGAATCTTTTAGGATAGGCAGCGTTTAGGCATTGTTAAAATCACGTCACAGATTTTGATATGGCCTAAAAATATTCGATTTTTTCTAAAGATTTTGTCAAAATGCTCCAATTTTGGATGTTCTAAGTTCACGAATTAATCTTGATTACAGTGCGAGCCGCGGCCTTTTGTGCTTGCGAACTTGCTCGACTGTGTCGTCCATTGACTCACGCAACAGAGTGTTGCTGTGCGATTCCGCTAGGCTATAGCGCCGCTGCGCCTGTTGCCTAATGTAGCCCTCGAGGTCTCTATGTAGAGTTTCGTTAGAGACGTACTATGGGGCGTCAGCAATAGTGCGCAACGCCCTGCTTTGCAGAACCTGCAGATTTCGCATGTGTGTTTTAGCAATAAAACACCAAGCCGCACATGCGTAAGTCATTGCTGGTCTTATGACCACCTTATAGAGTCGAATCTTGTTAATCAAACTTAATTTTGGACGTTTACATAATAATGGGTAAAGCTGTCGAAACGTAATTTGTAATTTAGTTTTTAGCGCTTCTATATGGTTTCGCCAAGTCATCCCTTTGTCCAGAATGACACCGAGATACGAAGCGGAGGATTCCCATGGTATACGAAGTCCATTCATTGAAACTTCAGACGGATCGCCGCGACGTCTTTTTGTTTGTTAATTTTAATTAGCCACCGATCCGCCCAATCTAATACTTCCTCCGCCGCACTTTGCAGCCTGTCATGGTCTGGGTTCTAGGTCACCAGACCACGACTGAGCCACCAATGCAGTATCGTCAGCATGGAGGTAGACTTCACAGTTGCTGGGGCTAGGGACGTCATGGATGCACAGTGAGTAAAGGATAGGTCCAAGGACCGAACCCTGAGGGACGTCGGCTGTAATCAGCCGTGGTGTCGACAGGACATTGTCAATTTTTATCCGAAATTTCCTACCTTCAAGGAAGGATTTCAGTAGTTTTAGAAGCCAAAAAGCGAAGCCCTTTTAGATTAGTTTATACAGGAGGCCCGCTTGCCACACCTTGTCAAATGCTTTTGAGACATCCAAAAGCAAGGTGCCAGTACTTTCGTTAAGGGTGAATCCTCTGGTTACTGGTTCCACCAGCCTAACCGCCTGTAGCTCCGTACTATGTTCAGACCGAAAACCGAATTGCACGTCAGGAATCACTTGGTGATCTGACGAGAAATTCTCAAGGTGATGTAGAATCACCATTTCAGCTTAGACGGAGCTGACAGCAGGCTAATGAGACGATAATCCTGGGGCAATATCGAACCCACCTTCTTTGGAATCATTATAACTTCAGCGGTCTTCCACGCGGATGGGAAGTACTGGGTCTTTAGCATGGCATTGACTATTGCCACGAGATAAGTTAAGGACTTCCGCGAAAGCAGCTTCAACGCCTTATTAGTGATTTGATCCTCCCCAGGTGTTTTACGCACTTTAAGGTCTTTAATATGACCTTGAATCTCTGCTGGTGTGCAATGCGGGATCTAGGGAGGTTCCGCTGATGTGCTAAGCAGATCTTCGGTTGAGGAAGCTTCTGAAGAAGAATCTTCTGATGAAGAAAAAACACCAACGGTAGCGCGACTGTCACTGTCGCCGTTGGCCCTAAAATATCTCTTGACAGATCTTACGATGTGTTGCTCCTTGTCGAGGTCATTATCAAGATCATAGTTGGGAGAGAACTGTCTTTCCATGGCATCAGCGAAAACCTCAACTTTTTCCTCCGTCCTGAAGACAATGCCTCCAGGACCATGAATATGTGGGATTTGTTCACGCTTTCCGTTTTTGAGCGACTTCGCCACCTTCCAGAGAGGAATGCTTGAGTCAAGCATCATCGCCAGAAAGTTGTTCTATTGCTCATTGCCGAATTCATGAACGGCATTTCTTACTTCATGAACAAGATTCGTCGCTCTGCGAATGTCATCGGGATGACAAGACCTTTTTGCTTGCTTAATTGCAGCCCTTTTATCAGAAATTTTCTGACGAATGTCTGCTGGCAGAAAAGGTCTGCCGTGTCGCTGCACGGGAAGTACAGCTGCATGCTGCAGAGCTTGCTGAACAAAACTTGTCCACTCCGCTTGAGCCGCATCTATACCATTCTCATCATCTATGATCGGAATATTGGGGAACTCTCTGAGGAGCGACTTGTAAAGCTCCCAATCAATGCGTTTCCTTGGATCGGTATCATCCTCCAAGATCTGCTCATTAACCACTTCCAAAACGACGGGAAGATGATCGCTTGAGTTGTCATACATGATTCGAGAAGTAATACTGTATCTACAGTTTTTGGATATTGCAAAATCAAGAACATCAGGTGCCTGAAGGTGATTAAATGGATGGTGCGTCGGCTCCTCAGTACTATGTATGAGGTAGCCATTTCGTATCACAATCACATGGTTGTACAGTAGGATCCCACTGGTGGAATTCAACCTAGAATGCCATGCTCGATGTTTGCAGTTGAAGTCCCCTGCCACAATAAGTGCACCCGAGCAGTCTAAAAGGACTTCCAGACCCGCCTCTTGCAGCCTGATACCACACCTGACATACACCGATGTGATTTTTAACGTCACACCTCCCGTCATATTGACCACCACAGAAGTCGCTTCAATGCTCTGCATCTCAGCATTTGTGCTTCTGTGGTAGTCAATACCGCGTTTCACTAGCCAAGCCGCCACCCCGTCCAGTCAATCTATCAGCTCGGATAACATAGTAATTCGGGAAAGCTAGACGATCTCCCGGATTAAGTAATGTTTCTTGCAGCAAGGGCACATCTATATTTTCGTCCACAAGAGCTCGATGAAATTCCCGTTATTTTGGGAATGTCCCTTAGACCCAAACAATTCCAAAAAAGAATTTTGATAAATGCAGGCTGTCGTCTATTGTCCCTAGCTATTTGCAGGAAAGATCGCCTGCAAAGCCTGTGCCGCGCTAATCAGAGGACCTATGATCTGCTGTAAGGACCTTAGCGCGGTTGCCAGGTCCACATTTTGCGTGTTCGCAGAAGATCCCACAGAGGGGGCAGCCCGGGTTGCATCCGCGTAACTTACATTGAGCCTTTGCGCTATCACTTGCAGATTTTTCCTAGGGGCAAATCTGCAAGTTCGGCTATTCGCTGGGTGCCCCCCTCCACAGTTCGCGCATTTTCGTTCCTCTTGTTCTGTTATCTGTTTGAGGGCAGACAGGTAAGTGGGTCATGTGGTCAGAAGCACATTTTAGACACTTAGGTGGTGTAGTGCAGTAAGATTGCGCATGCCCATATTTTTGGCAGCGGTGACACTGCATGATGAGTCTTGAGTTCTTTTGAACTTCGACTCGGATAGCCAAGCCTAGCAGCTCATGTTCGTTGAACAGCTGCTGAGATTTTTCTAACGTGGGCAGTATGACTACCACCAAAGGCATGGGCACGCCGCCACCGCGCTTCAGGCGAATTATGTGCAGGGGGGCATATCCCCTCTGTTGCAACTCTTCATTGATCTCCGTTTCCGAAAGTGTCGCAGGTACTCCTCTGATTACAGCATGAATGTTCCTCTCCGAGCGTAGAGGGAAAGTGTGGTGGGGCACCTCTTCCTCCCCGAAGAGACGAATAATCCTGCGGTAATCATCCTCGGACTTGGGGATTATCCTGATTCCTGCATCGACGGCAACCGCGCGTCGAATTTGATGCCCAAAGAAATAAACTTGGCGAAGAACGATGGGGGTAACACGTACCTTGCGTGGGGGCTGTGCGGTCTGGTCTTCTGATACCTGGGATGCCGAAGGCGAAGAAGTGACCGATAGATTAGGCACAGGCTGTTTATTCGAGTCGCTTGCAGTTGAACGAGATGATTCAGACTGCGATTTTAGTGGAAGGAGAGGAGGAAAGCCTGTCATGTCGGTCTTGTTTCGTCGCGTTTTACGGAGCTTAACCTTGATAAAACCGTCAGGGAGAGTATCGTCGTCAGTGGAATGATCGCTTGAATTATTTAACGGTCTCTTAAGATTGACAGCTTTGTCTTTACTGGGATTTTGTTGGAGTCTTTGGGAAGAATGTGTAATATTTAGATGGGAAGGTACCTGGGTTTTCAGTAGGAGGTCTAATTTAACTGTTAGGTCGTTAATTGTCCGCGGTTGGGCTTCGATGATCATCATCAATCTTTCAATGGTCTTCATATCATCGTTCTTTTTTGACAGCTCCTGTCGAACCATTTCCGATTCGACTCTCAACTCCTCCACGGTCTGCTCCTTCGAGTCCATCTCCATTACCATGGTGGAAGCGCCATTTCCTGACCGCCCTGGGTCAGTTTCCATAGTAAATACCTCGGTAATCTCGCTTTTCGTCTAAAAAATGATTCGGATCGAAATTACGGGTCAGCTGTTATCAGTGCCCTATACAGGGCGGTTTTTGATTACCGCGACGAAACGTGTTATATCCTCTTTTATAAACCATTATTATAAACAAGTCATGCCGAATAAACCGGCTCGTTCCGTAACGATTTCTCAGGATCTTTATAAAATTTTGACAATTGAGGTTAGAAACGTGTTGAAAACTGCAAAACAACATCAAAATAAGTGGATAACTGCATTTTGCACTTCTTTAGTGCCTTTTATCCTCTATATCTATGATGTTGTAAAGCATTTGCATGTATTCTTAGTTTGAAAGCAATGAATGTATCATTTTCTCCTCGTTTTTTAAACAATATATATTTCAAGCACAGTTGGTATAAACACAGATTACAGCTTTACAGGTTATTTTGTAGTCATAAGACATGTAGCAACCACTCACCAGATACTTCCAACGTCTTAGAGCCAGAGCTAGATCGAAAAACTAAATTTAAACACAAATTACTGGAGGGGCCAAATTTAAAAGACTTCTTCAAAGATGAACACTTAGCCAGCCAAGAACATCTACCGGAAGAAGAAGTTGCACCATATCTTCGTTTTTCTCCAAAAACCAATATAAAAAGAAAGGTTTACTTAGATGTGTATGGTTGTCAAATGAATGTAAATGATGCCGAGATAGTATTGGCTATCTTGAAAAATAATGATTTTGAACCTACTAAGGACCTCATTGAAGCTGATGTGATCCTTATACTAACTTGTGCGATCAGAGATAGTGCTGAAGAAAAAATATGGGGTAGACTTGGTTTTCTAAAAGGTTTAAAAAGGACAAGGAAGAAAGATAGGCCAAGTCTTAAAATAGGTGAGATTCTGACATATTGTATACCATTTATAACAACAGTGGCTCAAACTGCTTCACTACATAAAAACTTTCAACATTTTAATTAGATACCTACCAAGTGTAGTTTTTTTTGTACTTTAATTGAGATATATCACAAGCTTCTAGTGTCTAGTTTCTATTTTTGCAGGATTGTTAGGGTGCATGGCAGAGAGACTGAAAACCAAAGTTTTAGAAACTAGTGACATGGTTGACCTTGTAGCTGGTCCTGATAGTTATAGAGATCTTCCCAGATTACTTTCCCTTACAGATACTGACCAGAGATCTGTAAATGTACTGCTATCTTTGGATGAAACATATGCTGATATATCGCCGGTAGTGTTACATTTTTTCCTATTTTTAGATATGTAATGTGCATCTGTTAGATATGTTATATAATTTTTTACAAAATTAACCACCAAAGCACATGTTATTGCTGGATATTGGGCTAGTTTTCCAAAAATCATTTGCAAATCACAGTGATAAAGTAGCAAAACCCTTGCTACTGTTGTAGTTGGACCAATGATAGAACACTTTCACCATTTCTAACATTATCATAAGACACATATGGTTTTTTTCAATTTTATAATTAGGGTATATTGTGGAAAAATAACATTGTGAAATTTGAGTATAAATTGCTAACACTGCTCTTGAAATATACTCTAGCACTACTTTACTGCTAGCAAAGCATGATTTGTTCTTATCTCATTAACAAAATTTTGAGCATGGCGCAAGCAAATAGCTTGTACCCAAATTGCACAAGAGATTTTTTCTACATCCGCAGAATTTGCCCATTTCATATACATATTATCCTAAAATTGATAAAAGTGCATAGGGATGGCATAATTAGTGACATTTAGCATATTGGCGACATGGAAGCGCTCCATCCTTCGACCATTACCATCGCGACCGTTTTCGACATTTTATCATTAGTGATCGATCCTTAAAAAACATTAGTTCAGGCAGACTAGGTACAATACTTCTTTGCTTGTTTTAAAACCATCTATTTTCAGGTGCGTTTAAATGAAAATTCGATATCTGCATATGTATCAATAATGCGAGGTTGTGATAACATGTGTACTTACTGCATAGTCCCATTCACTAGAGGGCGCGAGCGTTCAAGGCCAGTGTCATCCATTTTGAGGGAGGTGGAGCAGTTGTCAGAAAAGGGTGTTAAGGAAGTTACTCTTCTTGGTCAAAATGTTAATAGTTACAGGTTGGTGACTTACAATACCAAAAATTAACTTATAGGTTCAGCATTTTCCAACCCTGATTAAATTGGACAAAGCATAAACACAGTTGATTTGTACCACCACATAGGATTTATTTAAAAATTAGTATTTTGATCACTTAATTCATTTAGATGCGTGATTTATTATTTAATATTATGTTAATTATATTAATATCATTTATTCTTTGTTTAAGATTTATTTAGCATGACTGCTACAATTACGTTCTTTAAGAAAACTACAACAATTACATAACATACAGATATTTAGAAAAACAAAATTTGCATCTCTAAGAATTTTCACTGTCCATGAAATATTCCTTTAATTTTCTTTAAAAAATCTTTAAATTACAACTATATGAAAATATGATTTTTTATTTTAAATATAAAAATAAGAAATAAATATATGAATTTTTTTATATTCAACCACTGAAATTCTTGTAACAGATTTTATTTTTGTGTACTTATTTTTATACTCATAGCTTTATTTTGCAGGACTTGTAATTTTGATAATATAGCTTCATTAGCAGTGAACAAAATAGCAAATGCAGTAGAATAATTGTATTATTTTTAATATGTACTAAGACTATGAGAAGTCCAATAAAAGTAATTTGTTTTTTTGGCAATTTTTGAAATAATGTAGTCATATTAATTTTCAAACTTTATTTCACTTTAAGTGTATATACCTAAATACTAAATTGATTCAGAATTTTCAATTATTTCACCAATTATCCTAACTGTAATAGTACTGTTGGACCAGCGAAAGATTGCAAGCCGAAAGAATGCGGACAAAAAATTGCGAAGTTGTCAGATGTTCTACATAAAATGCGGTCCATACATATTAACATATTTAAGATATAGAATTGTTCCGCTGAATTTGGCAATGTAGCTGGAAAACCCAGGCCGCAGGTAAACATCCGGTCGCTGATTGGTCCAAAACTCTTATCTTATCTGAAACTAGAATAACGTGCCGATGGCACGGTCATTTATAAACCTACTCCCATAGGCGTAGGCAGTTGGCAAATACTTTGAAAATATAATTTACTGTTTAGTGGTGATAATGGAATTCAAGCATGGGAAAGTTATTCACAGCCAGGCAAGGGAAATAATAGCAAACGTGATACGTGCTTGCGATGCAGAAGCGGCTAACAATACTTTCGTTTATCCACTGGTAGCTAGAAATGCAAGGGCGGCATATTATACGGGTGTTAGTGAACGAACTATAAGTAAAATTAGAAAAGAAGATAAAGACAGGCAAAATGCAACCTCCACACAGCCTTTAGCTTCTCCCGGAAAAAAGAGATCACGCCCTTCTGTGATCCAAAAAATTGATGGAGTCGATTTTTCCATTATTCGGAGAATGATAGAAAAATTTTACTGTGATTTTAAAGTGGTACCTACTTGTAGTAAACTTCTAATCAAACTGAAGGAAGAAATGGAATTTCCATTTGGTAAAGAATCGTTGAGGCTGCTTTTAAAAGCAAAAGGATTTTACTGGCGTAAATGCCACAACAAAAGGAAATTACTAATGGAAAGACCCAGTATTTTACATTGGCGATACAAGTATCTTAGGTCTATTAAAAAGTTCCGGGAAGAAGGAAGGCATATTATTTATTTGGACGAAACTTGGGTTGATAATGACCTCACTTTCAAGAAATGCTGGCAAAGCGAAGAAATTATGGGTGTCCTGAGCAATATAAGTTCTACAGGTAATAAAGTTTCTTTCACCTCGATTTTGCTTATTATACATTTTTCTCAATTTTGGAATATTCTTAATAAGTGCTCATTTAATTTGTCTAATTGAATACATAATCCCTTGCAAGTATTTTTTTCTCAAAAATATGTTTTTTATACATAGTGATTCAAAAAGGTGTTGGCAAACTTAAAATAACACTAAAATGAGGCTATTTATTCATTTCCAGGACGACTTATAATTGTTCATGCGGGTTCGCAAGATGGTTTTGTTCCTGGAGCCTGTCTCATTTTCAAGGCTGGCTGTGCCACTGGTGATTATCACGGTCAAATGAACCAAGAAAATTTCACGAAGTGGCTTACTGAAAAACTATTTCCTAACATTCCTCCTAATAGTATTATAATAATGGATAATGCACCTTACCATTCAGCTTTGGAAGACAAGCCTCCAACTAGATCTTCTCTAAAAAGAGACATCATCACGTGGTTGAGCAAAAAAGGTATAGAGCATGATCCTAATGCTAAAAAAATGGAGCTTTATGAAATAGCTTGTCTACATAGGCCACCATCTGATGAGAAAAATTATAAGATAGATAATTTAATAAGAAGTTTCGGACACACCCCACTTCGAACGCCACCCTATATGTGTCAGTTTAATCCCATAGAGATGATTTGGGCACAAGTAAAATTTTTCATTAGAAGCCATAATACAAGCGGCGAATTTACTATAAAAAAACTAGATGAAATTTCTAATAAGGCCATCGCTTCAGTAAGTGCCAGTGACTGGCAAAAGGTTATTGGACATGTTATAAAAATTGAAGATGAATATTGGGAAAAAGACAGTCTCATTCAAGAAATACAGGAAGAAATAATAATCAACATAGGAGGTGAAAGTGATAGCAATGACAGTTCCTCAGACAGTGATCATGACTCTAATCAGGATTGAAACTATACTAGATTGGCTACCTTTTAGAATTTTTAGATATTCATTTATTATACTATTGGTTTGTGGCTTTTAGTATCTCAGTAGAAAGTCTAATTCTATGTGTTGTTTATGGGTTATTTCATCAAGAAATTACTTTTTGTTTTCCTATATTTTTCTATTCAGTCAGATATTTTTGACTTGTTGTATTCTATTTTAGAAGAATGCATAATTTGTTTTGCTGTTCAATCATAATGCGTACATAGGAATATTACTTGTTGCCTAAAAAATATATTTATTTTGTTCTCAATATTCAGTGTTTGTGTATATTTATTTCTTATAATGTATGTTTGGTATCACGTCATTATGAATCGCAAAAAAATATTAATACTACCAGTTGTAATAAAATATAAATTCAATTAATAATTCAAGTCTCTCCGATCTCCGCCTATGACTCCATATAAAATCGTCTAATGGTAAGGTTTTTTCATCGCATTTCCCCCTTTCGTCCCTAGCAATCTTTGGCTGGTCGATCAATATTTTCATTTATGTATTTTCCTATTATCATACATTTTGTTTTAAAAGCATTCAATTTTAGTTTAGTTATATCTAACCAATTTATGATGTTTGTCAAGTCAGAATTTAGCATTTTTAAAGCAGTGTCTATATTTTCATCTGATATGTATCATCTGCAAATATATGAATTTTGCAATAATCCAAAATATTACAAATGTCATTAATGTATAAAATAAACAGTAGTAGAACTAGTGGTACACAGAAATATTTTTTGAATTTGATAATGTAGATCCAATTTTGGTTTTTTGACTTCTGTCAAATAGCTTTGTAGAACTTTGCATATAAATGGAGTTTTGGAGCCTATTTAAGTCAGAGGACAACTGACTGGCGATAGTTTTCATCTATACTAAATCAATGTTGAAATATTAAATCCCATCACTGTAAAGTGTGATGCCATGGCCGATTCTATTTCTTGTATAAGGCCAAGTTTCTTGCTGCTTCAATTAGAAGTAGAAATAATAATTATGTACATGTTTCTAGAGATATATCGACTGACACGAAAATAGACAATGTAACAACCTTGGCAAAAGGATTCAAAACTGTTTATAAACCGAAAAAGGGAGGTTTACGTTTTGCAGACTTACTGAACCGTGTAGCTGCGGTAAATCCGGAAATGAGAATCAGATTCACTTCACCTCATCCCAAGGATTTCCCTGATGAAGTTGTTGAGGTAAATACTTCATATTAGTAATATAGCCTTCGTCCGTCCGACCACAGACAGCCAACCATAAACAGCTATTCCATATTCCATATCAACTATACAACCAGAATTAGCAGCCAGTGGTAATCCGGCTGTCAAATGTGAGCTAGGATGCAGTTCCAAGAGAGCAGTAGTTGATTGTGTTAAAAGACAGCACTTTTTCATTTCAAAATAGTTCCTCTGTTTCCAAGGAGTATTGAAAATATTTTCACTTCACGATTTCTGACTTCTAATTTTAAAAATTGCTTTCCAGGTGATTCGTCAACATTCGAATGTATGTAAAAACTTACACATGCCTGCCCAGTCTGGCAACAGTGTAGTATTGGAGCGGATGCGTCGTGGTTATACGAGAGAAGCTTACTTAGAACTAGTGAGAAGCATTCGTCTGAAATTACCAGATGTAAGTATGCTTTTCTCCTATAAGCGAGGGGAGTACTGTGATTTAAAATTTCAGATAGATATTCTGATATTTTCTAGCGTCTACATGACAAAATGCATATCACTTATTTTCCGTCAGCTTTTCTGTAGGTTGTCTTTTAACCGGATAATTTCACAAACGGTTACACCGATTTGGATGAAATTTTGCTAATTCTTGGATGGCAGTTTTACCGCTTCTCTGACAATTACAAAGACGTTAGGACATAAATAGTTCGACCTGTAGTCTCCAGAATTTTGATGTGGTTTTTTCCTTCTTTTCTTTGTAGGTAGCACTGAGCAGTGACTTCATCTGTGGCTTCTGTGGCGAAACGGATGAGGAGTTTGAAGATACCCTTTCTCTGATGGAGGAAGTGCGATACAATCAAGCTTATCTGTTTGCCTACAGTATGCGAGAACGAACAACGGCACATAGACGGTTCAAGGACGATGTACCTCCAGATGTGAAACAACGCAGGTATGTTTTATAGTGGGTTGTGGAGTTAGGTTTTCACTGGTCTATTGTGGCACACCTATTTATATTTCTTCCAGTGTTTTATAGTACTATGTAGTATGTAATGATCCGTCCCCGTGTCTAACAATTACACTGGGTATTGGTGGAAAAGCACATGTTTAATAATTTAGAGATCAATTGACTTACCTTAAGGAAAATTGATCGGAATTATATGAGTATTGCCGTTCGAAGAATTACAATAATTACACTTGTAGTTGCAATTTTTTCTGAGCTCTGAAGCATGAATTTCAAAGCAAATTATCTCCGCCACTGGGTCTCTGATTTCCTGCCGTCCGAATACTCGTCACTATTCATTACAATTTTTCAAGAACAAGATCTAGATCTGCTAGGGAAAGGGAAAGGGTGGGATTGTAATTCTTCGAACGACAATACTCATATAATTCCGATCAATTTTCCTTAAGGTAAGTCAGTTGATCTCTAAATTATATCTCGTATTGCCGTTCTCAAATTACAATAATTACACTTGTAGATGTTTAAAGAGAAATAAGATCTAGATCGACGTGATGCCAGAATGCAGGTGGTTAGGCATAACATCACATCAACAAAAAACTAGAAAAATGAAGATCTAGAGTAGTCTGTTTTATTAAAGGTAAAGAAAAATAATATATACATATAGATGTATAGATGTAATATAATATGTAATAATAACATATATAGAACAAATAAAGTCCTACTTTATACCTCTACTAAGTACACTTCTAGCAAATCATGTAGAGTCAGAACTAAAAGGGCGATTATAGAAAGTGTTAAATGTGTTACTTTTTTGGGTTCATCCAGCAGCCTTCCTAATGACTTCTATTGAAATTCTAGCCCTATAGGCGGCCAAAGTCGCAGCGTGTCACGTACTGTGATTGGAAAAATAATTTATATCCACTCCACTTTCCGCTAATGTTTTCTTGACCTATGGGTCTGGGTTCTTTGTATATAATCATTAATTACTGAGGCTAAACATAGCGGAGGGTGGTCAGTAAAGTATGGAACAACTAACAATGGTTGACAAGTAGAATGACTGGATGTCTTTATTAAATCTGGTATCTTAATTTCTAGCCTATTGCTAAAACGAGTAATATTTCTAGTCCTAATTTTAGTCAATGCTTGTATTCTATGACCGGTTACTAGAGCTAGTAAAGTTACTAGCTTACAGGTCAATTGGGGCAGCGCTACCTCAGGTAGAGGGTACATTGTTGCTAAATAGTCCAGAACTAACGAAGGGTCCCATGTTATCTGGTATTTAGGTTGCAGAGGTTTCTGTCTATATATTCCTTTCAAAAACCGCTTGAAAAAATTCTTATCTTTATCTTCCATCGAAAAAACAAAGGATAAGGCAGAATATTGAGAATTTAGAGTATAGTATGACGCTACTGCATTATATTGTTCTGTTAAAAATAAAATCAGCGTATCTAACGAATACGTATAAGGCGATTTTGATTGTGACATGCAAAAACCCCACCACTTACGGTAGTAGCTATTGTATTGAGTAAACGTGTTTGGCGCCAGAGAAGGTATGATAGGTGAAAGACCTAGTAGCGGAATTCCTCTACGGAGGAAAACCTGCCTGACAAAATCCCGGCCTCCAGGATAAGATGCCGCCACAAAGGATGTTTCTGCCTGAAAGGGGACAATAATAAAGTTTCACTTCGTTGAAAAACTAGAGGCTTAGTTATCAATAACCTTTGATATAAAGCGTACCACGGTTGAGTATCCCATCGAGGAACTACTAAAATTCCTTGTGCTTTCTCGTCAATTATTTTTTGTAAACATTTAGTAAGCAAAAAAGGTGGAAAAGCGTAAAAAAATCTTGTTCCCATGAAAAAGTAAACGCATCCACTGTTAAGGAATCTGGATCAGGTTTCCATGAAATGTAGCGCTCACATTTAGTATTTAATTTTGTTGCAAAGAGGTCTATGTCTGGTATTCCGAACCTAGAACAGATGGTGGAGAAAGCCTCAGAATTTAATGTATATTCTGTCTCGATATTCTGTAACCGAGATGCCCTATCCGCAAAAATATTCTGTTCAGTATTTATATAGGAAGCAGAAATGAAGATTTTTCGAGCTTCACACCCTGTCCACAACTCTCTGACAATACTGTTCAATTTACTGTGTCTTACACTGCCCATGCGGTTAATGCAGGATACAGCCGTTGTATTGTCAACACGAAGAAGTAAGGCCTCAAAAGAATTCCAGAATCCATTAATAGTGTGACGACTGCAAAACGCTCCCCAACCATTTGGGGAGGCGTCGGAAAAAAATTCTAAATCGTAATTTTTACTTGGTAATATCGTTTTTCCTTTATTAAGTGGAAGAGATTGCATCCACCATTCTAAATCAGTTTTCATATAATTTGAGACTAGCAATTTACTTTTATAATGTTGGTTATTCGGTGTAAGGTGATAAATTTTTCTCGTTCTAAAATCTTTAAATGGACCCAGCCATAGGGACACGCTGCTACCAATTTTCCTATGAGTTCTGCCAATTTTTGTACAGAGATTGTAGTTTTGTTTACTGTATGAGAAAGAAGTCTTAACAAGAGAGACACCTTTTGTTGTGGTAAGGATAATAATAATTCTCGAGAGTCGTATAAAAAAATCTAAGTAATTGCATTTATTCATTGGAGTAAAACAACTCTTTTCCATATTTATAATAAATCCTAGAGAAACTAGGATCTTTTTAGTAAACTGAGAATCAGTGATTGCTGCTTGTTGTGACTTACAAATGATAATTATATCATCAAGATAAACGACGCATACAATACCGTGGCTTCGAAGATATCGTAAGACTGGTTTAAACATTTTTGTGAAAATGTAGGGAGCAGTACTGAGTCCAAACATATGCGTCCTTGAGGTCTATTGTGGTGAAAAAACAATCTTTATAAATTAAGTGTAATACTGACCTATAATCCTCCATCTTGAAGTGGGAGACCTTCAAGAAGGTATTTATTTTTTTTAGATTTAAGATAAATCTAGAACTGCCGACTGGTTTAGGTACGAGAAAATATGGGGCAATAAACTGATCAACTTGTGGGCCTGTAGCGGAGATTGCTCCTATAGAGATTAGTTTAGATAAACTGTCTTCCAATTCTTTTGAGTTAGTTGTTTTTCCCCTCCTCCTCTTTTGTATCGAGGTTTCAACGAACCTTGGCGATAGTGAAAAAACTGTGAACCTCGTCTTGAAGATCCGGCAATCTGTTTGGATGATGAAGGGAGACGAGACGAAGTGGACGCTGTGGTCACTGTACGTAGAATCTTAGGTTTCTTTTTAATAGACGTGCCAAACTTATTTGCTTCAGAAGAACATTTTAGTTTTTCTGTGAAATTCTGTCCAAAAAGGAAAGAATCTATAGGGCACGTCTCCAATATATCCTTAACGGAGTCATCTAAACATGGAACAATTAAACAGCGTCTATGCTTTGAGAGAGAATAGAAAGCGTCGGCCACAAGCTTCATTGGATCCCCGAATTTTTCCAACTCCTCGTGAGTAGATGGTGGCGTGTCGGATTTCTTACGTTCTTCATAAATGGTGTTTAAAGGAACAGCTGAGGCACTTATAGCTACTGCTAATTGACCCTGAAGTTTTGATAGACACATATCGTGCCTCAATACTGCCTGTGTTAAACAAGATTTAATTTCAGGATTTATCTCTGGTGGTTTCAGAGCCTCACAACCTTTTAAAATAGGATATTGTTCCAGGGTAGTTTTTCGTCCATCTACATCCAAGCCCTTTGACAAGAAAACTGATAGCAAGTCTAAAATATCGGAATGCACCTCTGGCCCTAAATTGTCCGATGTTTTCTTTTCTAGCAGGACCAATAAACCATTAGGAGGTTGCACCCGATTCGCTTTTGAAAGGTCGGCAATGGGACAGATCATTTCGGGGTCCTCGTCGTCACTAGGTTGGGGCCCGTCAGAAATCTCCGAGACGCCTATGGACAAATAAATTCGTAGCCGAGTAACAAAAAACGTAAGATGAAGCGAGATGTTTATCAACAAGCGATAACACGGCCTCACTTTTTCAGAAATGCTCGGGTGGAACTGCACAAAATATATATGTATATTCCAGTGGGAATATTAAGAAAACAAAATACCAGCGGGCAAATTGATTTCATGCAAATATTGTATATTTGCAGAAGTTCGTTAAACTTCCAAATGTTGCGAACCAAGGATCTACAAAAGAGATTATTAAAAGAACACTATCCACTTACTTGAGTTTTCCAAAAGATCCTGCAATAATTCTTTTATCTTTCTCTTCTTAGATTTACGATTTTCCGACATTATTCACCACTTTTACGTGCAAAGGAAAAATCGGTCCTCACAGAGCACACGAAACAATTGTAATGAATAGCGACGAGTGTTCGGACGGCAGGAAATCGGAGACCCAGTGGCGGAGCGAATTTGCTTTAAAATTCGTGCTCCAGAGCTCAGAAAAAATTGCAACTACAAGTGTAATTATTGTAATTTGAGAACGGCAATACGAGATATAATTTTTGGTTTATGCTCAATCCACTACATACATAAAAAATCAAAATATGATCGCACTGAGACGATTTTTATTTAGCACAGCTTTCTGAAATAAGAACGAAAAAATGCATCTCATCCATCAGGTTGTTAGCAGCAATGATATAGTTCACTTAAGTTCATGAGTGGGAAGTGTCTAAAAGCCCTTCAAAGACTCACATCAAATTTTGCTCCAAAATTGTGACACAAAGGTTCTCTGATGACATTGATTGGTCACTTAAGTCACATAATTTGAATTTTGTATGAGACAATAAAAACTGTCACCAAACAACGTGTTTTGATGAACTTTTTTCGGATTAATACAGTATTTGATTGACATGTTGGTGGTTTTTTACAAATGTTTTTATTCCACAGATTGGAGCGCATGATACAATTATACCGCCAGCATGCGTTAAAACTAAACAGTGCTCAAGTTGGTAAAAACCACCTTGTTCTAATAGAAGGTCTTAGCAGGAAGTCCAAGCAATATTTTCAAGGTAGAAATGATCAAAACGTTAGAGTGATATTGCCAGCTAATGAGATGGTACCTTTCAAAGATGGTGGGGGAGCAAGGGAGATAAGAACAGGTGAGGTTTAGTAGACTTATTTATATCAAATAACTACTGAAGTTTACCCTTAAGACAGAATGATTATATATTATAAAGTACCCCATCGCCTCTGTCTGAACGTGATAAACTCCCATACAGGAATTCACGAGGAAGGTTTAGGGATACCGTATAATCTATAAAAAAAATTATGTGATTTGATTGAAAGATGACGGAACTGTAATCCAAGGTATCAAAAGTCATTAGTCTTCTTCTATAGACCTGATATATTTAATCCCTTTGTTATTCATGTTCATAGTTAACTTTTTTTTAAGAGGAGTCAACTTATGCCGCAAATTAAATGCAAAGTTAACCTACTTGACTCCATTTTTTTGTAGGGGATTATGTTGCAGTTTACGTGAATGCCGCCAATTCGCTAACATTGAAAGGTATCCCCTTATATCTTACCAGTGTCGAAGATTTTTATTTGGATAGGAACTTACAACACTATGCTGTACAAATATAATTTGTAGTGTATAAAATAAATGTATGCAATATCAGGTTTCTGATTATTATTTGAATGAGAAATTCAAACATTAGATTGATGACATGACTTTAAAAAATTTCAATGACCATACAAGGCGATCTGAAAGTTGTGAATTGTTTTGGGGATGTCAAAGCTAATTTGCGCAGAAACAGCGGAGTTTTTTTTAAAAGTACTCATTGTTCGTTTGATACAGTTCATGCATCTATCTGTCTATGATGTTCATAAATCTGGACTAAGCTAAACCCCCATATTTGAAAATTATGAAAAATGGCGCAATATCAATTTGTAATTTCTTTTTGTTTGTAGCTTCAACGAACATCCATGTTATTAATAGGTCACATCGAGTAATAATGGCTCTAAAATCCTACTTTTTACTTGATAATAATTTTGTCAATATGATGTAAAAACAATTTTCAATGTCTTATAAAAGAAAAAATATGTTGTAACCTTGAAAAATTAAACAAACAAGATAAAATTAGAGAATGTCCGAACTATTTTGTTTTTAGAGCTCTCGTAGAGCCAAAAATCTCGATTTTCATTTTTCTTCCAAATATAAGGGTGTTTAGCTTAAGACATGAAATGCCGTTCGAAGCTGTTCGCAGTTCGATTCCAAAAATCCACGTTTGCACGATATCTAGGACAGCACGTGTCCCTAGCTGTACGAGATAATTCAAGATATGCACTGCAATTTGTAAACATCCCAAAAGGATCTCCGTCACTTGAAAACTCCGTAACTTCCACACCACCTTCGGGTTTTTCCAAATCCGATTTATAAATCGGTGTGGTGGCACAGTTGACTTTAGTCTAGAACATTCTTTTGGAACCTGACGTTTATGCCCTGTTCAAATAGTACTTATGCCGCGTCAAAAAAAAAAATCGGGATCTCGATCGCCAAATTATCGCGCTTCTATTGGCCGATAGCCTAGGTACGCAAGAATGATCCAATTCGACTGCGAGGATGGGCTTTTTTTTCAGGCAAGATTCCGCCTTTGCGGACTACAACTTATGTAAATAAATACATTTTTTATTAACGGATAGATTCATTTAACATGATACAGTACATGTGTAAAACATATCATAGCAACTCACTGTTGAATCTATATGTAGAATTTCATTCATAACCATGACGGCAGTGATTTTATAACAAATGAAATGGTAGTAAGTTAGGCCACTGCCGCATTTGCTGCAATACTGGGGCTATTGATAACTTCACCAAGACTTTCCAATAGTTCTTTTCTATAATCATCGAAGTCTCCATCTAATTCGTTGATTGTCTTTTCTTCAATTATATACAATGCACAGCCAGTTTCTCTGAAATAGACATAACAACATTAAGGCATTACTCCCATCTGTCCATTTGTGAACCTGAAGTTTCATCATAACTCATTCATTACAAGTAAGAACTCTAAAAAGTGCTGTAGAAGAAATTTTACACTTCCATCATTTTTTTTTGTTTTACTTCCCACGCCTGCTAGCGAGGTAATGGCGAAACATTTCGAAAACGAATCATTGTGTTTTACTCTAAAAAAACGAAGAAATTATGATTTTATATACAGGGTGTTTTCAAAGTTGAGTCGTTTATTTTAACTGCTTGTAGGACTCAACCAATGGAGTTGATATAACAAAAATCATATAATATATAAAAGTTGCATAACAAGAAATAGTAAGATTAAAAGTTTTAAGAAATTACACAGATTTTTTGATATTCTCGACCGCTGCGGTGTAAAATCTTAGCGTTTTTTGTTTACTACTCGTATCGTTTATTTAAATTTGTCAAACTTTTTTTTGTTATTGTATGGTTTTCAGTAAAAGTCTGGTTCAGTTGTATCAGTCTTTTAATAGTGCGTATAATTTCATTTGTCTTATTATTTTGTGCGAAAAAATGGCCCATGTTTACAAAAACAATGAACTAGTGAACATAATACTAACATACCGAGAGTGCCAACAAAATGCAGCCGCAGCATGCAGGTTGTATGCGGAAAGGTTTCCTTTAAGAAATCATCCGGTCCCACGGATGACAGTAAATTTAGCTATTAGACTTCGTGACACATGATATTTAAAAGAACAACTAGAAATACTAAGATATTTGAAAGAGCAACGAGAAGGTCACGTTGAAAGACCTGCTCAACCTGAAATATTACAAATTGAAGAAGACACTTCAGAAATGGTTGAAGACGACCCAAAAATGAGTACTAGAGCCATCACAGCTCAAGGTGAAGTTTCTCATAGTCATGTGTTGAAGGCAATACGACAAGAACAGTATTATCATTATCAACGGGTACCAGCGTTACCAACTGAAGATCATCCTAGAAGGGTTAAATTTTGCCAGTGGCTTTTGGAACAGTTCGGCATAAATGAAGATTTTACGAAATTAATTTTGTGTACAGACGAGGCCAATTTACATGAAATGGAATTGACAATTTCAACAACAATCGTGTTTGAAAAAATCCGCATGCTGTAAAAAGAACTCGTTTTCAACATAGATTTTCATTAAATCTTTGGGCTGGCGTGGTAAATGACATTCTTATTGGACCCTACTTTTTTCCACCTTGACTGACCAGTGAAATTTATTTAGATTTTCTTCGACACAATCTGCCACAATTATCAGAAGATGTTGTCTCTAAATGTGAGACGTAATATTTGGTTCCTACATGATGGGGCTCCAACACATTTTAGACTAGAAGTTCATGAACATCTAAATAACGAGTTTCCGAATATGTAGATGGTTAGGGCACAATGGACCCATTTCATGGCCTGCTCGCTCCCTGGATTTAACGCATTGGAATTTTTTTCTGTGGGGCTATTTGAAATAGTTAGTGTATCATGCTGGAATAGTAAATACTCTGGAAGAACTTCAACAGCGCACTGAAAATGCTATACTAATGTAAACTAAATCTCTTTTTATGCAACTTTTATACAGGTGATTTTTGGTATATCAACTTCTTTGGTTCTACAAGCTGTTAAATGACTCAACTTTGAAAACATCCTGTATATATCGCTAATTTTGTTAATTTTCTAAGAAACAACGCTAAGGTCTTAGTAGTTCAACAAAGTATCAGAAAAAATTACTAAAAAACCCAGCAGAAAAGGAGAAAACCAAATATGAACAATTTTGTCAGTCCCTTTTCATTTCTCTTTCCCGGTCAAAGCTGCAAGTATTGCGTAAAATGCATTTTTTGCACTGACAGCTAAATTTTTTTTTTAGATTTTCCGAGTACGTGTAATACTTTGAATTTCCAGTAATAATGAAATTACTATTAGAAAAAAATAAATCCACTGACCTGATTAGTCGCTCGTCGTGGGATACTATGATAACACCTCCTGTATATTCATTGATAGCTTCTGCTAAGGCATCAATTGATTCAATGTCTAAATTGTTGGTGGGTTCATCCTATGGAAGAAAAATCACAATGCATTGATTATAACCGATACATTAAATTCGCATTTTTCTGCGAATACATAAAAGTGCGTGGGTTCCATACAATCCTAGCGTTCCAGCTAATTGCCGAAACGTTTCATAAATATAGTGACAATGACCATGATGATGACGATTTTCATATTATACTCAACTAGGCGTTTGGCTTTTAGTCAGGAATCTGTTTGAATCACAACAACCATCAAAAAAATTTAGTAGAATTCAAACAAGCTGTCACACTGTTTCCAATATCAGGTATTCCGCTATGCTGCTGACGATTTTTTGGATTCGCTAATAAATATTTACTTTCGTTTCTTTGTCTTAACTTAACCCTATTTATTAATAATAACTGAGTATTATATATCACAACATCTATAGTATTCCTGACATGCTGTATGTCAGTACACCCTAGTACAATAAATTGGTTACTTGAATATCCTCTCCAAAGAAGCAAAGTGTACGATAATGTATTTTTTGTCACTTTGATAGGCAAATTAGCCAACTTTTATGTAATGATATTGAATATTAAGACATACCAAAATAAGCACATCAGGTGCATTCAGACAAAGTTCTGCTAGAGCTACTCTGGCTTTTTGCCCACCAGAAAGGTCCTTCATCTTGATCGTATGTGCATGTCCGGCTAGACCGAACGTACCCAGTTGTTTGCGCGCCTTTTCGTAGGGCAGATCGAATAGTCGCATCAGATATTCTGACGGAGTCTCTTCAGCTGTCAGATGTTCACCTGAATGTTGATCGAAACGTCCAATCCGCTATGGACATAGAAAAAACATTTTGATTATGTCCTTATCCGAAAGCCGACAGATATACTCAGTGACATTTGAAGTTTTACACCCAGAAAAACTAATTTCAACTTGATTTTTTGGCAATCAGGTAGTCTTACATCAAGAATAACACGATAACATTCTCACAATTTTTTTTTGACAAGTAATAAGAAAAAAAAATTATGTGTTAGGCGACCTCGCAACTGTGACACTTCATTCCAAGCAACTCGAACTTCGTGGATTAGGCAGAGACTGTGGCGGATGGTGCTCAGTGGATAGTCTCCTCTCCACCATATCCCACACATGTTTGATGGGATTTAAATCCGACTTCTTGGAGAAAGTCCGTAGTACCGCAACGGGGACGTGCGTTGACTTGCTGAAAAACTACCTGTGGGCGGCCCGGTAGATACGGCAGTAAAATGGTTTGTAGGACATCATCAACAAAATGAGATGATCGATATCTGGTTGTGGCACCTCATTCCAAGCAACTCGAACTTCGTGGATTAGCTGCGGTAAAGTCTGTGGCGGATGGTGCAAAGTGGATAGTCACCTCCCCATCATATCCCACACATGTTCGATGGGATTTAAATCCGTAGTACGACGTGCGTTGTCTAGCTAAAAAAGGACGTGTGGATGGCCCTCTAGATATGGCGGTAAAGTGGTTTGTAGGACATCATCAACATAACGCGTAGCAGACATATTGCCTTTAACAAAGAGAAGGGGTGATTGGTTACCATAGGCAATAGCCCCCCAAACCATTACTCCAACAGTCCTGTGTACATGTCACTCAACAGCAAATCAAATATCACACCGTTCTCCACGGCGGCGTCTTACCCTTCTATGACCAACGTGTGTACCTAGACAGAATCGTGATTCGTCGCTGAATATGACATTATGCCATTCTGTCTCTCAATGTTGCCGTTCCCTGCTCCAATTCAAACGTAGACGACAGTGGTCCATAGTCAGAGAAAGCAATAACCGTGGACGGTATAAAAAAGTCCAAAGGCTCGAATGCGGCGATAGAGTGTACGCATAGTAACAGGTCTACCTTCTTCTCCAAACCATTGACGATTGACGCTCTGTAGTACCCCTAGGTAGACCAGTTGGCCTTCTTCGTGTTCCTCTACCTTCTTCTGCCACACACGATACACAGGCATTACCGTCATAGCAGCACAATTAACACGGCGGCCAATTTCGTTATAGGACAAACCAACATCTTAATAGGCAATAATTCTACAACTGTCAAAGTCGCTAAAACGGTGATAATTTGGACGTCTTCGAACTCGAGGCATTTTTTCATGCTTAACACTAGTAAATGAAAGGACAATAACTAAAAATATCTGTACTACTCTGCTCTCAGAAACTGCCTTCTTCACAAAAACTAAGAGACAACATTTTAACAAAGATAAACAAAAACATTGATAAAACGTTGACATTGTTGCCACAGCATACTTTAAATTTACATAGTTATGTTGCCAAAATTTGAAATTCTGTTCTTAAAAAATAATTAATATTTTTAATCACTCACCAATCTATGGTTCTTTTTAACCTCCCCCTTTAGAGGTGTCAGATCTTCAGTGAGTAATTTTAAGAACGTAGATTTTCCAACACCGTTCGGACCGACTATAGCTACTCGGCTATTCATGTCAATGCCAAAATCGGTGTCCACAAACAATGGTTTCTGCCCTGGATAAGCAAACGTGACGTTATGCAGGCCCAAAACTGGTGGCTGAAGTGGTGGAGGTTCAGGAAATCTGAAAAAATAATTTTATAGATTATCATATAGGGCGTTTCCATAGGAAAAATTTAAGAGATAAACATCGAATGTACGCAGAGAACCAAAAAACTTTGGAATGCTTACCGAAACTTCACCAAGTAATCTTTAGGTCTCTGCAGTAATTCAGTCATTGTCACATCTTCTTCTTGTTTCTGTATCTTTGATCGATTCTTTTCTTGTTTTCTTGTTAAAGCTTCCTTCTGTTTCTTTTCCGCTTGTTTTTTAGATGATCCTGACGATTTCAGCTCTTTCAAACGTTTCTCCTGCTTTTCATATTCTTTTATCATCTCTTTCTTTTTCTGCATATGCATTTTCTTGAACATCGAATAGTTACCTATAACGACAAAATCATCACGAATATTGTTACAAGTTCCACTTTTTGGTATAGTTGTTTTTTCCAGATATTTCGAGCATGTTTTTCAAACAGGGTGTTACAGATTGTCAGGAAAATTTAAGGGAATACTAAAATGTGAAGAATAAAATCATATAAACTTAGGTGCAGAAATGTTTTGTTTCCAAAATAAATTTGTTCATCTTTGGTAGTTCATTTTATATTTAAGAGAGCTCTGTATTGTGACAAGTTGATGGAGAGCCTATTCGATCCTTTTTGTGGTACCTTTTGTTCTTAGCCCACCAACATGACACGTTTTTAGAAAATGTAGTAGGATTGCATTATTTGCAATCAACAAGAGAAATAGAAAAATGTCTAAAGGTCTCTACTTAAAAACTGTATTATATTCAGATGTTGATGTTTCCAAGACATTACCTTTGTAGTAGTACAGCTTCTTGTTATCCAGATGTATAATTTCATTACAAACGTTGTCCAAGAACGACTGGTCGTGAGACACAATCAACAACGTCTTCTTCCACCCTTGCAGGTAGTTATCTAACCAAATGACAGCATTCAGATCCAAGTGATTGGTAGGTTCGTCAAGCAGTAATAAAGTGGGTTCTACAAAGAGTGCTCTGGCTAGTGACACTCTCATTCTCCAACCACCAGAAAAGTTTTTCGTGGCTCGGTCTTGCATTTCTTTACTGAATCCTAAACCAGCTAAGATTCTTCTAGCCCTAGGTTCGGCGCTGTCAGCTCCGATTGCCTTCAATTCAGCATAAACCTCATTCAATCTCTCCTGGGCCTGAAATTAAAAGAATGTCATCTGTATCAAAATTTTCGTTGTCAAAACTTCATACTTCACAAGCATCTGTAATGTGACAGGTTTTATGTAATTTAAATCAGTGGATTGACCAGAATTTGGATTAGGGGGTCATTTCAGCATAAAGAAGAATATGTCTAGTTATTTAGGCATTGAACATCTCAAGATTGTGTACTAGGCAAACATTTATTTCATCAGCAGATATGGGATAATATTTTGAGGAGGCAGCAGTGACTCTGTCAGGGCTTTCAGATCATAAACAAGATCAGTGCACACTATGATATCTCTGCAAAATAGACAAACTTGCAGAGGAAGGTTTAAAGGGCTGAATATTCTCACTGTGCCAGGTATTTATATTTTTGAGTGTCTCCTGTTTTGTTTAGAAACATAGAATTTAAACCTTATCTGTTGCAGCAATTTTTAATGTTTCACATTCTACGAGCCCTTCCCACTTCAGTTGGCCCAACTATTGAAATCTTAGTTTTTTTCTTATCAAACACAAATAATAAAAATGTAGCAGGGTGTTATATGTTTAAAATATTAACAATGAACATTTTGATAATATATAGTAGAAAACACCAACTTTATCACTCCCTAATCAAATTTGCAGCATAAAAATAACACATGTTGCAATTACAGCATATCAACCTATTTCCATTTCAATGCAAAATAAGTCTATAACGCATAGGTGGCTGTGAAAAATAAAAGCCATGACAATTGTTTCTATTAATCACAGTTGTCAGAACACGTTTAAAATAGTTTTGGGTAATTAAGGTTTTCAAAATGGGTAGAGGAAAGCTTATTAGTGAGAAAATTCGGTTACTGATAATTCAATTTTTTAATTCTGGGAAATCAAACTCAGAAATTGCAACTTTGTTAGACTTATCGCAGCACAGTGTGAGAAATATTGTTAGAAGATATAACGTAACTGGTTCAGTTAATATTAAGCCACGATATGTGAAAAAAAGTAATATCACAAATGCCGACCGAAGAGCATTAAGAAGAATAATCGTGAAAAACAGGCGTGCCAATTATTTACAATTAAGTGCACTGTGGAGTGACGCTGTTGGAAGGTGAATTTCGAGGTCCAAAACTCATAGAGAGGCCCACAAACTGGGATTTAGCACTTGCAAGGTAAGTTTTCTTATAAAAAAAGTGAAGTAAAAACCCTAAAGTTGCACAACTTGTTTATAGGCCAAAGAAAAGCCACTATTAACTCCACTGCAAAAGAAAAATCGGCTTGGATGGGCTAAAAAACATAGAAAAATGGACACCTCAACAATGGTGTGCAATACAATGGAGTGATGAGGCCCGATTCGAAGTTTGTGTTGGTGACAGTCGCAGTAGAGTTATTCGCAAAAAAAATGAAGCGTTCCATGTTGACTGTCTTGAAGAGAAAAGTGAAATTTCCAGCATCCATTATGGTCTGGGGCAGTGTGTCATCAAAAGGAGTAAGAAAACTTCATTTTATTGATGGAAATGTGGATACAAACAAATATTTGGCAATTTTAGAAGAATCGCTTTTACCAGTGATGGAAGAATGTTTGACATCCGGCCAAGATTTTGTGTTTCAGCAAGATGGTGCAGCGTGCCATACCTCAAAAAAGGCTATAAAATGGATGGAAGAAAATAATGTACCATTTTTGAAATGGGTTTCTAGCAGTCCAGATCTGTCACCTATTGAAACTTTGTGGCACGAGATGAAAAAGGTTCTACGACAACATCCTGCTGCTCGTACAATCATCGAACTGAGAAAAAGCTTCAAGAAATATGGGATTGTTTTACACCAAATTCTTGATAAAACTTGGTTAACACTATGCCCCAAAGAATTTCAGCCATAATAAAAAATAAATGTGATGTTACCCAATGGTAATCTTTCAATTGTTGCTTTGTTAACTTCGCGCATTTATTCGCACATTGTTTATTTGTTCAGATGTTCTATTAGTTATAGGTCTAAGTGATTTCAAATATGTATTTTTTACGACTAGAGTGTATCTAAAATGTTTTTGAGAAAATAAATTGTTTCGAAGTAAATAGTTTGGTCATGTTTAGTTTATAAAGGTATTTTTTGGTACAAATTTTGAAGTGGGCCAACTGAAGTGGGAAGGGACTCGTATATGTGTCATTATTTATTAAGAGAAATGTGAACTACTTCATTTGTAAGGTTTTTTTCATTACTTAAGCTGTGTGTATATTTGGTACATTTTTGTATGTTAATCAACTGTTGTTAGTACACAGGGTGGGTTTACAAGTCATGACCAAAAATGAAACATCATACACAGGACCGCATTTTAAGGGTGTTTTCTTGGTAACCTTTTTTCCTTGAGGGCATCATTAAAAAATTTAAAAATAAAAAACATTTTTTCAGTATCTTCAAAACTGTCAACTGGAATGAACTAAAATTTGGTATGTGGACTTACCTAAGTATTGTCCACATTCAAATGTCTTAATTAACGTGCACCAGTGGCAGAGATACAGGGGGTTAGTGGCATTATTTTTCCAAATAAAAATAGTACGCCACTGTTTTTCTTTCGAAACGCGCATTTTTCGAGTTTTACCTTCAATTTCAATAATTACTCTTGTGTTTTTCCCAGAGTGCATTGTTTCCGTAAAATAAAACAGATCACTCATGAAGAGCCGAGATACAATTACATAGTTTCAAAATAAAATAGGAGGCTTCGATACCAACTTGACGTTTCTTGGGAGGTTGCCTGTCAAAGTAATATGTTATCGTTAGTACTACCATTTTTTTTTGTAAAAGTCAAGTCAAAAGTTTGTTTTTTCCATTTTTGAGTGTTGTGAAATGGAATTTAGCAATGATGTACTCCGATATTATTTTTGTGTACGAGTTCTGTAATGGAAATGCTTTAGCGGCTTCTTGGGAGTATCAACGTAGATTTTCTAACAGACGCCAACCTACCGCAAAAGTTTTTACGCGTTCATTTCTAAGACTCCGGCAATATGGAATTGCCGGAGTTAGGGCCATGGTGTCCGGCATACTGTTCAAGAGGAACTGGAAGTGATTAATTTGCCGTTGGATGATCCTAGTACATGCAGATTGCAGCCCAGTTACCATGTTACCAAAGTCTTGCGTGGAGGATTTTAAATCGGGAAGTTTTACATCCTTGCCATCAGCAAAATGTGCAATGACTGCAACGCGGCGACGAAGTGCAACGGCGAAATTTTGTAAGTGGTTACTGCAAATGCATAATCAAGTGGAACCTTAAATTCTCATAATGAACATATTTGGTCGTTAGAAAATCCCCGTTCTGTATGAATCCACTCGTTTCAACACAGATTTTCTAGAAATGTCTGGTGCAGCATTTTCGATGGCCAACTGTTTATGGACGTATTGCCACAACATTTAAATGCAAACTTATACTTAGTTTTTCTAGAGAATTACATAGAAATTGTCTTAGATGATGTTCCGTTAGCAACGAGAGTACGAATGTGGTATCAGCACGACGGTGCCCCACCGCATGTTTGTCGTGATATAACCGCATGGTTAAATAATCATTTTTCACGATTGATTGGCAGATAAGGACCCGTACCTCCTGGATTTCTTTTTGTGGGGCACTTTTAAATAACTAGTATAAGCTGAACAAATTAATACTTTTGATCAGTTACAAGAAAGAATAGATAATTAAAGAAATAATTTCATCAAATTCAAGCCACAACAAATTTTACGGAAATACGTTTTTCTTTATTAAAAAGATGCCGCACTTGTATCCGTCAGACTGGTGATATTTTTGAATATTTATCGAAATAAAGCTTTATCTAAGTTGTCTTTTTTTATTTTCACGAAAACAATGCACTCTAGGAAAAAAAACAAAAGTAATTATTTGTAGCAAATTGAAGGTAAAATTCGAAAAAACGCGTGGCGTACTATTTTTATTTGGAAAAATAATGCTACTAATCCCATGTATCTCCGCCACTGGTGCACGTTAATTTTAAGTTAAGACTTTTGAATGTGGACAGTCCTTAGGTAAGTCCACATACCAAATTTTAATTCATTCCAGTTGACGGTTTTGAAGATATTAAAAAAATGTTTATTATTTTTAAACTTCAACACCCTGAATCTTTTTAATGAAGCACTTGAGGAAAAAATGTTTCATAGAAGACTCCCCTTAAAATGCAGACCTGTGTATGATGTTTCATTTTTGGTCACAACTTGTGACTTACCCTGTATAGTGCCCGGTTATAGGTTTTGTGTGCTGATGCCTAATTATTGCAATGGAATATTTGTAATTGTTGTATACAATTTTATTAATTAAAGGAATTTTGAATGAATGAATCTATATGACAAATGGCATCTCATCAATAATAATTTTGATGAGTGGACCAAAAAATCTGTGAAAGTTTGGTCGTTTTTCGATATTGTCTTCCAATTTCTTTTCCTGACTACATTATTCAAATAAAGTGAAAAGTCAGGGCTCATTTAGTAAAGAACACATCTAAGCTCACCTCCATATTAGCACCATTATTCTGCAGTTCTTCCTCCAGTTTTTGGCATTCATTCAACAATTCTGTCCGTTTCGTGTCCGCCATCAGCACAGTTTCGACGGCAGTGTTGTCATCAGCAACTACCTCTTGTTCACAGTATAAAATGTCAATGGTGGGAGGTATAGCAAAAGCACGTGTGGCCATGTGACGTAGCAATGTAGTCTTGCCATGCCTGCATGACAAAAACCAAATAATAACAAGTGATCATCAATTGAAGTGACAATTTAGTCTACACCTAGACTAATGCGACTGCTTGGCTGCCGCCTGACGCCCATCAGGTGACAACTCAGAACACTTTTAAACATTGCAACTATAAAAACATACAACCCTAATCCCATCATATCAATTTTTGTTTATTTGAGAAAATAGGACAAATGGAGGTTAAGGTCCTAATGGGAAGAAAAAATTTGGAAATACAAATACGTTTTTGTAGAACTATTGATTTTATGTAAAAACATGGTCAGTAAGGTTTTTGAGACATTGACCAGAAACCACAAGCACTTCTTGACTTACCCATTGGGTCCAACTAGACCATAATGTCTACCTGCTGCAATGTTGAGATTTGCATTGACAAATAAATCATTTCCTTTTGCAGATATACTGAAGTTCTCTACTTTAATATCAACAGCATTTTCCAAGGCTGCCATTTGTCCTGATGTCTTTTGCATCTGGGATACAGTGAAATTGCTATCTAAATCTGAATGGCCTTGTCCTCCTTTCTTTAACATAGTCTCCATTTGCTGCTCATAATCCTGTTGTTTTTTCAGTTTCTTCTTTTCTCTATGTGTCAATTTCTTTTCCTTTGAATCATCTGTGCTTGCTTCTGAAATTTTGGTAGATGCTAACTTCTCTACAACTTCGTCAGTTCCATCATCTCCAGCTTTTTCAGTTTCTTCACTCTTAGATTTATTTTTCTTATTGTTTTCTATAACCCTTTTTTGTTCTTCTAAATCCTCATCATCAAAAGCATCTTCTTGGTCTTTCTTAGTTTCAATGTCTGTTCCTTTTTCCATTGGTTCTTCATCTTCACTTTCATCTTTCTGTTTCTTTTTCAAACTCTTCTTCTCTTGTTTTCCATTATCTTTTACTTTGCTTTTGTCATCTTTCTTATGCTCTATGTCTTCCATACGTGTTTCTTCATTATCAGACTCATCTTTTTCATCATCTCCACTATCTAACCCTTTCTTCTTGTCCTGCTTTTTCACAGGTGTAGGAATATCTTCCTCAGATGCTATTTCACCTTCACTATCATGTTTTTTCTTTTTCTTATTTGATTTCTTGACTGGCTTGGGCATTTCGTCTTCTGATTCTACTCCATCACTATGATTTTTTAAAACCGATAGTACCTCATCATCACTATTATCATCATCTAGTACCTGCTTCTTTTTCTTATTCTTCTTAGCAGATTTTTTCACTGGAGCTGGTTCAGTATCACCGTCAGATAGTTTCATGTCTACATCTTCATTATCTGACCAATCATCCTTTTTCCCTTTGCCTAATTGGAAAATAAAATAATATAATGATAACTATATCATCTAAATATATCTTCACTGTTGAAGTTATTCTGATGGAAGTTAAACAATATTTTTTTAGTAATTCTCATCAAAAAATTATTTGAAAAATGGAAAACAAAATTGTTTACCACATTTAGTATGACTAGAACAGAACCCCTAGTATAAAAACCTTTAATCATAATCTGTCCATGGTATTTCAAACAAAGGGGGGTTTAAAAATGTTTCATCAATGCTACAAAGGGTACCTTTAGGATGAATGTGAAAAATACATGCTTTTTTGTATTTTTTCAGCTATTTTCAAAAACCAAAGTTTTAATATTTTGATCAGCTCAAGTGATTTCAAAAGTTGACAGTTGATAATGAGTAATACAAAGAGAGTTTATTCTTTTGTATGCCAAAGATGAGTGGCAAACATTACTTTGGAGAACCTACTATATCCTTGATTATATTTTGTTTGTTTGTTTGATTTACTTAGCATGATTGCTACAATTACATTCTTCTAAAAAACTAAATAATTACATAGCATACAGACATACAGAAAAAAAACAAAATTTGCATCTCCTGAGAATTTTCATTGTCCATGAAATATTCCTTTGATTTTCTTTTAAATATCTTTGAATTACAAGTAGACTTTATATTATTTAGTTTATTAAATTCAAGTAATCCTTTCTGAAATATTGGGTATCTATCATGCATTAGCATTTCGCGAATAAGAATATCCAGTTTAAAAATAGTCAATCTGTACACCAGGCTTGAAAGATCAAATATAAAAACGAGTTAAAGTACCTGCAGTACCTATGTTGTATTTAAACCTGTAATTAGTCTAAAAATATAAGAGGTTCAAGTTCTATTAGGAAGGTTTGGTATAGTAACCTTGTTACAAACAGATTACCTTTTTTAGCAGCCTTTTTCTTTGCAGCCTGTTGAGGTGCATTTTCAGGGACTTTGGAACGTTTGACTGTTTCATCATCATTTTCTTCATCACTCCAATCATCTCTTTTACCTTTCTTTCCCTTTTTAGTATTTTTATTTTTTGTTGGTTTGTTGCTGGTACTTTCAATATCCCCGTTTACAGACCCACCTTCAATATCATCATCTAAGTTTACTTTTTTGTTACCACGTTTCTTGGACATCTTTTCGATATGTTACGTCTAAACGAAAAGTGCTAATTTATCTGCAATATAAATAAAATACTACAACACTCAACATAACTGGCATGCTTCGAAATACCAAATAACCATACCTCAATAATACTGGGAAGACGTTTAAGCAAATGAATTTCTAAAATCAAAAAGGGGTATCCCTTGTGTCCTTTTGTCAACCTCAAGTAACTGACGGCTGTTGACAGTCATGGATAGTGACAGTCACAAAATATATACACGGGTGACACTGACCACTGACTGTCACTGACGCCAGCAAAAAGTGATTTTCCCTTGTATGTGAGGTGTAATTCCTTGTGTACTATGGTCATTTTTGGCAGATTGGCCAATCAAAAATTATATTGGTAACATAGCCACGCCTCTTTACCTCCTCGTGTGACAAATGACAAACTGACGTGAGTGACATTCGGACATTCCGACCGGGCATTGCATGTTTTGTGATTGCAATTTGCTTTGTTTTTTAGGTTTGGTAGGTGACTTGTAATTTTTCTAAAAAACTCAGTTTTTATTAACCGCATTGGATAAGTGACTTCTCAATAAAACGTAAGTTCGTTCGTGATAATTTGTCTATCAAATTCTCAATGTTTCATTTTATTTGATTTTAGCCAACTTTCAAAGTTACCGTAACAGTTCATTCATTCTCTTTTTACAATTTTAAATTAGTTAAACCAGCTTGGTATTGCACATAAATTAATTTTTGGCTGCTCCTTCGTATTGTATTGATTTCTATACTACTGTTGCAGAATACCATAACAGTTTGTGAAAATGGAGTCCATAGCTACAGATTCTGGGAAGATTGTGAAGATGGAGGTTGATTACAGTTCTACCTGCGATGAAAAGATTCCTGAATGTGAGAAACTTGCCAAATCAGGCAGACTGCATGATGCTTTGGATCAACTGTTGGCTCTGGAAAAGCAGACACGAACTGGCGCTGATATGGCCTCTACTGGACGTGTCTTAGTGGCCATTTGTAGATTATGTAAAGAAGCTGGAGACTGGGCTGCTCTGAATGAGCACATTGTATTACTAACAAAGAGAAGATCACAACTGAAGCAGGCAGTTGCAAAAATGGTAAGATATGTACAATAATAGAGGGTGAATATGCCTGTGGTCAGACAGTTTAGACAAAAAGGAATACAAAGTGTAATTATGAATTTTGTGTTCAAGATCACAAAACTACTGTTTTTAGAGGTGATCATATGTATTGTTTACTTTTTTGCTGACATCAAATACATTGCTTATAGAGATAGGTGTAATTTTATAAAACAATATTAATCAAAAAGGTGCTATTTTGCCTAAACTCCAGCAGAAGGTGCTACTAGTCAGCTGGTTAGTTTCCAATTGTTGGACAGAGTTTGATAGGCAGTTTTATACAGGTCTGTATTTAAAAATGTGATAGTAGTAGCTATAGAAATTTCAAATCAGTTGTAATTAAGACTTTTGGCAAATGGAATTGAACACACTCAACCTGAATCTATTTAATATAGATATCTTTATCAAAAATACATACAAACTATATAAAAATGATCAAGAACCTCACTTTTTCCTTTCATAATGGTGTTACACTGTTGACTTTGAACTACCATATTGTTTACATATTTCAAGTAATTTCCCAACATTTCTCACAACTTCAACTGTCTCCATTAACCTGTCTTCACTTTATATATGGAATTTTTTTTTCTTGGCATTATTTGCTGAATGAAGTGGAAATGTGAAATTTTATTGCACAGTTTTGTGAAAAAATGGCCAGTTATTGGGATGCTCTCAAAAATTAGTTCATTCCAGTAGTTGGCCAGTAATAGGCCATAATTTACATTGTTATATTTTGCTGCCTATCCACTGGCTGGGACTTCAGTCATGTTTGGGTTTGTTTAATTCCAAGAGAGAAGTTTGATATTCTCCATGGTCAGAAAGAAAAAGATAGATGCCAATTACCAGCAAGAAGTATAGGATTGCAAATATTTTACCAATAATACAATATTTGTGCAAGTACTGGTACTGCCCAGGTTACTGGCACATTCACCCTACTAGAATGTAGTTTTTACTGCACTAAACATGGTTGAATGTTAAATGAAAGTTATATTTCAGAGTTGATAGAGAGATTAATAGTTCAAAATTGTGCACTCCTTAAAAGAGATTTAAAATGATATATCACATGACCCCCAAAAGACTGTTCTAATATGGTGCCCAGCCAAAATGTTAAAATTCTAAATCCATGCTAAAATGTTAGTATTTATGTATCAGTTCTTTTAATCCAAATTTCTACTACCTGTTCAAAAAATAATTAGAGAGAATACGAGGGATGTCTTTTATGTTTTGCATATCGAAATAAAACGACACGGTAGGTAGTTTTAAATGACTTTATTGTTTAGTATTCTCCATGAAGATTAATACACATCTGCATGCACTCGAACCAATTTTCGAAGCACTTATTCCACTCGTTTGCTGGCAGATCCAAAACAGCATTTTTGAATGCGTCAACTGCTTCTTCTGGTGACTGGAACCTTTGACCACACAGTCTGTTTTTAATTGTGTCGGAACAGTAAATCCACGATTCATCACCACTAACAATGCTGTACACATTTTTGGAGTTCCCGGAATTGAAACGTTCAAGCGTTTTTTGACACCAATTAACCCTGGTTGCTTTCTGCTCTTCAGTCAACAGGTGGGGTATCCAACGAGAAACTAATTGTCTTACTCCTAATTCTTCATGTAAAATTTTTTGTATTGAGGTCTTTGACATCTTCAAGGACGCCTCAACCTCGCGATATGTCACATGTTTATCTTCAATGATGAGTTTGCGCACATCATCGACGTTTTCCTGGGTGACTGCCGTTTTGGTGCACACACCCTGGGATTGTCGCTAAGACTCACCCGTCCACGTTTTAATTCTCCATACCAACGGGAAATTGTCGACTGATGTGGCGCTTCTTGGCATTCTTGTTGCGATAATTGTCTCTGAAAGTTGTAATAAATTATGGCGCGAAAATGTTCACGGTTGAGTTCCATTTTTCTAATGACTTGATGACACTTAAAAATTCACTGTAGTGAGAACATGTATTGTTGTGAAACTATGAATTTGAGTTTACTAAAGAGTGAGGTTAAGATTCAGTACTGACGTTCGATCCGCGCGGCTTACTATGTTTCTATATGCAAAACTTAAAAGACATCCCTCGTATTGAAGGGAGGCACTATATATGAAAAAGTAGTCCCAGGATTGGAAACTTTCATTACTTCTTGGAGAAATCAGTCTACCTAATGTTGGTATTTGAATAGGTTCAAGAGTGCTGCACTTATGTGGATCAAGTTCCAGACAAAGAGACAAGAATTAAGCTTATTGAAACATTAAGACAAGTTACAGAAGGAAAGATTTATGTTGAAGTAGAAAGGGCCCGACTAACACATAAATTAGCAAAGATTCGTGAAGAGGAGAGTAACATTCAGGAGGCAGCAAATATTATTCAAGAGTTGCAAGTAGAAACTTATGGCTCAATGGACAAGCGAGAGAAGGTGGAACTCATTTTGGAACAGATGAGGTTGTGTCTAGCAAAACAAGACTATATTAGGACCCAAATCATTTCTAAGAAGATCAACACCAAATTCTTTGATGATGATGGTAGGTGAAATATTGAAATTTTATTTTATATATCTTCAACTGATTTTAAGGATAAATAATACACTCATATTAAGTTGAATATACATTATAAGAGGCATCTGCTCAGATATCTTTATTAAAAAAACTTGCAAGTCACTTCTGCAGGAAATCAAGGAGTAAAATGTATATTTTTCATTTGTAGGTACATCAGATTTGAAGCTGAAGTATTATAGATTGATGATGGAGGTTGATCAGCATGAAGGCTCATACTTAGCAACTTGTAAACACTATAGAGCTGTACTGAATACTTCAAGCATAATGTCAGATCCTACCGAGAGACAAGCAGCTGCTCAAGCTGTTGTGCTCTATCTTATTTTGGCAACACATGACAATGAACAGGTATGTGACAGAGTTATCTGATTGGAGGTTTAGGAACCTAGTAACCCTGCAATCATACTTAAACTTTCACATATAATTTTTCATTTTTTCCTTATATATGTCTTTTTCATTTGTAATGATATTATATATACTTGGCACTTGACATATAAAGCACATTGTTTATTCAGGTGGATTTAACTCACAGGGTACTGCAGGATAAGGTACTTGAAGAGATTCCTATGTATAAAAAATTGTTAAAACTTTTCACAACACCAGAGCTCATCAAATGGTCAGGACTTTGTGAATTGTATGAGAAGCAGTTGAAGGCTACACCAGTATTTTCAGGAGATGAGCAGGCTGAAAAAAGGTGGAATGATCTGAAGTGAGTGAATGTTTATTTTATGTAACCACTGAAAAACAAAAACTTGTTTTTATTGCTTTGTGAAAGGCGACTGGTACTTCAAGCCCAAAGGGTATAGAAATATATATAATATATATATATATATATATATATATATATATATATATATATATATATACAGGGTGACTTTGAAGTTGAGTCATTAATTTTCAGATAATGATTGTAGAAGGAAGATAAACCAAAATATGTGTGTAAAAATTAAAAAAAAAATAAAAAAAAAATGTTACCTTGTTTAATAAAGTATCCTCCCGACAAGTATTTCAGTGCGGACCTGTATTTGATCGTGCGGTCTTGGAGCAGCATGCCCTCACCTGTGAGGTCTTAAGTCACCTGATTCACGAGCCCTTTGCACTACATTAACAAAGGCACAAGGGGTTGGTTGCACTCGATTGGGAAACCGATTCACATAAATCCGTGATGCATCCGGGAGCATTTCGTAAAGACTGCCCCCCCGTAAATAAGAATCATGTCCACAAGTTCAGCATTTTCGTAAACATGTGCCATTTTTGATTTCGTTTGAGCCACGCAACACACTACTATTCACTCACGTTTTATCGACTGACGAAAAACATCGTGATAAACGTTTCAAATTCTTTCGCTTTTTTGTTTCCGATGCGATGAACCGGTCAGGCGGATTATATCCGTTGTCGCCAAACACGAGCATATAATAGGCAGGGCGGTACTCAAACTTCCAAAGGGCTATAACTTTGTTACTTTAATTTTACCAGAAAAATGGTAAAGGAAAAAAACATTTCTTTTGATCAGATCTACTCACTGTTAAAATAAATGACTCAACTTCGAAGAATATAATTATGGCTTCTTTATACTATTCATTGTTATACCGCAGAATACTATAATGTAGTTCAAACATATTTTTTTTTGTATAATGCTGCAATGATTAACAACTCAATGCCACAGCCGTAAAAAAAAATTCATTATCAGTTTTTCGTCATAAAATTAAATTGTTTGTCTTTGATTCGCAATTCAACTGACTACTGCATCAGCATCACATAGATTACAGTGCCGTATACATCTTTGGTTTTTGATTAACTGTTGCCATTAGTGAAGAACATCCCCTGGTCCCCTTTCTTGGCTAAGTGTACGAATAGTTAAGCAACACTTTAGCTATAGCATAGCTGGTCTGTAAATGTAGCAAATAAAGATGTCTATTATTATTATTAAAACTCATTTCTTACAGATCCCGTGTGGTGGAACACAACATCCGCGTAATGGCACGATACTACACACGCGTACGCCTGACTCGCGCCGCCGAACTGTTGGATCTCAGTCCAGCCGAGACTGAGGAACGCCTTTCCCAGATGGTGGTGAATAAGTCAGTGCGTGCCAAGACCGACAGACCATCTGGTGTCGTCCACTTCGAGCAGGCCAAGGACCCTGGAGACGTGCTCAACGAATGGGCTTCTGATTTGTCCCAGCTAATGAAGCTCGTCAACAAGACCACCCATCTTATCAACAAAGAAGAGTGTGTGCACAAGTTACAGCCCGCGCATGCCTAAGCCTAGAAATTTGACAAATGTAGTCATGATTTGAACATATAGCCCCTCCGTTTGGCGCATAAGACAGTGCTCAATTATGGCTGATTTTTTGGAAATTTCTGACTACTTGAGAGCCAGGATTTGATTAATTTGTAACTCTGTACTCTGAGAATTCTAATTTTACAGCTTGTCATAGGTTCTTATGATTTTTTGTTAATAAATTTAAAAAAACGTTTATATGATTTTCTTTTGAGAAACATACAAATACCATACAAATCAACTGCCACGAGACCCCCTAGACTGACATTTTTGAGGGATGTTCCATGATTTCTCAGGTAACTCATTGTATATCTGTAATTATTGTTTGTAGTATGTAATTATTGTTTGTGATATTATGTTGATTGGGTATTGGGAACTATTGTTATTATTGATAAATAAGTTATTTGTTGGTTATCATTGTTTTCACACCTAAGTATGTTATTATTAGTGTATCTCCAATTAATATTGAATAATGTGTACATTTGTATTTTTATAAGGAACCGCTGAGATTGTTAAAGTGATGTGTCTTATGATATAGCCAGCATTGTTTACGTTAGAAAGATGTCTAAGCGTTGACGACCGACGCGAGGTAATAAAAGAGGAAGGTCTTGAATCGGCAGTCGTACCGGGTAGAGCTAATAAAGCCGTTCCACGGGAAAAACCGGTGTTTTATTCCACACGCCCGTAATAGGTCAGAAGTGGGATCAACAGGACTACATTTTTTTTTTTGGTGTTCAACTGTTTAAAAAGTGACAGTGACTTTTAGTGAACTAAAATGAGTGAGATCGGGGAAGGCGATGACGAATCGCGTCAAAATCAAATCTATGATGATTTAATCGAAAAACATATACAAAGACAAATTACGGCCGCGATAAAAAGAAAATTCGATGCCAATCCTAGTACATCGATTATACCAGATTTAGGAAACTTAAACCTCAATCAGAGCAATGCTGCTACCACGGATAGTAGCACGGGAAAATTGACATTTAAAAGTGATGTAATTCCACCATTTGACCCAGATGATCGCTATCACACTGTGGTATCATGGCTTAATAAAATCGATCAACTATCCCTCATCCATGGATGGACTGATTATGATAAATCTGCATATATGCAAATGAAGTTAAAGGGTGCAGCACGTGAGTGGTTTTTTCGTTTAGATGACTACGATAGAACTTGGACTGAATGGAAGACAGCGTTATCCCGAGCGTTTCCCAGATGTGTTGACTATGCGACTTTATTAGAAGAACTAGTCGCCCGAAAAAAGACCGCTGACGAAAGCATGACGCATTATTATCATATAAAATTAAATTTGACGCAACAATGTCGTCTAGACATTGAAGCCACAATATCCTGCATAATTCGAGGGCTACCCAGGAATTGCAGCCAAACGCCCGCGCATTTGAATGCACCACTCCAGACCAGCTGTACGCAGGATTTATCGCCCCTATGGATAACTACCAGAGCATTAACAAGGACGCGATACAGCATCTAGTTGGAAAAAGACCCAAAATTGAATGCTTCGTTTGTGGGAAGTTGGGCCATTACGCCAAGGATTGTTGGAACTGGAATGCACCATCGACTTCGAAGCAGAGAGGACCAGGACCTTTGCGATGTTCAGTTTGCCGCCTGACCAACCATGCCACAAAAGATTGCTTCAAACGACAAGCGGGATCAACCCAAAGACAAGACATCAAACGGTGCAATGTTTGCAAAAAAACGGGGCACTATGGAGAAGATTGCTGGCACAAGAAGAAGGACGTCGAAGTTAACACTTTAGGGCAAGTACAAAATAATCTATACAAGTTCAAGGTCATTATAAATAATATCCCGTTTAGAGGGTATTTAAATACGGGAAGTTCAATAAATGTTGGAAATATGAAAGTTCTAAATAAAACGAAATTAAAATTAATGCCCTCCAATATGGTTATAAAAGGTTTTGGCGAGTCTGTAGTGATACCGAGAGGTATAGTTAAAACTGATATTTCAATTGATGAGATACAAATGTCTACAGAAATCATAATAGTCAATACACCCATGAATGATAATGATGTTATTATACTGAGTCAACCTGACATAATGTTAGAAATTAAACCTAATAAGATTACCATATCGAAGTATCAAAATAACAGTGCCCTACATGTAGAAGAATTAAACAGCTTAGACATTTCTCTCATAAAACATGGCGATTTAGAAAAAAACGATGTTGGTCAATTATTGCGTCTATTAGATCTAAACCAGTCATGTTTTGCGCAATCAACAGCCGAACTAGGCGCAATAATTAATACTGAATTCTCTATAACCTTAAATTCAAAACAGACTATATATTATAAACCGTATACGTTATCAGAAAAAGAAAAAACAATGATGCGGGAACAAGTAAATGAATTGTTAGATGCTGGTATTATACAATCTTCTAATTCGTCATACGCTAGCCCTGCAATCTTGGTAAAAAAACCAAACGGAGGTTACAGGCGCTGCGTAGATTATAGAAAGCTAAAGCTATTACTGTAAAAGATCGCTACCCATTACCAAATATCGAAGATCTCATAAATAAATTGGGCGGAAATAAATATTTTTGTAGTCTCGATATGAAGAAAGGTTATTATCAAATACCCCTGACAAAGGACTCAATTGATAAAACCGCGTTTATAACTCCGGAAGGGCAGTATGAGTTTCTTCGTTTACCATTTGGTTTATGCAATGCTCCCGCAGCCTTTCAAAGATGGGTAAATAATATTATGGGACCGTTACGTTATTCAGAAATATCAATTTATCTTAACGACATTCTAATTCCATCGAAATCCATATCGCAAGGCATGGAAAAACGAAATACTATTCTAAACATATGCCACAAAAACAATTTAAAATTAAACTTACAAAAATGTTATTTTTTCAAAACGAAAATTGATTTCCTAGGCTACGAAATAAGTGAAAATGAAATAAAACCCGGTTCAAAAAAGCTATTCAGGACTTTAAGATCCCTTCAAATGTTCATGAAATAAGATAATTTTTAGGTCTCAGTTCGTATTTTAGAAATTCATCAAAAATCATGCAGAAATAGTTACACCATTAACAAAATAGCTGAGAAAAGACATAAATTTGGAATGGGGTAAAAGTCAAGATGAGGCGGTTTCAAAAGTTAAGTCAATCTTAATGAATAAACCTGTTTTAACAATTACAATCCAGAATATCAAAAAGAACCACACACTGATGCTAGCTTAAAAGGTATCGCAGGTATCCTTCTACAAGAATCAAATGACGGTTTAAAACCAATAGCTTATTACAGTAGAGCAACAACTGTAGATGAGTCATTTTACCATTCATATGAATTGGAAACCTTAGCAGTAGTCGAGTCCATACGACGATTTAGAATCTATCTTCATGGTACCCATTTTAAAATTGTCACAGATTGCAGTGCAGTACGAAGTACATTTGTAAAGAAAGAATTAGTAGCTAGAATAGCCCGTTGGTGGCTAGCTATACAAGATTATGATTTTCAAATCGAACATCGCCCGGGGCACAAAATGGCGCACGTAGACGCACTAAGTCGAAATACGGAGAATATTTTAAAAATCGATATTGACGATTGGGCATTCGAATAATTCGTGAAAAATTAAAAACAGGCCCAGCAGATAAGGAAATAAAAGTCACATATTGTCTTAAAAACGATAGGGTTTACAGAAAAATATTAAATGGGGAATTAAAGCTTGTAACTCCGAAAATGTGCAGTTTTAATATAATGAGAAAATACCATGACGAAATAGGTCATATCGGTTTGAAACGATGTGAAGCTTTGGTAAAAAGTAAATTTTGGTTTCAAAAAATGACGCGCTTCATAAAAAATATGTTTATGCCTGTATTGATTGTACATATAAAAAAGTCAGTATGGTAGAAAAGAAAGTTTTCTTCATCCGATACCTAAACCAAAGGAACCCCTCTGCACATGGCATATTGATCATTTAGGACCTTTCTGTAAAACAAATAAAAATTATGCTTACATTTTTATGATTGTCGATTCATTTTCTAAATACTTATTTGCTAGACCAACTAAGACAATAAACTCAAAAGAAGTAATTTATTGTTTAAGAGATTTATTTAGTATGTTTGGAACACCAAAAAGAATGATTGCCGATCGTGGCAAGGCGTTTAAATCTAAAACCTTTAAAGAGTTTTGCGATGAAAGAAAAATTAAATTGGTTTTGAATGCTGTAGCTTCACCACGCTCCAATGGTCAGGTGGAACGCTATAACCGTACTCTTTGGTCGGTATAAATACAAGTATACAGGACGAAAACGAATGGTATGAGAAAATGTCTGGGGAATGAATAACACTATTAGTGAAAGCACAGGGTACACTCCACATACATTAATGTTTGGCTTTGATAGAGACCGTTTTGGTAACTTGGAGCAAGAAGACATATTTCCTAAAAACAGAGAACAAGTTGCAGAAAAAGCAAAACAAAAAATGGACTTACAAAGTAAAAAAATGAAAAAAACATTCGACATGAAACGAAAAGAAAGTACCAAATACAATATCGAAGATTTAGTTCTATGGCGTGGAGCTAAAAAAGACACCAAGGATGTTAGCCGCAAAACGGGTGTAAAATATGGAGGACCTTACAAAATATCGAAAGTTCTCGAAAACGATCGGTATGAAATCATTGCCTTAAAGGGAATGAAAGGTTATCCACGGTATTCTGTAGTTGTTGCTGCAGATGCAATAAGAAAGTACAAATCCGGTGCTATAGAATCCGATACATCTTCAGATTCTGAAATAAATAGCACGGATGAATTAATTGATTTATTGGAGTCATAAAAATGTAATATCATTAACATAACATTCCTACTATTAATGGAACACCATAGATATAGTTAACACAATATAATTCTTCAAAATATTCGCAATGATTTCCACTTAAAAAAAAGTCTGTTTTATGGGTAATGGATCATCCTACCCGCAAAATGATAAATAATGCCTAAAGTACTTTTACAAAGTGATCTATATGTGTTTCAGCACTAAAACTAAATGAAGACCCATCCAATGACCCTGGTTCGCTAGGACGCGCAGAAAACAGGATGGCCGAGTGTAATTATTGTTTGTAGTATGTAATTATTGTTTGTGATATTATGTTGATTGGGTATTGGGAACTATTGTTATTATTGATAAATAAGTTATTTGTTGGTTATCATTCTTTTCACACCTAAGTATGTTATTATTAGTGTATTTTCAATTAATATTAAATAATGTGTACATTTGTATTTTTATAAGGAACCGCTGAGATTGTTAAAGTGATGTGTCTTATGATATAGCCAGCATTGTTTACGTTAGAAAGATGACTAATCGTTGACGACCGACGCGATGTAAAAAAAGAGGAAGGGCGGGCAGTCTTGAATCGGCAGTCGTACCGGGTAGAGCTAATAAAGCCGTTCCACGGGAAAAACCGGTGTTTTATTCCATACGCCCGTAATAATATCCTTTAATCCACCTGATAAAATTGATTACTATTGTTCAACGTGTTTGTAACATGCCAAAATCACATAACTTTTTTATATTATTTTGATCACTTAAGCTTAGGCCAAACTCTTTTCAGTGATTTTCTTCTGGCAAATTTCATAGTTTATTGATCTATTGAGCTCGAAACCACCTAATCCTGAAAGTATACTCAGTGACATTAGAAGTGTTACACTCAGAAAAAATAATTTCTTCGACTTGATTTTTTTGCAATGAAGTCTTACTTCAAGAATGAAACCATAACATTCTAACGAAATTTAATTGACAAGTAATAAGAAAAAAATAATGTCTTGGGCGACCCCGCAGCTGAAAACACTCCTGTATTTATGTGGATTAGCTGTGGCGGATGGTGCAAAGTCGTTAGTCTCCTCCCCATCATATCTTACACATGTTCGATGGGATGTAAGTCCGCGGCAAAGCATTAACGTCTGCTTCTTGAAAAAAGTCGGTAGTACGACGAGCAATATGACGTGCGTTGTCTTGCCGAAAAAGGACGTGTAGACAGCCCTATAGATACGCCAGTAAAGTGGTTACCATAGGCGATAGCCCCCGAAACCATTACTCCAACAGTCCTGTGTATATGTCCCTCATCAGCAAATCGAATACCACGCCGCTCTCCACGGCGGCGTCTTACCCTTCTACGATGATCGTTCGTACCTAGACAGAATCGTGATTCGTCACTGAAGTTGACACTATGCCATTCTGCCTCCCAATTTTGCCGTTTTCTGCTTCCGTTCAATCATCGACGACAGTGGTCCGCCGTCAGAGAAAGCACTAACCGTGGACGGTAGACAATAGAGAGTACGTATAGTAATGGCCTGGTCACAAGAGATTCGTCATAGCGACTGAAACAAACGCATAGAAATGTACTTATCAAGCCACGCTCAGCGGCGAATGGCGAAGCGACCGGCGAAATGTACCGAGCGAATCGCGCGGGCGTCTGGCGGCGCGGCGGGTGAGTGAAACAAAGGCATGAATCACTACGGCGCAAGCCGCGGAGTCGAGCGGCAGTCGCGGCGAATAGTGCAGTGATCAAACTCAAATAAATAACATATTTTTGTATAGTGTGACATTAGACAGCTAACCATATTTTTCGCAATAACAGTTCCACGCGTAGCAGCTCTCCTTCTAGTCTAGAATTTCTCCCCCTTTGAGTCACGGCGCATTAGACGTTATTTAGGATTGTGTGGAGTTCGAAGTCATACATACAAATTTAATTATTAAGAATATCCATCAACACGAAAACCTATGAGGTATTGAAATCAGGCAATATCGCACGGTCTTTGAAAACCTATATTATATAATAAAATATTTCAGAACTTTCATGTTTGCGCTAATTTTCAATCCCATTTCTTTCATCTACATCCAAAAAGTAGGGTCTGAAATCATGTTTTCATCAAAAACGGCTGGTGTAACTAAGCTAGAGAATTACCATTCCCCAAAATATATAGATAGGTACATACCTTAATGTCAAAAACAATTTTCCAGCGGCACTTAAAATTCTATCTGAATTGATTTTTTTCCAATTCTGGTTGAATATTAACTAGAATATAATCGAAGGTTTCGAGACTCATTCTGGTATACTCAAAATAATTACTGGATACAAAATCTGTATTTCTCGTACTTCTTGTGGAATTCTCCACCTCTACCCCGACTCCTATTGAACTCATTTTCTCCATAATCTCTGCCATATATCGTCTTGAACCAAAAAACTATTACTTTCTAAGCAATATCGAGATAATGGTGATAAAAGCATTTTGCTCTCGGCCTATACGAGCCGCGACGGCGAATTTGACTACCTGTGGCCAGCTAAAGGCCTATTCATACTCAGCCGTGCTGTGACGTGCCAGTGATTCTCGCTGACTTGAGATCACAGTGTTTTCAATTCACACCGGTCAGTATTTTTCTCCGTGCTCTGACAGTGCAGTTGTGTTCACGTGAGGTCGAGATGGCAAAATTTTCAGCGGATGAACTTGCAATTATTTCATTAATTCTGGATTTCTATTTTTTTATACTCCAACTACGACGAATGCCTAAGGCCTAAACACCTATGGGGTACGGTGGTGCTATAGGGGGAAACACAGGGGAAAGGGGGGACGCCACACGGACTCTGGCGAGGGATCACGTGTGCATAAAACATGCACACATTCTGGCCCCGCCTACGAGATCCGCCGGGTGGTACCTCCGCGTTCGACAGTCAGAGACCGTCTACCACCTGTACGAAAGATGAAGAATAAGAAAACGGAAGTCCTTGTATTTTTAATTTGACTGGTTCTTACAGCACGGGATGTACGCGTACAAATTCAATTAGTTTTCCATCATTCATGTTTTTGACCAATTATATCAAAATATTCACGAAATTACATAAAAACACGGCTGTGAAAATCGAAAAATATCGTTCCAAAAAGGCCTATTCATACTCAACCGTGACGTGACAGTGCTGTGACCGGCACACGTGATCCGCCCGGCGAAACTAAAAACATTCTTCATGGAATTTGGATGAACTGATTCACACTAGACCAGCACGTGGAAGTGGCCGTGTTCTCAGTACCCTCGACGACGCCGTACCATGATCATCGCATTGTTTTGGAACAAAATTTTTCGATTTTCACGGCCGTGTTTTTATGTAATTTCGTGAATATTTTATAATTGATCAAAAACATGAACGATGAAAAACTAATTGAATTTGTACGCGTACATCTCGTGCTGTAGAACCAGTCAAATTCAAAATACAAGGACTTCCGTTTTCTTCTCGTTTCTTCTTCATCTTTCGTAGGTGGTAGACGGTCTCTGAACGTCGAACGCGGAGGTACCACCCGGCGGATCTCGTAGGCGGGCCAGAATTTGTGCATGTTTCATGCACACCTGTTCCCTCGCCAGAGTCCGTGTGGCGTCCCCCCTTTCCCCTGCGTTCCTCCTATAGAACCACGGTACCCAATGGGTGTTTAGGTCTTAGGCATTCGTCGTAGTTGGAGTATCAAAAAATATAAATCCAGAATTAATGCAATAATTGCAAGTTCATCCGCTGAAAATTTTGCCATCTCGACCTCACGGAACACAACTGCACTGTCAGAGCACGGAGAAAAATACTGACCGGTGTGAATTGAAAATACAGTGGACTCACGTCAGCGAGAATCACTGGCACGTCACGCCACTGTCATGTCACGGCTGTGTGTGAATGGACCTAAACAATGCGATGATCATGGTGGCGTCGTCGAGGGCTGAGGACACGGCCACTTCCACGGGCCGGTCTAGTGTTCATCCAAATTCCAGGAAGAATTTTTTTAGTTTCGCCGGGCGGATCACGTGCCGGTCACAGCACTGTCACGTCACGGCTGAGTATGAATAGTCCTTCACTGTGTCGCGCGAATGGTCGTCCCGCCCGCCGCATCGCCGTACGCGCCGGCCACAGGACATTCGCCATAGAGAATAATCGCGCGGTGCGAACTACGAAGCGTCCAGCGGTTGAAATAAGCGTGCAGAAATGTACTTATCAAGCCACGTGCAGTGGCGAATCGCGAAAGGTACCGAGCGAACCACGCGAGCGACTGGCGACACGGCGGGTGAGTGAAACAAAGACGTGAATCAGTATGCGCAGGCCACGAAGTTGAGCGACGGTCACGGCGAATAGAGCAGTGATCAAACGAGTTTACTTTTTTCGCCGCGAAAAATGAATACCGAGACTGAAATACTTGCTACGGCAACTATTTGGAAGTTTGGCTACCCACAGCACACGAATAAACAACATAATTCTTGTATTTTAATGTTATGAAATATTAATAAACAGGGTGAAATTTAATAAGCTAACCATGTTTTGGGCAATGGTAGTTCCAAAAAAATTTAGTTATGGAAAAATTATGTTTGCGACCATATGTTTTTTGGGAAAGTTCTTTATATTAAATACAAACCTACATGTCAAAAACAATTTCTCACCGGCACTTAAAATTCTAACTGCATTTTTTTCTTCAATTCTGGCTGAATATTGATCAGAATATAATCGAAGGTGTCGACACTCATTCTGTTATACTCGAAAATTTATTCATGGATACATTCTGTATTTCTCGTACTACTTGTGGAATTCTCCATCTCTACCCCGATTCCTATTCAAATCACGTACTCCAGTCTCGTTCAAATATTATGTCTTGGACCAAAAAACTATTACTTTCTAAGCAATATCGAGATAACGTTGATAAAACATTTCACTCTCGGCCTATACTGTTCGCGGCAGGGAACGTGACTACCCGTGGCCGGCAAACTGTGCCGCGCGTATGGTCGCAACTAATATGTAACGTTAACATTTTAACAAAGGTAAACAAAAACAAAGATAAAAGGTTGACATTGTTGCCACAGCATGCTTTAAATATAGTCATTATGTTGCCAAAAAAAACAAGTTGGAGACATTATTTTTTCTAGGTGTAACACTTCTGTCACCGAGTATATACTTTCACACATATCTTTCTTTCTTAGCGTCTCAGTATTGTGTTGAGATCTCTTCGACACTAATGTTATATTTTATTAATGACTTACTCGGTTTATCCCAAAAATTTACTTATAAAACATTGTTGGTTCCTCGTAAACTGATTTCTTTTACCTGCAACTTTGTTTATAAGCTTTACATAACCTTGCCTGCTAAAACACCACAATCTTGGGAAATAACACAACTTTTTTTATGCAATTGCTGTTGTTTGTGCTTATTATTTTAGTAGATTAATAGATTTAAAAACAATCTTTATTGTTGTTATTTTTATTGAGCGAAGACATTTTATCAGTTGTCAATGTTTTTCCCGAGCAAGAAGGGTCTATCCATAGGCAACCACCGATGTTGTATGTAGGTTCGGTTGCGGAACTTTTCTTCATTTCCAAACGGCTTTGTCAGGATAATTCCACCAGACCATATCTGTTAATCCCCCTATCCTCTTACATCAGGATAATTCCACCAGACCATATCTGTTAATCCCCCTAACGACACTAACTACTTCCATTTGAGATGATTTCCAAATAAACGTGAGAAGTTAATTTTGCCAGATTTTATCCATCCCCCTACAACTCGAGATCCTTCGCACTGTGGGACCTACTGTCGCTCAAGTACACGAAAGATTTACTCAGTAAAACCTACTGTGAGGCGGAACATTGATAAACGAAACTCACGGCAAAATTAAAACATTTATTGATGCGGATAGTTACATTTTATTAAAAATACTCCTATTATTATCATTACGTACAATTTTCATTACAGACAAAATTTACCTAAAATATCAGTCTATTATATAAACGAGGTGGGATAGAATTTGCGATGACATAACAAAACAATGTCCTGTTTTTTTATATAAAACTGTTTTAAAGCGATCCTGCTTCATTCAAATATAATATAGGATTTTTGTTCTCTGGCTGGGATAGACTGCATTACTTTTGTGATTTTTTCAGTAATTTAGCTAATTCTCTTTAACTGCTTGTTTTCAAGAACAAACACTTCAACGAAATTGGCAACTATAGAAAACAAAGCCGTACCAAATCATATATAGGTTGTATAAATGAACGAAAATCATTTTTCGAAATTGTTTTATATGCTAGGGTTCAACCATGACATTTATGGATTTTTAAAGAGGATCTTTATCATACCTAGTGTTCTGGCAGTTTAAGGTCTAACCTGCTTAAATTAGAACACTACCTAAACTTGTAATGAAAACCTTTAAATAGTATCAGAATATTTTGTTTGATATGGGATAATTTTATTCATTTTTAATCACAATGTTTGATAATGTTGATTGGCTCGTATATTATAGAGGACAATAAAGCTTGCATTAAGTGCTTCAAATGCTTGAAGACGTTGCTTTTACAAATTCTTAGCTCAAAGTGAAATGTAACTACTGTTCTTGGTAGCATTTTGTTCTTGATTTGCAGTATGCACTTTTTCATATACCCTAACTGCCAGATTGTAGAGCCACAATAAATCGGTTACCATATAAATAAATAAAAACATTCACTAAAATTACTAGTATGTACAGTGTGGTCAATTATGACCATTGCATATGCACCTCGTAGCAGCATGCATATACAAACCAACATTATTGATATAAATCATTTGCTAGAACTAAAGTCTCGTATTTTCTTACTTTGCAAGCACATTAATAGTATATTGGACATAACAGAGGTATAGATTCTCTCTGATTAACCATGCTCAAAGATGCCATTTAAAACGAGTATAAAGAAAACACTAATGTTATTTGGCCTATTTAAGCATAATTCATCATGAAAACAAACCACCAGATGTGTCCCAGAAATTGTACAAATCCATTTTCTGCAGTTTTATTTGCAAAAATACTATTAGTCCATCCTGTGATTCAAGAAATATTATTTCAAGTGGAAAATTATATGAAAAGCTATGTAAGTGTGAACCCATAAAAATATGGAAAAGCTTCAAGTGTAAGCAGCCTGAAATAATTTTCCATTTAAATGAAAGCGAAAATGAAGAATGATTGCATCTCAAAGTTGATAGGATTTTTAAATGACCCACTACAGTACGAGAGGAATCTATGAAATTTGCTGGATTCGTATAGCATCCGTTTAGATCATAAGCTGCTTTGCACTTTTCATTTTCTGTCTCATTGAATGTCTGACAACTGCATACTCTATTAATTAAAATGAACTTTCTGGAAGAATTTCATTGGTGGACACATACGAAAGTTTTTTGCTTTCTTCTTATCTTTCTACAGTTTTCTTTGATTTATAATTCTTCCATGGTTAAAACTGCAATACAATCAGATATATTCTTAAAATCATCAAACAATCCAGAAGCACTAGAACCCACGTATGGTGTAATCTTAGATGTTTTGAATAGAAGATTATTTTTTATACCTTAATAAAGAATTATATCAGAATTATTAGGATACATTTTTAAAATTAGGTAAATATAGTTCTTATTTCATAACATAAAGGTCTTATGAAGAATTTGGTGGGCTTTTCATTTCAATAAGCATCAAGATTCAAATATAGGGTTACAAGAAAAACATGTTCATTACGTTATTTTGGTTAACAAACGACGGTTTAACGATTTATATTTTTACAGTTTCTTCACATAAAATCCACTTTCATTAAATCGAAACTTTCGCCCTTTTCCTATCTAGAGTGCATTCATATTAACTACGCTACGAATATTTCAAAAGGCCGAAAAGCTTGCACAAGGGTATCAGTTCCAGTGTTTCTTTAAAAGTACCATTCTATTACATTCTCTTCAGAAAACCAGCTACTAATAAATTTATTTAGGATATAACAATACTTTTTTCTTGGTGGTTCAAAGTATTTTTTTTTTCTTTAGGATAAAAAAAATACATTTAGCTTTTGGTGTGCTGAAATTCAAATATCCCAAGAGTTCTAAAAAAACACGGCGTGGCTCGCAGGGTATTTGAGGTTAGAAAACGTTTGAAATTCAAACTAACGATTCTCTTTTGATACTATGCTGAATCATATAATCTCCCGGGTAGGGCACTAAAAGTTAATAGGGAATAACTTCTGTTTGCATATAGTTATTCGTAAAAACAAAGCAAAAACGGAAACAAGTTTTCATAAAGTTATTTATAAAACTTGTGAGTTATCCCCTAGCTATTAGCTTTTAGGGCCATATGTGGGAGATTACACGATTTAGTGTGAAATTCAAATTTTTCTAACCTTAAATTAATACCTTGCGAATTCTGCCTTACTAATCTAGAAACTATTTTCCATAATACTTTGATCATAAAGTTGCCTTTAAAATAGATACCAGGAAAAACTGAAGTGTTACCCACATCCCTCATTCAAATTCAAAATAAAATAATATTGTTTCTAGCAGAAAAAACTCAATAATAATTTGTAATTATCCGTAATTTTGTGTATTCCCGCTACGCAACGCATGATTTCTAGGTAACCAGGTCCGAGATTCGACTATCTTACGTCCAGATAGTCAACAAATACATGCAGTCACATACGACTGGAAAATTTATAATGTCTGTGTATTTTTTTAATGTCATATTATTTTTATCTGCTCCCGTCAATGATAGAATAAGCCGTCGTTATATTTTTCGTAAAGAAACTTCGACCATCGCAAAATGTAACAGTTTTGGAACATTTTCAATGTATTAGTCGCATTCTTCAGACCAGAGCTACCGAAGTGTTCTCTTCGCATTTAACCTGTAAAGACATCTCCATTCTGATGAACGCGTATTAACGTACTATTTGTAAAAATCAAGAGCTACCGCCTAGCACCAAAACAAAACTTTAACAACAGGTGGACATGAGAATCTCATAGTGTACGTGGGACCAACCGAGAATCCAACCCCTGCAGGTGCGCCGTTCGAAAGCTCAACACTTTGAATGAAGAGGCGTTAATCGCTATCTTGTTTCATAACACACGAAAGTTTAACCTACGAACCAGTTCTGGCTTGACCACCACTACTACTTCCCCCGCTACTTTCGTTATTTTGTTTCTTGGGGTCTTCGCCGGAAGTGCGAATAAAGTCTATCTGTGCGTAAGTGGGTTTGGGGGGTTGTTGTGTCGTGTTGCTGCTCGAAGAAGCCTCGGCGTCCTGCTGCGCCAGGTCTAGGCTGGCGTAGTGCAGTTTCGAAGGAGTTTCCGCTGAGGAGTCCGTCTTCGGAGTGCCCCCGGACGAAGGTTCAGCATTGCTGCCGGTCGAACTGGGTGCTTCAGTGATCGATCGCAACACTTCGTATGGGGGCTCTGTTTCTGCAAAATTGTTGAAATTAGGTCAGTCGTACAGAAAGAACACGGCTTTTAAAAATCTTGTACCACAGTTAGAATGTCCGAGGAACATGAACCTCTTGAGGGCAATTTAAATTCAGCAATGAAATAGTGCGAGATTCTACAGGGTGTCCCAGACATCAAACCGGAAACGGAGGATAGGCCAAGTCATAATAGTTATCAGAAAAATATAAAAAAATCAATTTTTTTCAGAGGGAGTGACGGGCAGTGTCATTCTACGTAGTGAAAGCAAAACAGATGGTAACGCCACTTTGATTAATTCGTGAATATATTTATTAAATTCACAAAACACGTTCCTTCGGCAGTAATGCAAACTTAACATCTTATGAATGATCTGGTTATCAGACTGGCGAATATTCCGTTATTAACAAATTTAGCAGCTTCCGGTATTGTCCCGTAGCTCAGCTAAATTTTCGATTGTCTTTGAGTAAACTTTTTGTTTAACCGCTCGCCAGTAAAAAAAATTGAGTGGATTTAGGTCAGGTGAACGGGCTGCCCACGAAATTATACCAGACCGCCCTATCCATCTACTCGGGTATTCCGCATCAATATATTCTCTAACTGAACGGGCATAGTGCGCCGGACAGCCGACTTGCTGGTACCACATATTTGTAAATGCTTAGTGGCACGTCTTCCAATGAATTTGGTGAATGATTTTGTAAAAAGTCTAAATAAATTTCGCTATTCAAGAACTCTGGCAGCTCAAAGGGGACTGGGTGCTCCCACTTAGAATCTCGGTGCGCATGTTTACTTTAAATCGATACTGTCATCTACCTTGCCTCATCAAATGTGGATTTTCTACATGCCACTCGTGTAAGTTGTGTAGATTCATGTAACCATCTTAATTAAATTTCGACTCGTAAATCATTAAAATGTTCTCTGAAAATTGCGGATCTTCCCGGTGTAACATTGTTTGAAAAACTCAACTCTTGGAAGATAATCCCGCGGTTGTAGAGATTGTACGTGGCACGGGTGGAGCTCGTTCGTCCGCAAGATTAGGTGCTTGATTTGGGAATCGTCCTTCTGCGAGTAAACGGTGCCTAATCACAAAAACTCGGTGCTTGGGTTGACGAACAGGATTTGGGTACATCTCACGATAAAGCCTAGCTGCAGCACTACCATTACTACGTTCCCCATAAATGAGGTGCAAGTTGGCGTATTCCTGTACGGTGTACGCAGACATGGTGGCACTACGCAATCATGGATTAATACGAGTGGCGTTACTATCTATCTTGCTGTCACTACATAGAATGACATTGTCTGTCACTCCGTCTAAGCACATATTGAAATTTATAGTAATGGGAACTAAAAGATCATCACTGATTAGATAGTAGATTTTTCCGATTTTTTGTAAAGCCTATGATTTGAAAAGTAGACGACTTAGATGTTCCCCGATGTTTCCCGCTCGACGTCGACTTCTGGGACACCCTGTATCTTAGAAACAACTATACATTATATGAAATATTATGGACGGAGCAATTAAAAAAATAAAGAAAAACAAACAGATACTGTTTTCCATAAAAATGAAGTCAAGTATATTAAGTCTGCTGCTATTGAATCAGCCCTTCAAACCTACAACCTTGCACATATGATTTTTCGGATATCAGGGGTTAAAAATTATTATTTCTGATTTCGCGAAAAGAAAACTCCATCATATGGCCGTGGCTTGGTAGAAAAGGGCGATTTTTCATTTTTTTTAGTTTATCATAGTAGATGAGCCTACAGTTTGTTGAACTTGATGGTGAGTGTATTACCTTCATCTTTCTCCTCACGATCCTCTTTCTGAGGCTGGGTTTGCGCAGATTCAGGTTGTATCCTCTCATTTTCATTAGATACCACTGCTTCCACAGTGGCCGGTGAACACATCATATAGTCGTCTTCATCAGCACTTACTCTACTACTACCGCTACTTGTTACAGGTTGCTGTGATGGTGGTTCGACGGCCTGAAAATAAAGAATTACTGGATTTGTATATAAAGCGAATAGGGCAACGGATTTAATCATTGTAATGATGTTTACAAGGGCTATATTTAATGAGGTCTATCAGATGATATATTAAAAACCCGGATAACCGTACATGTAAGAAACGATTTTAAAAAAATAATTGAAAATCAAAAGCGGACAAAATTAATAGGTAAGCCTTTTGATATAAAGTATTTTAAACGTATTCCACTAAAAATCTGTTCAGTGGAACCGGGTTCCGCGGTTTAAATCTAAGATCATTCCACTAAGAAGTTTGACATTTCAGTAAGTTCACTCATTTTATTTTTATCTGGGAGTTAAGGTGTCTACTAACTTCATTTTAATGAACCTTCGACATCAAAAACTAATGGGATGCTTGGATATTGTAGCATTTCAATTTCAATCCAAAATTAAACCTTTTTTGCAAATTTCGATGTGGGTATGTTTCCACTTCAGTTGGCCCACTTCAAGATTTGTACCAAAATATGCCTTTAAAAACTAAACATGACGAAACTATTTACTTCTAAAACAATTTATTTTCTCAAAAACATTTTAGATAGTCGTAAAAAATACATATTTGAAATCACTTAGACCTATAACCAATACAACATCTGAACACATAAACAATGTGCGAATAAATGCGCGAAGTTAACAAAGCAACAATTGAAAGATTACCATTGCGTAACATCACCTTTATTTTTTATTACGGCTGAAATTCTTTGGGGCATAGTGTTAACCAAGTTTTGGCAAAAATTTGGTGTAAAACAATCCCATATTTCTTCTAGCTTTTGTCTCACTTCGGTGATTGTACGAGCAGGATGTTGTCGTAGAACCTTTTTCATCTCGTGCCACAAAGTTTCAATAGGTGACAGATCTGGACTGCTAGAAACCCATTTCAAAAGTGGTACATTATTTTCTTCCATCCATTTTATAGCCTTTTTTGAGGTATGGCACGCTGCACCATCTTGCTGAAACACAAAATCTTGGCCGGATGTCAAACATTCTTCCATCACTGGTAAAAGCGATTCTTCTAAAATTGCCAAATATTTGTTTCTATCCACATTGCCATCAATAAAATGAAGTTTTCCTACTCCTTTTGATGACATACTGCCCCAGACCACAATGGATGCTGAAAATTTCACTTTTCTCTTCAGACAGTCAACATGGAATGCTTCATTTTTTTGTGAATAACTATACTGCGACTGTCACCAACATAAACGTCGAATCGGGCCTCATCACTCCATTGTATTGCACACCATTGTTGAGGTGTCCATTGTCTATGTTCTTTAGCCCATCTAAGCCGATTTTTCTTTTGCATTGGAGTTAATAGTGGCTTTTCTTTGGCCTATAAACCGATTGTGCAACTTTAGGGTTTTTACTTCACTTTTTTTATAAGAAAATTTACCTTGCAAGTGCTAAATCCCACTTTGTGGGCCTCTCTATGAGTTGTGGACCTCGAAATTCTCCTTCCAACAGCGTCACTCCACAGGGCACTTAATTGTAAATAATTGGCACGCCTGTTTTTCACCATTATTCTTCTTCATGCTCTTCGGTCGGCATTTATATTAGTTTTTTTCACATATCGTGGCTTAATATTAACTGAACCAGTTACGTTATATCTTCTAACAATATTTCTCACACTGTACCGCGATAAGTCTAACAAAGTTGCAATTTCTGAGTTTGATTTCCCAGAATTAAAAAATTTAATTATCAGTAACCGAATTTTCTCACTAATAACCTTTCCTCTACCCATTTTGAAAACCTTCACTACCCAAAACTATTTTAAACATATTCTGACAGCTGTGATTAATAAAAACAATTGTCATGGCTTTTATTTTTCACAGCCACCTATGTATGCGTTATAGACTTATTTTACATTGAAATGAAAATAGGTTGATATGCTGTAATTGCAACATGTGCTATTTTTATGCTGCAAATTTGATTAGGGAGTGATAAAGTTGGTGTTTTCTACTATATATTATCAAAATATTCATTGTTAATATTTTAAACCTATAACACCCTGCTACATTTTTATTATTTGTGTTTGATAAGAAAAAAACTAAGAGTTCAATAGTTGGGCCAAATGGAATTACACAACTACCTTGCAAAATCAATTTTTTGTTTACAAAATACATTCTGCTGTCTAGTAGTCAAATAAGCACGTGAGTTCTTCTACAACCGATTGAAGAAGGGAATGGGGAATTCGATTTTCCAAGGCGTCCGCATATGTACATTAAATAAAACCATATGACATGCTATCAAGTTAATACTTGAGTGTAACTTCATATAATAAGCAATAAAAATCTTAGATACCACTAACCCTATTTCCTGCTAAAAGAACGTAAGTCCACAACAGTGTTTCAGCTTTCCCCATTACTGTTAATAATGAAATGTGAAGGGTATTCGAGATTTCAATATTTTAAGACTTGTAGTAGTTGTTGTAGTAGTGATGGTGAGGTGAAGGCTGGCAACTAGGCTCTTTTTAAAGACCAACATTCTACTACTCCATTTACTGGTAACTGATTATTGGATCAATCAGCTTCAGCGATGCGGTACGCCAGTATGGTGCGTATATTTTAAATTTTAGATACAATACTAAGCCCAAAAAAGTACTCTGAAACTGGTTTATTTGTTAAAAACACAATTTTTATTGTTTCTGAAAAATGCAAAATGCATGACTTACAAAGTTTTTGAAATGACCGATTCAATTAAAAGTCAAGTTTCTCCTAATGAGTCATAACTTACGTTACTACTAGTTTGGAAGTCCATCAACGTGTAATCGTCTTCAGGAGCGGCAATGGGTGCTTGCCTAACAGGAACATTGGACGTTGATTTACTAGTGCTACCGGTCTTGTAGAAAGCATTTAGGAGAGCAGCTGGAAACTTTAGAGCCGTTGGGGTTTCTGTCTTGCCAGAGGCGGACGTTGCCGGTTTCATTGGAGAACTGGGACTGTAACACAACGATATTTTATACAACGCTACCATGAGATTACACAGCCGGAGCATCAGGAGGAATACAAATAGCTACACTGGTTCAGTGTTAACCCTCCAAACAGAGCATGGTTTGTGTTAATTTGTAAAGCAGGGGATGAGGATTCTAGTTACTGGTCGAATCTCAGCACCACGTAAATAGTATCAGGGAGGTAATGCCATTTATACTTTTTGATGCAACAATAGTGTAAATTTACATGAAATACTGTGAAAATAATAAGCCAAACAAACAATTACACTTCATCTACAACATTCATGATTCAGCAAAATATCACCAAATGCCTCCGCGGCTCTACGTACGAGATAAAACCCCTGAACTTCGGTACCATAAAAATGACACTTTACCAACATTTATAGTGGTACTTGCGTTTGATCGCATTTACAGAAACTTCTGTCATTTTTGCATGTTCTGACTGTTACATTGGTATATTTTTCTGAAATTTGAATACAGTTTAGTTTCCGAGATCGTCTATATGAAATTTACATGGATTTTTATGAGAAAAATGTTCTCAAATTATTCCGTTTTCGCTAGAAATAAACAACCACACAACTATCCCTAAGGAAAATCGTAGGTGAAAACCGGTCCCGGTCAAATTTAACGAAACTTTGCGGAATGACAGTCCTCAATGTGTAGTTGAAAAAAGTCAAGAGGAGTTACGTCTGGAAAACTGCTACACTGAACGTGCAGCCTTCTAAGCTAATCGATTTCACATGCTGGATGAACATCCAGCGCATTGATTTACGGTCTGATTAGAATAATATTCCCTCACAAAATGACAATGCCACATTTTCTTGAAGCACTTCTGTGCGCAGAATCATTGATTCGCATATTCTACCTGTATAATACGTTAATCAATGGCAGAATATAAATTCGTAGTAAAAGTAGATGCATAGCTTTTTGTTATTTAGAAAATCGCTGAGAACACATCGCAATGCTGCTTGAGCAACGCGAGAAATCTGCGGCTAAGCTCACGTTGGATAAGCGTTCAATTTGACCAGGAGCGGTTTTTCATAAGGATAGTAGTAATACTTTTAGACGTTCTAAAATTGAGGCATCACAGTATTCCAGAGTAAAATTTCATCTGTCATTCTACATTCCATTAATGAGTACGGTATTACAATTCCAAGTGATTTGCAAACGCACCCGAGTATTTAATGGTCATTCCGCCAGTGTCAGCGGATTTCCACGCAACCTTAATAACTGACGTCCTGGCTAAACGGTCAATTAATATTAAATTCCATGATAAATACTGATGGCTCACAGTGACTTCTGATCGTGTTACATTTGCTAGACAACCCTCTTTTTGAGTACAAAATAATCAAATTCAAGCGGATAACCAAATGGAAATGGTATTTACCATTTTGGGTTGGTATTTACCAATCCGTTCAAGCGAGTGTAGTTATCAGTTTGGTTATAAGATCCGTGACGTCACGAATCAGCTGTTATATGTCATAGTTATCACCGCAAAATTGTGGTATTTACCCAACTCAAGAGTAGTTTTATAATTCTGGTTATTATTTGAAATGTGACAAGTTAGAATTTTGCCGGGTATTGGATATTGTTATTGTACTTCAGCTTCATTTTTGAGAAAAATGATACAGGCTGACTTCAGTTTTACCATAAAGTGGAGCACCTTATTAGTTACACTCATTACGGTTGTTGGGGACACTTTAAATGTAGTTCCTATGCTTAACAAAGTATCCTGTGTAGCCATATACCACAAGAATATTAAAATATGGCCATATAAACTCACAAGATGATATCCACCTGTATACGGTTTTGCTAATTTCTTTTTTCATCATTTCTGCTGAATCAATAAATGTTTTTTTTGACATGCGGAAAATTTTAGAGAATTGAAAGTTATCATAGCTACAAAGCCATGGTTCCATCATTAAAAAAAAATCTGAAAAAACATTTCTCCCATGAATATTATGAAAGGTTTCTTATTTAAACTTTCCATATACAGTTGTAGACGAAAAAGCACCGATTATTATGTGATAATAAAAATAATCAGAGATTATATACGCGCTTTTCTAAAATAAACAACTTGCAACAAAACCGCGGTTAAAACCAACGCGTTCAAGCGATTCGTGTAACTTACGTCATCAACCCGTGTGTCATCTTGAACCATATCATAACCGCGGCACATAACACAGAAATTTTGGTTATTCGCTTGGATTTGATTAATGATTTGACTAGTAATAGGAGTTGACTAACCTGTTGAGACTAAGAGGAAATATCGTACTGGAACTGCTGGGTGTGGTGATGCTGGAACCGGAACTGACACTGCCCGTTTCCGCTGAGGTCGATGCGGCGTTCGAGCTGTCCCGCCGATGTCGCTGCCTGGGCAAACTGGAATACGGGGAAGTAAGAGGGAGATGCATTTTGGGAGGGGTACCGCCGCCCCCAGTGCCGAGGGCGCACGCGGACGTTTTGCGGCCCACTCCCGAACCGCTCCACAGGCTGGTGATTGGACTGGAAATGGTCTTGCAGTGCACGTGGGCCATGCACGTCGCCGTAGGGTAGATAGAGATTGGTTGCGATTGCTGGTGCTTGTCTTTTTTCGCTGAGGTGCTGTTTGATGAAGATGTCGGGGTGGGTTTCTTCTTATTGCCTGTGGGGGAATACAATTTTGAATAGAATTAATTCATTATTTACCTATACCCCAAGACAGATTGAGTGTAAACATAGCCAAGCACTGTGAGTAAAAAATTGTCACTGGTTTTTACAAAGATACGAGTCGTATTCTCAAAGTCAAATTGATCTTCCTTGAAAAGTGTTTCAAACAACAAAATGAACTTATAATTTCACCTATATTAAGCGTTATCTAAGAATAATGCGAATGTTACCTTGTCCAAGAGACATGTTAGCATAAGATTCCATCACGCTGCCCATATGACTATCCAAACTGAGCTGTCGATGGTGCCCCCTAGTCGCAACACCTGTACCGCTCATCTCCACATATCCTTCGGTAGCAGTCCTTGAAGAAGTGTTCGAGGAGCTCGCCTCGAAGCCCAGCGGCATGTAGTCGCTGAGCACGCTAGACGCGCTGGCTACTGAGGTACCGGTACGGGGGCTGGTGGAGAGTAGTCTGAAAAAAAAAATAAAGGTTGACTTTGCACTTTCCACGCAACGCTGGTGACAGTTCATGAAGAATTATGTTCGGTACCGTTGAAACATGTGAAAAAAATAGCCACGAATATGTACTGTTAACAACAAATTACATGGATCAAGTCAGTCAAACAGGCTCATATAACTAATCTATAGTTCCCACCTATTGGACAACGTTGCGGTCTAAAAAGTTCAGACCTCGCCGCAGGTATATGTGCACTGTTGGCGTTGCTGCGACGCGTGTGTTGAAAATATTTCTCTATCATTCAATGGCAGATTTACGGGAAACCTATTATATGTAAAAAAAGTCTAATAGGTACGTAGAATTACTAGGGTTCGAAGCGTATAAATATACTAACGCCTAAACATTGAGATATACCCTCCCCCACTTCATGCAACCCTCAATTTTTAAGCCATACTAAAATGTTTCTGAAAATGATCAGGAGCATCTAAAACGAATTTTGAGAGATTTTTATCCTATTTCCTTTTTTGCCTGCAGCTCCGTCGCTACTGAATCGATTTTCAAAATCAACAACGCTTTTTCGTCCTTGACATAGTCGTGCCCTTGTGACATTTCTTCAAAATTTGACTAGTATTTTCCAAGTTATAGCGAGGCCAAAGATTTGAGACAAACCGACGTAAATGAGTGGCATTTTTTTTCGTGTTATATATGTCATATAACATCCAAAAAAACATAATATCTCATTTTTCGCGATTACAATTCTTCATTGCTAGTCGACGCGGGAAGTAAAATTTAGCTGGTTACTAGTCTGTTTCAAAAGTTATGGAGGGTGAATGTGGGGAGTGAGCAACTCGAAGTATGTGAATATGCCTGAGGTATCAGATATTTGTAGATTTCTAAATTAGTCTTTTGATGAAAATCAGTCAAGTCGTTCAAAAGTTAGGCCTATTTTTATATATGATTATTAAGCAAGCTACCAAACGGAGGAGCCGATACGAGTGCGGTTTTTAATCGAAACACTTGTTTGTCAAGGTAGTTCTGAGGTATTTCAAGCTGTGTGTAGATGGGAGACATTCTGAATAATTATTCTGTTGTAGAAAATATAGCTGCTGTTTTACTATTTAATATTTTCTACTTTAGGTAACACTATTTGATATGTATCGGGATAGATGTTTTTTGCTGCTTTGACAATAAGAAGCTATTCGAGATTCACTTGACAGTCGAAAGTTTTTAATTTGTCTAGCGAATAATTTACTATCGATGAACACAAAAAACAAAGGAACTGAATGTTCGTCGCTACCCTTTGCATACGTTAAATTGATCCGTGGCCCAATAAGCAAACCACCATGTATAATGCCTAGAAACCTCTTGGTCAGTCTAATGGGTTTATCCACACTTGGACCCGCATATATACCCGCGCTGATTGTCGGACAGTGAGGAATCGAGTCGGCTTCCAAAAACGTCTTGAAAAGTCTCACAAAACCCATTTTTATAAAAAACCTTACATGCAATTAGAGTGCCTCTCTTGAAATATTGGATTAATAAAACCGATTTTTTCAAGTTGTGTGAACAAACGATGGAGCAAGTTAAAAGAAAAAGAAATCCTGTGCCCAACTCAACGATTGAAATTTCATGTTACCTCTTTTTGTTAGTTTTTCATCCTTTATACATTCAACAAAGAAATGAAGTGTGCCCACGCCACACTTTGAAACCCCTGTAATGTCTGCCAGCGGGCAGTGCAACCTTTTATAAAAAGTCTAACATACTTTCTAGAATTCCCTTTGATATTCAATATGTAATATAAAGTGATGCGCCGTAGCTTCTACTTTGATATATTTTCTTTTGAAATGACTTTAATCATAATGCCCACACATCAAACTTCATTTTTCATGGAGTCAAATATAATATTTCCTTTTTATCTATTACAATTAGTAACAAATAACAAAATACGACAGAACGATTCATATTAACCGAATAGCTATTCCCATACATCAAATTTATAATCAGTTATAACATTAATTATTTATTTTGGTTTTAAAAATTGTATAAAGCTGTGCTTGCTTTATATGCCCATTTCCCAAAATAAAAACAACATAAATATGAAAATTGTTGTATTCGTTTTACTTAACATTAATGCGCCTACGATTTTTATACCCGAAATAGATTCAGATCTTCATTTTATATCTAGTGCAGAACTTTCACGATTATCTTACAAAAAGAAACTTTTATTTTTCTTGATAAGCTATTGACTGCAGAATAATAAAAGATCGAAAAAATAAATCTCATAACCAACCTGGAATTGCCTCCCATGTCCAGGTAATCGTCAGCTGGCGAGGAAGACGGTCTACTGAAAGTTCGCTGTCTTCCCATGTAGTGGTCCGAATCGTGGCCATTAGACATCAGACCGTACTGCCTATTAAAATAAATACAAAACAATAAACATACAACTTACGGAACTGTATTTATGTTTGAAGAAGTGACCATCATAAATTCCTCGACTCACCTTCAAGCCAGTACTAATGTGCCTTTGACAGTTGTTTGAGGAGCTCTATGTTCTAATGAACACGAACAATAGAAAGTACAAAGAAACAAAAAAAGATATTTCTCCATCAATGACACTTACCTGTTGATATCAACAAAAGACGAATAATCCCTGCCGCTGGTGCTGGTATTACTAGCTGTCGTACTAGTTTGACTTTTTGAAGGTGATGTGCCACTCATGTCCACGTAGTCGTTGTTGGTTTGACCAGCAGGTTTCATATCAACGTACGGCGATACATCCAACGTTGACGGAGTCTTTTTATGCAATGGATCCACACCTAAAAAAATATAGACTCTTGAACATACTTTTATATCTAATAAACATAACTGTCTGGCAGATCCACAAAGGTGCCATAAAAACTAAAACTTGTTTTGTTTTTCCATGGATCGCATATATGCTTAAAGTTAGGGCTTTTCTTTACACGCCGTATAGATCTCGGAAATTAAGCAGTTTTTATAGTAACATATACAACAAAGTCCGAGCGGCTCCGCAGAATAAATTAAACCTAAACAAATCCTAACCCGGGTCTACACCTCGTCAGACCAAACGTGAACACTTACTACACCCTATTTCACGAGTATCCATCACGGTAGAGTGACAGTTGGTTATCTAGTAATATTTCAAAATTCCCAATATCGCAAAGAATACATAATTCTGACGGATCCGTCAATGCCAGGTAGACAGAGCCATATTTTGTTTTGATTTTTTGTACACTACAGATTGATTTTGTACTTGCTAAAAGCGCTTTTATTTAGAAAAGTTCATTTGCATACAAAAACAAAACGCTACAAACAAATTTTTGCTAGATTTACACCCGAATTATTATAGCCATTAGCAGACTTACACAAAAATGTCACTTGCTGATCAGCTGTGCACCTCAGTAGATGGTCAAAGCGTGATGGATACTCGTGAAAGAGGGTGTATGCGCATCACGACTCAATCCAGGCGCTGGGCGCGTTAGTAAACAAAACATTTAGACATCGGTCGTAAAAAAACAAAATAAAAATTGCACACTCATTCAGCAATATCGGAGTTATCCATATTACATATTTTAATTTACGGTAAGTGTCTTTCTTTTAGTGTATAAAACTGAGGTGAACACGGTTAACGAACTACGTGTGGGAATTCTGCATAAGTCGAGCACATACATGTGTCTTTGAATCTATCGCAGACAACTTTGAACAATAGTATTTGTACTTGAAATTTCTTTTTGATGGACGTTGAGTACCTTTTCATTTATTTATTTACTTTTTCGCTGTTGTTTCACCACACATTGGTTTTGTTGTTACAAACGTAGTTATTTTTGAAAAGGGAAGTCCCAACTTTCAGGACACCCATAGTAAAATACTCTATATTGATCTCTAAGATGTAAGCAGAACTTATGGTCTAAACTATTATTTGTAAGGTCGTCACTGACAATGAGGTAGTTTTCAAAAAAATAAAGATGTATTATTAATATGCTGATTCTGACAAGTGTTAATTGCGTATTATCACTTTTGTCTATGAGAGGGAAACCCTTGCAAAGCTAAGACTGATCCTTGTGAAACACCCAATGATGCTGGGAATTTTATGAATGAAAACTTGACCAGCCAAAATGAAGGGATCTTTAGCAGAACTCGGCGACCCATCTAAACCGGACGAGCCATAGAACGCTTTTTGTTCGTCAAGGCTCAGTACTGAGTTTTGGAAGCATTAAACTGAATAAGATTGTTGCGTCCCCAAGCAGCGATAACATCCAGGTCTCTCGTCAGAGAGGAAGTCGCTGCCAGAGTTGTTTTTTCCAGCTCACCGGCAGACATCGGCTTGACACACTGAATTCCTGCATGCAGAGTGGTGTCATCAGCAAAGCTGTGGATGGGAGCGATCGGACTGGAAAGAAGGTTGTTGTAAGTTAGAGGAACAATGTCAGAGCCTAGACCGATCCCTGGGTAACACTCGCGTTGACGTTGTAATATGAAGAGGAGAACACGTCAATTACGACGTATATCTTGTGGCCAGAAGAGAAAGTTAGCCACCCATTTGCAACGCTTTTATGGGAGGCCATATGATGGAAGTTTGCATAAGAGGGCAGCATGCCACAACTGATCGAACGCTTTCGTGATATCAAGAGCAACTACATGAGTAACACCATAAAACTGGATGAGTTTATTTCACAATTGCGTGTCGTAAGCTAGGAGGTCCCCTGTGGATCGCTGGTGCCCGAAATCACACTGCCTGTCGCCGTGACGTTCAAGGTATTCGGAAGCTCGAGATTTATATACCTCTCCAACACTTACTTATAACATAAAGCAGAGCTATATGCATGTAGTTATAACGGAGCGACCTTAGATCCTTTTTTGAGGTGGATTGGACTTGAGCCAATTTTCAGTTTTCTGGGAAAGTGCCAAATTAGTAAGATATCTCTTACATGCTATCACAACTATCACAAATTTATTAACAACAAACGAAAAATTAAACACAATCACCAAACAAGATATAAGCTAAGAGGAACAGTTGCACCTTCTCGTAGACCAAATAAATCTCTAACTCAACGATCGTACCTATATTTATGACCAAAATTATACGTAAATTTACCTGACGATATAAGCTTTGGGAATATCAAAAAAAAGAATTGATTTTTTCTCTGACAAGACAAATTAATAAAACAAATTAATACTATACGTAAAAATTATTATTAATTGATAACATTATTAAATTTATTCATATTTTAATACTATGCACAAATGCAACATTAATGGTCCATGTACAGGCAATGCCTTCTAATGGCCCTTGTTTCATATTATTTACTAATTCGTTATATTTCGTTTTAGAAGTAAGTAAATATTATTATACTTGACACAGTCCTTCTGACCCTACATCACTTACCTGGCTTCATCTCGACATATCCGCTAGGCGTGGTGTCCGACGAGGAAGAATGCCGGCCGCCCCTACTGAAGTCCATCTCCATGAGGTCCTCCATCGGGCCGATGCTACCGTGTGAGCCGTGCGGCGCACCCCCCGCAATGGGCAGCAAAGGAGCGCTATTCGACTTGCCGCCTCCAGTATGGGAACAGCTCGGGGGGTGGCAGCCGTGATGCAACAGGACACGCCCACCTGCCCAACGTTTACTTTTCGAGCCAACGCTGGCTGCGCGGTCACGCAGGCTGTCGCCGCCTCCAGGCAGGGCGGCGTTCAAGATGGCTGACAATGCGTTGTGGGCCCTGACAAACAATGGGGGCATGTAAACTGGCTCAAGTTTTGATATAAGAACATTCCAAGCATCATTAGTCGTAAGTGAAATATGAGACATATCATATCATTTTTGCCGACTGTAATGATCAGGTTTAAGACAAAAATTGATAGTGATATACAATCAACCAAAAATGATAGTGATATACTCGTACAATCAACCAAAAATGGTGTGACAACAATTACTTGACTTTCAATGTCAATAAGCCAATTAAATGCTCCCTTAATTTTATGAATTTAAATAATGGTACACAAATACCACACCATCAAATTTTTGGGACTGACCACTGATCGTAAATTAGATTTAACTTATCATGTAGACATATTGCTTACTCAACAAGCATAGCCTTAAGCTGTTACTTTGCCTTATTTGAAAGTAGATAAAGATATAACATCCCCTTTTGATGTGCCTGTTCCCAAAATTGCTTAAGAAAGGTGCTTATTCTACAAAATCGAACTATTAGATATTTAACTAAAAGCAATCCTATGCAGGCACAGCAACAACTCTTATTTTTGAAAATAAATCTTAATATGAAACATTAAATATAAATTACAATATTATACGAAAACAAGATCTCAAATTAGTAGTACCTAAAGCAACACGTAATGGCCTGAAAATTTACATGTCTCCCTGATGCTATCAAATGAATTAAAAATTTGAAGATATTCCGTCATGAACTTTAAAACTGTTTAATATGTAAAGCATATTGTACTTTGTGAGTTTTACAATTCACCGACTCAAGAGCAACTTGTGTAATTATATTATAGTTTGGCTTCAAGTTAGCTTTGTTACTAAGAATGATTGTATTCTTCAGACAATAAAGCATATTAATTTATCTATCTACCTATATTGGTTTCCGAGTTCGAGTGTCCAGAATGATGAAATATGTCAAAAAATGACGTTTGTTCAATTCTGTCTCCTTTAGAGTATTTTAAGGTCATGATGAATTTAAAAACCATTGGACAACAAAGCTTGTGCACACTCTGAAACTTTTTTCGTTATTCACGCTTCACACTGTTATCATTGTCCGATTGTTTACAAAGCTTTGGTATAGTAGGCACCTTATATAAAATGTCAATGTCCACATCGTCAAAAATGACGTTAGCAAATAACCTGCAAAATCTTAGGCATGAACCGAAAAAATATTGTATTTACCCGGTATATACGGGTGGGTTATTTCTAGTGCAGAAATAAGTTATCGGTATAATAGTACACAAAGTACGAACATTTTAACAAATACAAAAATGTTTCGTCTCAAATAACACCAGTGACTTAAATCCCGAGATAATTTGACACCTACAGAAGAATGAAGAAACATATGTCCCATGTCATTGCTTTTTTCAACTTTTGAATGAGGTATTGTATTTTATGTACAATTTTGTGAGAAATGTTTGTCAGACCACTTCTTTAGAAGAAAAATGTATTTGAATAAAGGTGTATTTTGTACCCAGACAAAATCGGACTTCGAACAGCTGAAATAGATATCTATTTTTCAAAGATAATGTATTATGGTTTGTCTTTTCTTGTGTATGGGGAAAAAGTACTTGAAATACGTACAGTGAAAGAGAACTCAATTTACGAGTATATCGTGCATGTTTTCAGGAATCAGTGAATAGAATTTGATTTTTATTCCAGATAAAAGCAGAATGTAATCATAGCTTGTCAAACAGTCAATGTGGGACAGGGTGGGAAGACTCACAGCTTGGGTGAGACATTTTACGTTTGAACTTTGGAGGGTAAGATGTGCCACTTATCATCATTCACCGAAGAAAATTGATCAAACTCAGAATATAGTTTTTGGGTGCAAAATATTGACATCTAGCAGAAATAAAAATTTATGAGAAATTTTTGAGGTGAACTGCATATAAATAATTTAAATCCATGCTACTTTAAAAATATGTTGAAGTTGGATATTGAAAATTGTATTTAGTATATTAGGCGAATAATGCCGTCGCATAACAACGTTACTTAAAAAATATTCCTAGTATGTCCAAGGGCATGGGAAAGAAACACTATGTTTCTTGGTGATAAAATACATTATGTTATTTTTGGGTGTATTGTCTGATCCAGGCCATAGTTTTTGATAATCTTATATATAATGAAAATTTGTAAAAAGGCAAAGTATGTGTTTGGTTAGTATTACGAGCTCTAACAAACATATTAGGAACCTGAAAATTATTTCCAGGAATTTCTCTTGGTCATTTTGTTATAAGGGTTTATCTTCTAGAATTGATGGTTGACGATGTTCTTTTAATCGCCTATCCGATACGCAATTTGAAAATAAATTGAATATCTTAAGCCTTCACAGAACAAATAATTCAGTAACCATTGTTATTCGTTTTAAATGCTATTTAGTAACGTTTTAATAGATAACTTTAAATAAACGAAACGTATTGCATTCAAATCTTATTAAAATTTTTTACCTAGCTTCCGTTAATTAAAAAATAAAAATTGATAGATTCAAGAGTTTAAAATATCTTGGTATAGATTCAGATTTAAGGTGGGGTTAATCAAAAAAATCAGAAATGTTGCCTACAAACTCTATGACTTAGTTGAAACAATATACATCACAGCCTGGGGTGCCTGCAAACCATATTTCTGATACAGAGTAGCACAATCAAACTGTTCTAAAAGTTATTTTCATAAACCAAGCTTACATACGTCTAACAACTTATATAAGGAAACTAGGATATTTGATAGTTGGCAACTTTATTTTTTACATGACACCATCTTATACCATAAACATTGTAATGAGCAAAATTCACTTAAAAATGAGCATAACACACGATTTCGAATAGGCTCATCAAATACTCAAAGACCAAACGAAATATTAGTCCAAAAATCATTTAAATTCTTTGCCGATAAATCATATACAATATAAAGACACTTAAATTTGGAAAAAAATGTTAAGACAAAAAATGGGTTTGTACTGTGGAGCGAATTATACATACGAGGTCTGTAAATTAAGTGATGAGACTGCCAACGAAGTATTCGATCTGGCAAAACTGGAGGCGTCTGGCTTGGAGGAGAGACAAGTGAACATATGATCCATCTTCAGTACAAGTTTGAACTCGCTCGAGTCATTTGGTTCCCCGTGGCGATTTTTTATTTGGTGAAACAGTTTTTCCTATTGTGTTCCAAAAAAGAATGACATCAATTTCGAGAAACGGTGTGCGATCAGGTTTTGCCTCAGATTTGGGCGCAGTGCAACGGAACCTCTTGCTAAACTTCAGCAGGCCTACGAAGATAGTGTTTTGCCAAGAGCCCAGATTTTTCGGTGGTTCAAGGCATTGTCAGAAAGGAGAGAGTCGATTGAAGATGAACCACGAAGCGGAAGGCCTTCATCTTCAAGAAGAGATGAAAATATCGACAGGATCCGAGATCTTGTGCGTTCAGAATGATCGGGGAAGAGTTAAATTTGACTCACACCACCGTTCATCAGATCAAGACCAACGGGGTGTTGCATCACGATAATGCTCCTAGTCACGCAGCAAAGTGAAAAATAACCTCAAGGGGACTCATTTTGGGAAGACATTCAAATAATTGTAACCGACCAGCTGAAGGCTATTCCAGTATCGGAGGTCCAGCACTGCTATGAGGAGTGGAAGATCCGCCTCCAGCGCTGTACCGCCTCAGAAGCAAGTTATTTTGAGGGAGACAATATAAAATTGTAATTATATTTGAATAAAAAAATCAGTCTCATCACTTAATTTACAGATCTCGAAATTATATAGAAAACTAAACCCTCGGCATTCAAAATTATGCAAATACTTTTAGGAACTAATTATATTTGTTTCAGGCAATGCCTTCTGTGAAGTTTCCAAGTTATTTGGTCATTTTTGAACACCGTATTTTGGCGAATAAATATTATTATTTGCTTACATGAGGCGTGTATTTCCAAATCCCGCCTTATCCATTTTATAAGAATTTTTAGGTAGCGTCATCTAGTTTTTCCCTCATAAAATCCCTTTCGAATGATATATCTAATGTAGCTCCAAATCTTGTCTATTCCTTATAAAATCGACTTTGAAAATCATGTTTATTTCCAAATCCCGCCTTATCCACTTGAGGTGACGTTCCAAATTCAGCCTAATCCGTACTTCTAGAGTAGACCAATCAGTTTTCGTCACCTCCGACTTGCGAAACCAAAAGTGAGGTTAGAGAATAGGGTAAATGACATCGTGCTCAATGTTTTTATTTTGAACAAATAATTAAAGACAACGAATTGTGTGAAGTTGATAAATACTTAAGAATGGATGTACCACAGAACATTGTGGAAGCTACTGGCAACACATCTAGAAAGAGATGAACATAACTCCAAGGCTTACCAGTGCAGTAATTTGAGCATGCAAGATGTGAGAAAATTTCATCAGGCATTTTATTCATCCAGAAACAAAATTGATCAAGATAACTTTTTTCTGCGTTATCCGATCGCTCAAACGCCTAAAAGACATAGACAAAAATTGCAAAATAGTTCTCGTAAAGGTATGTCTATAAAATATCTTGCTAGAATTCAACGAAAAGACAATATGAGAAGCACAATTCCGATATACCAAGACGCATTTCTTACCATCTTAGGCGTTAAGAAGGATCGAGTTCAGAGAGTGGTGAAGAAAAATTTGGAAACTGGACAAGGTGCTACTGAAATGAGGGGTGGTGACACTCTAAGAAAGTGGAAGCTGTAAAAAGCTTTATTGAAAGCCTTCAAGTAGTTAACTCGCATTATTGTAGAGGAAAATCATCAAGACAATACCTCCCAAGTGAATTGTCAATTAGAAAATTGTGGAGAATGTACGCCGAAAAAGTTGAACATGGTTTGAATGTTAAGTATCATTATTTTTGGAAAGTTTTTGTGACAAACTATAATATTGGTTTTGGAATGCCCGCTACTGATGCTTGCTCTAAGTGCATAGAACTTGAAGAATGTATTAAGAGAGTCCGTTGTACAAAGGAAACAAGTACGTTGATTGCTCAATATAGAGTTCATAAACTTAAGGCTAAGTCATTTTTTGAATTCTTGAAAACAGAGGAAGAAAAAAAATATGGTTTTACCACGAGTACCCGATCAAGCAGTTTATTATAGTCGGCAACTTTACAATATGCCAAGGACATTCTGGAGCGTCTCAAAATAAAGATACTGTTTTTATCTATACATGGCTGGAGAGTGAATATGCCACAGGCTCAAACCAAATTGCTTCAGAAGTGTTTTATCGTCTCCGCTACACGAACATGGAATCATATGATACCATTAAACTTTTTGCAGATGGTTGTGCAGGTGTCCATTTAATATTTCCTGTACTAGGGCACTCCTACATACCCCCTGATCGAGTGTTTGGCCGCATAGAAAAAGTTGTTAAAAAAATGAACACTATTGTAAAACCAGACGAATACGAAAATATTTTTTCAGAATTTGGGTCAGTGTTCCGCTTGGGAATTTCTGTTGAAGTTGCAGATTGGAAAACAGAGATATCCAATGTTACTAAGGCACCAGCTCAATGACACTTCAAGTTTGACCCATGTAAACGTATTCTAATTCAAAAAAATCCGTAAGGATCAATAGATATTCAAGGTGAAGCAAGTTATCGAAGCGATCTGGGATCATTCAAATCGATCCTCAAAAAATGAAAGACTGAACAATATCTGCCCTGAACTAATCCCGATAGGTCAAAATATAAATATTTTAAAGCTGAATGATTGCGACAAACTTCTTATGAAGCATTTTGGAGAAACTTGGAGAGATTTACCCGATCTTCATTTCTATAAAAATATAATCAACAGTAATAATAATATTCACAACTCGTCTGAGAGAGAGGAAGAATAGTGCAATGATGAGGATTTAGATTTAAGAGTTTAGATAATTTGTAATAATATAAATGAATAAAAATAATTTCTTTCCAATGTAAATACTAGCCAGTTTCTTATTTATTTCCAAATACCGTCTACTCCATGTTGTATTTCCATAAGCCACCTTATCCAAACTTCAATATTTTTTTACATGTGGAATCATAAACTAAAATAGGTTTGGGTTATTTTATTTACTTCTAGTTAATCATTGACAAAGTATAACATTATGTATCACCCTCTCAGTATTTATTGAAAACTCTTATAACATTTTCGTGAATTATGCAATATTATGTTTGATGGGGCGCTGTCTGGAAATACACGCCTCACATGTAGTCATCATTTCATGCCTACCTATTCCTAACGCTAACATTCTCAGGCCGGCTGCCTAGCGAGTACGCTCTCGCAGGTCTGCTCGCGTCCTCCTCCTGCGTTGCTAGATAGCTGTGCACCTTATCGAGGGGGTAGTCGGCGAAGCGGTAGTCGGTGGACGGAGTGCCGGAAGTGACGCTGGCAAGGGAGGCTGCCGGCGATATAGCCCTTCCTCGAGGGGACATGTCCACGTAACCGTCGTCCGAACTGGGTACTGCCATAGGAACGTATGATCCGCCTGCGTGGTGACCCGATGAGTCATCGTAACCTGGGATAAATGCAATATAAATTAATCATTATGAAAAACAAAAACTATTAAATAATGCAATGAAACAAGATGGTGAATGAGGTAACCATCGGAAAGAAAAATGATGACCTGAAAATTATTGCTCGGATCCTCGTTTTGACGTTGCATGACTACTAGAAATCTCTTATAACCTCGTGTCAGCGTTTTATTTATAAGATCAAATATCACAATTTTATTTTTGCAAGCATCTTTTTTCTTTGCCTCAAATGCCATTTGGACTAATAAAATAAACAAGGAAAATTTAGAGTATACAATAGTGTATGGAAAGATGCATAGAATTAACCATTGTCTGTATGATGTTGTGGAAACTGGGTAATACAGGAAATGCCATAAATTTGTTAATATTTGTTTTATTAACATAGCTAATTTGAATGAATTTAATTTTTAATGTCGTGACATTTTAAGCAGATTTTAGTTGAGGCAGTATCACTGCCATATTTGCGCAAACAAAAGTTTTAAATAACTGAATAAAAAGAAGTTTAATGCAAACAAATTAGGACTACTAGGTTCACTGCGATCCCGTGAAGCAAATCAATGCAATAAAATTTCCAAGAAACGAACTAGCGCAAATGTCCCTTAACAATGCTTTGCCTAGCGAGAAAATTGAAATGAAAATGCTAATGAATTTATGGCCTATTTTGTATTATGCACTGTGTAGTTTGTAAAGTTGATCTTTAACAAGTAAAACACATTTTCGTCACACGGGCGTCTAGTTTTTTTCACTCCTTTCTAATATGCTTGGTTCAACCTGTACTTAAATGAATCTTGAAGCTATTCTACTTAGGTAAAAAAAGCAAATAAAATATTCGATGACAGTTCAGGTTGACGTTTTGTTCATCGTTCTTACTTTCGCGTCCAGTAGTTGTTATCGTATAGGTGGAAACTTTGCATATTGATGCAATTTCATAGAAAAAAATATTTATTTAGGGGAAAAAACTGAAGGATGCATCAATGGTTAATATCGTTCGAAGGGTCTTTAGTGGGTGGTATTAAATACCTCACAGGAGTAAATTATCATAAATTTAGGAGCAGGATCAGCGACGACGGTTTCTTAGACGATACCTACACACCTATGGGCACCCCACTCCGTTTCCCGTCTTGCGTCGTTTTGCTGGGTGGACAACAGTTGCCTGGAGTATCATATATAAATGCCTCAACCTATCTTGCGAATGGCTAATTGTATGAAATATAGGCATACAGCAAGAGCTCTACAACCTTTCTAATAAGTCCAATTAGTATTTAGTGCAAAGACAAAATATACAAACGATTTTTGTGACATTTGTTCTTAAATGTTTTATTTGTATTACATAAATCAAAGGGTCGTAGGGTCTTGCTTTTTGCCCCACGAGAATCATATTTCATAAGCTAAAACCTTTTAGGCCTACAATAAGCCAATACTCACTAGTGTCCGACCGAAACTAGTATTTCAGCCAAAATAGAAATTTCGGTCCAATTATAGTTTCGGCTGAAAACCGAAACAGAAAGTTCCAGCTGAGGGGTATAATATGCGCGTAAGATAATAGTGCATCTACAAGATAAAACAAACTTAGTCTTTATCAATTATTATTAGTAATAATAAAATGAGTTTCTAATTAAATACTATATATAATATGTAATAATAATTCTTCATCAAATATTATTAAAATTTAAAGAAAACCGAAACAGTACTCCATTTGTATCAACACACAAAATTAATAATGTCTATTTGTTTCCAACATTTTGTAAAAAAAACAAACAATAAAACAAAAAGTAACAACTTATACTGTTGTACCAACACTATTTAACGCTGGTTTAGACGGAAACCAAGTTTACTTCGAAGATTTTTATTGCACGAGTACTTAAATCCCGTTTAAATTTTGTAAACTTAAACGGTATTTGATGATATTTTAAATGATGATTTGGGTATCCTTGAACTAATAAACAGTAGTTTTCTAGAACATGCGTAATCTCGGTTGCAGTTTAGGCGGATTTTCTGCCGAAACAGAAACTAAACCGAAATTCTGATTTTGGACCGAAACTGTCGGAAAGCGAAAGTTCGGTAGGACACTAATACTCACCGTAGATATGATCAGCCCCGCCCCCGCAACAACAATCCTCCTCCTCAATAGCCTCATCGGGCGTGAGCGGCGGATGCGGATGTTGCGACATCCCCATGCACATATCAGCCTCATCCGCCAAACTGTAGCTGCTGCCCGCGCTATCCGTAGTGGAACAAGCTGCGCTGGGCGGCGACACCGGGCTACCCCCGCCATGTCCGGGCGGACTGTGATGCACGTAGGCGGAGCGAATTGCCCGTCCGCCAGTCGAAGGCATGCTGTCGCATCGTTCCCTGAGACCGCCTGTCACGGGATGAGAGCTGCCGCCTCCGATAGCTGAAGAGAGATTGGTGGATGTATAGTGGAAACCGGAACCGGCTGAAACAAACAAAACGTTTATAAATATTACTAGAGATAATATAATAATTTGTAGGGCGATCACTCTACTGAATTACTTTGCAAAGCTCTTTGAAAAAATATTGCATTCACGAATATACTTGGCAACTAAAGTCCATCTATCAGTGCATCAGCATGGCTTTATGAAGAAGACATCCAATATTACTGATTTGGCCACGGCCAGTCAATATTTATGCGACTCGGCAGATAATAGGGGCCAAGTTGATGTCATTTATACTGATTTTAAAAAAGCGTTTGGCAAAATGGAGCATCAACGACTTATACAGAAAAATGAATACATGGGATTCAACAAAAATGCCGCATTTTAACATTCACCCGGAAAGTCAAATGTTTTACCTACCCATACAAAATAAATGATTCTGTATTGGAAAGGTGTGAAACTTTTAAAGATTTGTGCGTGTATTTCGATTGTCAGCTCACCTTTAACTACCAAATCATGTAAGTTATGTATATCGCACATGTGGCTGTATTATCAGAAATTGTAGAAATTTCAATATCACAACGCTTATTGTTAAAGTTATTTTCATTGTTTGCTATAAGTCAAATAGAATACGGTGCCATTATTTGGAGTCCTATCTATGAACTCTATACTCTGGTACCAAAAAACAAAGAGAACAGCAAATCACGTCGCACGCCCATGCTAACGCGGCACCTCTTTGAAAAACTGCAAAAGAAATTTTTGAAATATCTATGCTATACGAGTGATGGTCTCTCTATCCTCCTAGAGAATATGACTACTCATTGTTATTGAATGGATTTGGTGTCCTTCTTTGGAGAAGCGCATCAACTGTCCTATTTTGCTATCGTGAATTGATTTCCTGATACCTAGATTGATATCCAAATACAAAGCATCATTTTTCTGCTAGATGGCACAGGCAAATCTGTCTAAAGCACCAATAAACTTTATGTCCAATAATGCGAATAGGATTGAGAGTTTTTGTGATATATTCTGTTGTGGATTTCCGCAAAAAAAGAAGTGCTATACGCTCACATCTTTTTTGTCCCTTTCTCTAGACGTTTTCGTATGTTATATATTTATGTGTGAATATAACATGATATAACTATATGTTTTTTTTTGCTATCATGTATTAATCATATTCATAGTTTATTTTCTCTCTACTTAAACCGCCTTTCTCTTTTTTGTGTTTTTTTTTTGTTTCATTTTATGGCACACATACTGTGTAAATTGAATTAAAGTCTAGCTCTCTAAATGGTATCTGTACTATTGGGCAATAAATGCTTTATTATTATTATTAGAGATGCCACAAATAATGATTTTGCCGAATAGACTCTTGTTATTGTCTGAAGAATATAATTATTCTTAATGACAAGGCTAACTTGAAACTATTCTATAACATAATTACATATGTGGTTCTTAAGTATGTGAACTGTAGAACTCACACATGGATACATGTACATTTTCAGACCATTATAAATTATTGAGTCTTTCACAAGTGTTTAGGTACAAGTAATTTAAGATCTTGATTTCGTCTTAATATTGTAACTTACATTTAATATTTCAAATTTAGATTTGGGTGATTGTTCATAACTAGTACTATATACTTATGAATATAGTTTGAATATTGAATGAAACACTAAACTGCACCAAGGAATACACATATTTTCTTCATTTTATAAACTTAAGGCACATTATTTGGATTAATGTTTGCAGAGGAATGATGTCCAAGGACAGACGAATTATCATATAGTAAGTACTCAACCGTAACAAACTTTCAGAAAAAAATTGGAATCTAAACGTTAATCACATTCCTAAAAATTGAGAAAATTATAATCCAAATTTACAAAAGTACCTTCAAACCAGAGGAATGACATGTAAACAAGGGAACAAAAACAAGAGAAACCATTGTTTTACATGATATTGTCTTAAAGATTTGTTTTTGCCTCGTGATGGTTTTCTTAATTTTGTTTTAACGGGTAAGACATTACTCAAGGAAAAATAAACTTTTTTGCTATTACCTTTTTATCTCCATTTATTAATTGTGCAACCCTGCAACTTGGTGTGGGTGGATCACTTTTGGATTTCATATTTTTCAATCCATGATATCTTTGTTTATATTTTTGCACCTTAAAATGTAGCTTCCTACTTAATTCGCGTTGGTATTTATTTTCACGGCTTCGCTTTTTCCTATTTCTTGTGTGCATTTTTCTACCCGAAATGAGATATGAGTCCTGCAGTACCGATGATGATTCTTCTCCACCTCGTAAGGAAAGAAATGTCAATTAAATTGACAAAACCATTGACCTTTTTTAGTAAGCCGATACAAAAAATATGCTAATGAGATTGATATTTATAAAAAAATGGCTCGTCCGAATGGAACAGCAAACCCTTACAAGTAATGGTGGTTAACAAACGTACAACGCTATCAAAACTGACAGAATTCGCAAAAATTTACCTATACACATGTAGCTCACGCATAAAATCGTCTACATTTTTTTAACGCAATTTTAATAAGGCCCTTAAAAGTATTTCTCTAAAGTTGATAATGTTTAAGTTCGAGAGAAGAATGCAGCTTGGTTCCAGGAAATAACAAAAGTGAGCAAAAAAAACTTGATCACTTTTTGCATGGTCGTCATATTCTACCTCATTATTTGATACCGTTCACGATGGTTAGGGATAAAATTTCACGGTAATATTTTTTCAACAAAGCTATCATTTTTGTCTTCTCCAATTTGCTAAACGTAATCGGGTCAGAATACAGATTACTATTTTTTTTGCAAATGTACTATCACAGTCTGCTGGAAGCTTTTCTTAAATTCGAATAAGGCTTCAGAAATTCACTTACAACGGATATCTGACTTGCTAAACAATCGTAATATGTGAAATGATAATAATAAACAATTTACTGTTTTATTGGTATGTTTTATATTCCCGCATCGACCAATTAAATCGATTAAGTGCTGATTTTAGTCACAAAAATCTTATATGGACCTTAACCTCCCGTTAGATTATTTAATATTTGATTTTCGGCAAACAGTAATTACAGTGTATTTAAAAAAAACATGAAAACCTCCATTGCATTTCCACGTCTCGTACATTTAAGAGTGACCTTTTGTTTTCTTATACTTAAATAAGCTCCGCCCCCAACCTACCACTACAACTAACTCAACACATGACTCAAAAATACCAAAACTGACACACTAGCTGTCTGTAACCTATCATCCTATACAGCAGAGGATCTAAAACCAATTTTTACCGCCCTCCTGTTGGTTCCCAGCGCCCACTTTGATAAAGACTCCTAAACATCACTTCGAATTTCGGCTTCTGTTAAAAAAATAGTAAACGCAACCTTTTTGAAAAGCACTGTATGTAAATCTATTCTCTACTTTTGTTTTGTTAGCAAATCTAGGAATTAAGTAAAAACAACGCATGCATGCATGTCGAGATTGAGCTATTCTATATGTATCAACAACTATTATGATTTATAACAGCCTTCCGGCAACTCCAACAAATACTGGCGTTCCTGCACTGAATATTCCATCCCAGGTTATTAAATGTCTTTCTTAGGTGCTACAATTTGACATCTATCATAAAGAGACCCATAACCTAGAACATCTGACATCTGATGAATTTCAGTGACTTTGGTGATGACAGATAACAGGTGTGGTGTCATCATGTATGACAGATTTTGGGAAAATTGAACGATAAGCTTGAAAAATCCTCCGAAATTAAAGCAAAACTAAACACGGAATCTTCCCTGAATATATTTTGTATTGGGGCCAATTTACTTATTCTTGGTATTCCCTACTAAAGTTCACCAATTATAAATATTTAAGCTTTACATTCCGAATGAAACTTATCATCACATTCATAGTAAACAAAACAAACATTTTTATCAATTACCCATATTCCATTTTTCAGAACTATTATGAACGATTGACGAATTATATTGATTTGCATGACTGGGTCGCATCATTTGAGTCACTGATGCCTCCGTTCGCAATTTTATTCAAGTTTATATGAGCGGCAGCGGTGTGAAGTACAAAGTACTTGTTGACGGAACAGTGGAATATGTTTGTCACATGTGTTTACTGAAAACGGCCATGAGTACTGTAAATGACGATAAACAGAACAAAACACACAAACATAATAAAACCTAATATAAACAGCTAGTATAAATATATCGAAACACACCATCTTACCGTTAAAAACATGGATATTGCAAATGCACCTACTACATAATTATGATAAACAAGAATCGTATGTATTTCATAATGATTTAACTATGCCCAAAACTCAGGGTTCAAGGTTAGAAAAGGAGAAACTAAACTAAACTAAACTAGGGTTGTCTACCCCAGAACTCCACAAATGCGTTTAATTTCAGTATGAAAAATGGAATGTTTACTGCAATCCTGATAATTCAGATATACAATACAGTCAAAATTATCTAATTAATTTAGTTTCAACGTATTATTGAACTTTCTTTCGACACATTGTGAAGACAGTCGACAATAACACTTTATTAACAAAAATCACATGAACAAGTTAATGATCAATAACTGCTGTTGAAATTGATTCAGATGCAAGAATATAACATTTGACATGGTGATCAATCGTTTTTGTCACAAATGTTCAGAAGTAATAGTAATTATTTGTTATATTTAATTTTCTGAATGGATTTCTGAGAATTTAAACGTTTTCTTTCTCAAATCATGGTGCAGTGTGAAGGTGATGGAGGAAATATAAGCACCTAGTAATTGAGTAGAAAACAGGCAAAAAACGTACTTTTAGTCTGAAACACAACAAAATATTCGATCCCAACCAGCATTATTTTTTTCCTGAAATGGCAAAAAAATCTATATGAAAATTACTCTAAATTTTTGTTATAACCCGTTCTAGCTGTAGACAGCCTGTAGTGCGGGAAAATTAAATGTGATCGCTGTGCCAATTAGCTAAAAAAGCTGATACCCGATATTAAATAATTAGTGGATGTGTTCAAGTGGCCAATATTAATTTGTTTTTATACATGCCCGACACCTTTTCGTAAAACAACTTATGCGAAAATAGCTGTTAGCGTGCTCGAAGCTGATTCAATTCCGGCCGAATTTTATAATGTTAATCAGCACAGCTTGGTATACCAAGTCTTTCATGCAGTATAAAAAAATAGAGGATTAAGTTCGACGATCCTGGTGTGAACGGAGATGTCAGATCCACCTATGGTTATTTGTGATTCAAGTGTGCTCAGTAGAGACGAGCATGGTACACTTCATGTTTATAGTTACTGATTACACTTTCTCACCTTGGGAAAGTCCATGAGCCAATGTCTTGGGAATACCGGAGTGCACCTGTTTCCTGGGTATGTTATTTGGACGGGATTCGGTGGCCGACGACGACCTGATCCTTGTTTTAGGTGCCAAATCTTCGTTTGCCGCTCCTTCTATAGCCGATATCGCTGCCATCCCCTTTCCTGAGCCGCCACTGCGGCTACTATTTGTTGTCATCGCACTGAAACAGAATGTTTTAATCTAAATCATAGTACAGGAAATCAATGCTCTTGGGAAATTACCTATTCGTATTTGTCAATGGCAATCTGTACTTTTATCTAAACAAGCAAACATTTGCTAAAATTTACATTCAAACTCGAGACTCATTTTTTTGTAAATTGGAATGAGAACCACACAATGCTGATTAACTACCGTAATTCGTTTTGAACTTCGAAATATATTTAACATTTTCATCGGTTGGTTTAGTTGAAAAGAAGCCTGCGCTGAACTGAATGTTATTACCTTTATATCTTACCTAAAAAAATATCAATAAAGGACTTCTATACTATATTCTATATAAATAATTTCTTCAACTTGATTTTTTGGCAATGAGGTAGTCTTACATCAAGAATGAAACGATAGCATTCTCACGAAATTTTATTGACAAGTAATAAGAAAAAAAAATTAATAATTTGTTGGGCGACCCCGCAGCTGAATACACTCCTCTATACATCTAGGCATCGACAAAATGAGATGATCGATTTCTGGTTGTGGCACCTCATTCCAAGCAACTGGAACTTCGTGGATTAGCTGTGGCAAAGTCTGTGGCGGATGGTACAAAGTGTCATATCCCACACATGTTCGATGGGATTTAAATCCGTAGTACGACGAGCTATATGGGGACGTGCGTTGTCTTGCTGAAAAACGACGCACAGCGGGGCAGAATCCTAAAAAGCTGGCCAAAAATCAAATTTTTGAGTTGTATATATTCGTCTATACACGTTTAGATCTTGTTTACGGATAGTCCTGGAATGAAATTCCGGACAGGGTAGGTATATACTTGCTCTAGGGTCGCCTTGACATCAGTCGACATTCAGCCGTCGTTCGGTACGGACTAAGCATGTGTACACGTCGAAAAATTCTGGCCTGTTTCGAAGTGCTGTAAAACAGACGAAACTATCTCAATTTGAATTCTGCAAAATGGAATCACTTTCTGAAGGTATGCAGAATATATAGTTATGCACAGTTGTTGCTTATTTTATGTTTGAAATATTTAAATTTTACAACAAATAAACATAGACAATTGTACATTTTTTTTCTAAAATCGATTTTCTAAAGTAGTTCTAAAAATGTCTTCGCGAGTCTCGATCTTGTTTCGACAAGGAAGTGATAGTGTATAATATGAAATATAATATAGTAAAAATTTGGCTGCTCAGGAGTGCTCAACGAATAGTTAGACTAATTTTTAGGAAGAAATACGTGGCGCGACATTAATAGACGTGTGACTGTAAGGCATTGATTATTACCGATCGGACAACTTTCTGAAGAGGCCCAAAAGTCACGCAATAAGGACATCAAGAAATACAGATTAAATAATGCAAGAAAATGCTGTACAGAATCGAATTTGAGAGATATCTTCAATAGGCTTTAGTAACATCAGATCCATTTCTCTCAAGCATCAGGAAATTGCCCCCGAGACAGGCGAAATCTTTACATAAAGAAGCTCTACAATTGTTAAAACAACCTGAACTCACCAGACAAGAGACAAGGAACGATTCCGATTTAGATACAAGTGGGTCAACATCAGAATCCGAATCGAATGATTCGAAGATTGAAGATGCGTACAAGATTTTTGTTACTGGAAGTAAATAACAGATATTCATTTTGTTGCAATTTTTTTATAAAAAAAATTTTTGATAAATAAAAAACATTACTCGATAGATTTTTTACTCATCAACACCTAAAAATATTGTAAAATATTTTCTATTTAAAAATATTAAAAAATTAAAAATTTTTGCGGAATCCTCCATATAACGCGTCTGATATTTTGAAAATTAACATTTTGATAACCAATTCGTAATCAGTGATTCCAAAAACCATAAACAAATACAATTGGGTATTTCACTGGATTATTTGACTAATTGATTAAATTATGTCCGCCATTTTGATAATCGTAGAAGAAATTATTTTTTTCTAGGTGGGTCACTTCTAATGTCACCGAAAATAATTAGCATTATTATCTGCACTGGTATATAGGTATGAGGAGCTACACGCTCAACTAATTAAATTCTTAAAACAATGTTTAAAAACCAAAATTATATCCCACTGATGTCTTATAACAAAGATACAAATTTACTAGTAACGATCAAAAAATCAAACACAATCACCATACAAGACATAAATTACGAGGAACCGTTGTATCTAGACGTAACAAATCTATATATAACACAGCAATGATACCTCTATGTATATGAAAATTTTCCTTACAATATAAAGAACCTAAGATTTGGTAATAATTTCAAAAAAATATCATTAGAATGGATATTTTCTTTAGCAATGCCAGACATACACAAATCAAGAATAAATACAAATCAAATAATTCAGTGATTAGTTGTATCATTATTTGTGTTCAATGCACAATTTCAACATCAAGTCCATGAATAGGCAATACTTCCTAGGGATGTAACCTCATTAATTCAAGAGAACATAACTCAGGCCGTCGCTAAAATTCAGCCGGATCTATCCGAAAGAGATATTGAAAATTGGACGTCTTACATCCATGGCATGGTGCAAAGGTGCTGTGAATAGATGATCGATGTTATATTCCCTACAGAATGACATACATATGTAGGTCTTTCAAATATTGATATTTAGCAATCATCAGTAGGGTGGTCTAGTCATCGGAGACACACTGAAAAGCAAACAAATTAATATGAGTCTGCTGGCAAACTCAATATTGTAGTGAGTTAATGAATTTTTTCGATTGATTTCTGATGATTGTTTCCAATGACTAAGCCTATGCTGCACTGATGACTGCAAAAAACCAGCCATGTTTTGTTTAATTTCAACATCAATCTGTCCGTATAAGAAAACTCTTATTTTAAGCTGTGATATGTAACTTTTGAAACATCTTTATGTCACAAAAATGACTTTCAGAGGTATTTTCCACTATTCCTAATCATTCAAATACGAATAAACATACCTCATAATAGTTTTGAATACTCTACGTTCTTCGAACTTATTGAACATTACAAAGTTTGTCTATCTCAGTGGAACATTCAAGATTTAATGAGGCACAAGAAAAACAATGAGTAATCGCTCCCGTTTATAAAATGGTATGCAAACAAAATGATAAGAATTTAATAAATTGCCTATTAACTTTCAATTAAATAAAAAAATAAGCTAATAACGCTTCATGTTCAAAATGAGAACAGTAAAAATCGAATAGTAAAACAACGCTCGAACGTCATGGAACGAATTAAATCTGGTTTCTCAAATACACGAAGGAAATATTTTGAGAAGGGCGTTTGAATATACATACAGTGCTTTTCTTTAATGTCCCCCTCCTCTTTGATTTTTTGAAGGGACCAATTCAAAAAATTAAAACTTGAGGTAATGAAATTGATGCGTGGATACCATATTTTAGAGTAAAATTGACAGATGAAAATGTCAAAATGGCTGCTGGGCGCCATCTTGGAAAAAAATTACATGAATACGGGGGTCCTGTGGCACATCATTTTGAAGCTGCTGACGAGTACTTTATAACCGTAGAATATAAAGTCAATACCTTTACCTACTACAAAATGGTGGTGCATTTAATAATTGCTTGAACACAAACCCACTTACATGCATACTTCTACAAATAATTGTAATTCCCTGCCGTATCCACAGCAACAGCGATAAAAACGTGTTTTGTTTTTTTTTTGTTGACAGTGAAAAGAATATCAGTACGAAAACAAACATCATTGTACAGTTAAAATATTCTTATTTAGTTTTCGGTTTTAGTGTTAGATACTGATTGACCTATTTTTAAAATGATCAATTATTCTCGTCCATTGCAAGAAAAAATCGAAGCGATTTTTATTTATGGTGCGTCGCGTAACTTTCACGCGACCGAAAAGATTTTTAATGATCGTTCCTCGAATCGTCCTATCTGTAGAAAATATTCAAGGGAACCTGTATCTAAATTTACAGCTACTGGTAGAATAAACAACAAAAAGCTCCCAGGTCATCCGACCATCCCGGAAGAAAAGCAAGTTCAAATAATTGGTGAGATCATAGTACTCGTAAATCCCCAACAGTCTACTTCCTCCATCGCGCATGTATGTGAGGTCCTTCTACTGTATGGAGACATTTTAAAAAGAATAAGCATCACCCATACAAAATTCAAGTGGTGCATCAGCTAACTGAAGATGATCCTGATCGAAGAACATAATTCTGCGAGACTATGACAGAAACCATTACACGGCGTCCTACCTATACCCAAAATATTTATTTTACTGATGAATGTACATTTTTTCTCAACGGTAATGTGCATAGACAAAATTGTCGTTATTGGAGTGACACTAATCCTCACGTCTTCCGGGAAAGTAATACTCAATATCCACAAAAAATTAAGGTTTGGGCTGGGATATTGGGAAATCATATTGTGGGGGCCTCTACTCATCGAACAACTTTAACCGGGGAACTATTTGGATATGCTGGAAAATACTATTGACCGTCTAATCACCGAAAGTCGAAGCGAATCCTAATGATTCGATACTGATATTGTATTCCAGCAAGATAGTGCTCCACCACACTACTACAGACAAGTTAGGAATTATTTAGATAATAATTTCCCCGGTTGTTGGATTGGCCGTCGAGGTCCTGTGGAATGGCCAGCTCGCTCGCCAGATTTGGATACCTTTAGACTTTTTTTATGGGGCTATTTGAAGCAAAAGGTGTACGAAACTGAACCTGCTTCAATATTGGATATACGGCTGAGAATAACAAATATTTTTAGAAATATCGATGTTACTATGTTTGAAAATTTTCGACGCGAAATTACGGACCGGCTGTTATTGTGTCAAGAAGTTCAAGGCAACCATTTCCAGCATCTTCTAAACAGAACTTAACGTATTTATTCGAATTATCAAGTTAAATGTCAATGTATCCAGGTAATTATTGAATGTACCACCATTTTGTAGTAGGTAAAGGTATTGACTTTATATTCTAGGGTTATAAAGCACTCGTCAGGAGCTTCAAGATGATGTGCCACAAGACCCCCATTTTCATATAATTTTTTTCCAAGATGGCGCCCAGCGGCCATCTTGACATTTTCATCTGTCAATTTTACTCTAAAATATGGTATCCATACATCAATTTCATTACCTCAAGTTTTAATTTTTTAAACTGATCCGTTCAAAAAATCAAAGGGGAGGGGGACATTAAAGAAAAGCACTGTATATACGCTATCTTACCACGAGCGTCACAAAGCTCGAGCATCACCGGAAAGGGATGCTTCACTCGGATCAGATATTCAGCAGTATATGGCGCCAACCCTCAATATCTACAGAAAACAGCATGTAGCTGACGTCAAATTGACCGAAACGAATTCGAAGGATGCACTAGGTGAAAAAAATTGTAAATGTTATGCAGTGTTGCCGAACCTACCGGTTTTTCAGTATTTCTATCGAAATGAGACCATATTTACCGAAATACTGAAAACGTCCTCATTTTCCACGATTTTTTGGGATAATTCAGATATTTCTAGATTGACTACCAAAAAAGAGAAAATTATTTTTTTTGTAGTCCATGCAGTTTTATGATCCATACCAGTCATGCATAAGCGTACACATGGGTAGTCGGGCACAAGAGTGACGTAGATTTGGATTGCCTACAATTATGTATGCACATTCCTTATTCCGCTTTCCCTTTATTGGTTTTTGTGCGTACAACAGGCACATATTGGTTGATCACCGTAATTACCGCATAACCGTCAAGCAATAAGGAAACCAAAGCTCGTCTGTATTTAATCGAATATTGAATTAAAATGTCTGGTGATGAGGCAATTTCAGGGGTGAAATAGAAAAATATTCAGAATGTTATAAACAAGAATACCAAAAGGAGCTTCTATGATGGTAGCAAAGGAGTTTGAAGAGTGACTAGTCTCATTGTCATATATGTGCGCGCAATAGAAAAATATACTTGTTTCATAGAGGGCGCTGCTTGACGCAAAGTCACTTGATCCATCGCTGATGTGATGGCCCTGATTTTTTCCTCCTACTGATTTTCTCATTGAATCTACCGAATTTCAAGGACACTGTCTACCGATTTCTTCTTTTGCGGTTCGGAAACACTGATGTTATAACTCTTTGAGTTCTACTTCTATGATTTATTTAGATTCCTTATATAAGTTCCCTAATTCTATAGTTTTTTTTGATACTAAAATGCGACGCGTTTAGATGCCACTCTTAATAGGCAGGAACCGTTCATCGGATATTCCACTCAAATATATAAATAATTTAATAAACTTCAACCATTATACTTACTGATAAATTGTAGTGTGGATGTTTTGGGCAATATTAACATCTTCGGAGTCCATCCATAGCTCACCAGCGCCTAATAAACTAGACCTCCCAATCTAAAAAAAAAAAATAAAAAAATATGTGTAGTCCACAAAATTATTAATAATATTATTACTATACGGATGAATAACAACCCTTCATCGGAGAGAGACTACAGACTCTTTATTTATTACTTTATAAGAATTGCATTTTTCAAATGGTATGCTAGAATTCTGTAAGCCACTGATGACTCTTTATGTTTCAGTTTTTGTCGTTGAAAAATTCTAGCTTCTCGAGTTTCAGGACTGCATAGAACAGAATTGTATACTAAGAAAAACAATTGCATAAGCAAAATAATTACATAATTCAATTTATAAGGACATGTAACAATACAATGAACCAGTCACCCGTTATCAATATCAAGGCGATATGGAATTTGTTTTCATTTGGAAGTATCATTTTTGAATTACATTTCTTTGAAAGATAATAATCTACACATAAGTATTAGTTTGTGTAAAATCACGATACATTTATGTTACAATGAGCCTCAACCAAAAATGATGAACGATCTTCATACATATACAATTAAACATACATATAAGCAGCAGGTTCATTACCTCAAGAAGCTAGAACTGTGTGATGTAAACTCCGTCCAGGCGATCACAAATTTCCCATAGCAAATATATTCATAATTTTGGCGATACATTGCCCACGTTACTAGGCATATTTAGGTATCAAAAATGAAAAAATGACTGGTCTTTTACATATAGTTCATAGAGAAGAAATGATCAGATCAGAAAACCAACATTGTACTTTTAGTTTTGCAAGATATCATTGAGTGCGGAAAAAGCCGAAATGAAATCTCAGAAAGAGGTATAGTAGAACTTTAGGCGATGGCTGACCGGTGACAGGTATTCTGCATTGTTACAAGATACAAGAAATAATATAGATACATAGAGAAAGAGAAAAGAGGGCATTTTCAATAAGACGTAATGGACTTTGAGCGATGTTATCAAGATTAATATCATGAAAACAAAATGGGTATCGGTATTTGATGTATAAGCACAGATAACAAAACAAATGAAATAGAATGACTCACTACTTCCTGTGTGTTCAAGGGTGGATAGCAACACTGCTTTCTGTTAGCTATAAACACCACTGTGAGGTACAGTAAAGCTAAGTTGTTTATTTTCTTTCCATACGCCAATTAGTATTTTACGGGCAAAAATGGCACTGACTTTTGTATATATTGGCTTCTCTGATGCTTATGATAGTATCAACCATGAACTTTCACTCATAAAACTTAGTTATATTGGTCTTGATGAATTAGAAGTATCTTTTTTGAAAGTTATCTATACGGCAGGACTCAGTGTGTTTTATTAAATCAAAGATTGCCTCCAACATCGTTGATACCTTCTGGCGTGCTCAATGTATTCCGGCCTATACTATATTTAATTTATACTTTTGATTTAAACAAAACTGCTAATAACTCCCTTACTCAATAATTTGCAGATTATAGTTAATGCATAGCATAATCCAAATGAGGTAGCAAGTATAACAAACATTTTACAAATCGATGTTAACAATTTGATACAATATTCTTCTAATCTCAACCTGAAAATAAATCCAGAAAAGTCCAAAATGTCGTGTAATGAAAAAAAAAAAGGAAAATGCTGCTTCATCTCACTTAAAGATTTCTATATATTATCAAGTTTTAGAGTTTACTGAGTCTCCAAAAATACTTGCAGTTCTTGACACTAAAATGAGGTTTGCTGAACGTGTAAAGAGTCTGTCGCAAAAAAATGTATCCCAGGTTACGTATTATTATAGATAATCGATATTTACTGAATTTTAAACTTCATAAAAAACTATACGATAGTTTAGTCCTATCTGTCATAAATTACTGTAATATCGTCTTTTTTCCGTCTTTAGACTTTACCAAAAATATTATCCAAATCATTCAAAATAATTGAGTACAGTTCATTTTTGGATTATGAAAATTTGACCGTGTTTTAAATATTGAAGTGGATGAAATCTGAGAATTTAGTAAGCTACCACAATTTTATTTTCATACAAAAATTGTTTCTCACGCCAAAGAAGTCAGAGAAAAATTGTTTTTAGTAAACATTTGCACACTAGGCCTTTATGACACACAATCATAAGAGTTCCACCGCACAAAACAACGTTATTTAAACGAAGTTTCTCGTTAACGCTATCAGGTATAATTCAAGTGTACGAGTATAAACATTCCGCAAAAAACTGTTTATACCTATATTCCCTATCCACCAAATTTCACCCTTTCTATATACATGATGTATTATAATTCTCAATTTACTTATTTTCTAATATTGTTCTTGTCTGTTTTTTTAAGATAAGACAAATTTCTGTATTGTGTTATTAATCGCTAACTGATTGGTTAAGTGTAAGTGTAGCGAAAGCTAACTTCACCAATCGGTTTCTAAATATAGACGATTATTGTAATTATTATCATTAAATAGCCAATAAGATACATTTTCCATTCCCACGACAATAAGCGGCGATTATGATATCATTTGACAATTTTATGCTTCGATGCTTAATGATATTCTGATGACTTCACAGAAAAAGTTCGCTTCTTAGACTACCAAGAAGACGCTCTGGGTAACGCAGTGGTTAGTGTCGACCAATAAGCGGTCGTCCCGATGCTCGCGGGTTCAAATATTCGCCTCGGAAGTTACTTCCGAGCCATACGAGTAGATGTTGTCTATATCACGCTCCAGATCAACATAGGTACATCGCCTAGCTGGGGCCGGTTTATTCAATAATGGTAAATGGCATTTGGAGTCGAAGTACAGTGTTGGTATTAGGGGGTCGGCAAAAGAGTCAAAGATGTCCTCGTTACCAGGCTTCGCCATTCCACTACTACTGCTACTAGCCTACCAAGGTAAACAATTTCTTCAAGATCAACTAAGCCTAAAATACTTTTCTGGATATAGTGAGGTAAAGGTAAGGTTCGAACTTTAATTCGGATATTTGGCAACCTAAAAAATACTTATTTTCAAAAATTGTCAAAACAGTTATCTTAGCTATTTCGGCGAGACCTTTGAATAGCAAAGAATTTTCCCAAATTTCAGTATGCCATGGTTTTTGGATCATTCTAAAGTTCCCAGTAACTATTCTTAGTTAAGCGTTTCCGAGGTGCGAGTAAGAGCGATTCATCACCCAAAAAGCTCTAAAAAGGGGCATTTTCGATATTCGAAAACTCGGTTAAAAATTACTATGTGAAGGTAATTAAGTAACTGAATAAAGGCTCAAATCTTTCGTTACAAGAATCCGAGGAATAATTTAGGCTTAGTTTATTTTGAAGCAATTTTTATCCATGCTTAGTAGGCAATCAAGATGCAAACTTGTGATTTTCGCAGACTATACTTACATTGTTGATAAACGAAAACAGACTTATTCTGAGCACCAGATTTTCAAGTAGTAGATAATTCTAGTTTATTTTCATTAGGCCATGTTTTAACTAATTACTCTGTTGAATATGAATAAAAGCGCAGGATTACCTAATATGAGCCCACAAAAAAAAATCATATATATGTATAATATGAAACATGAATTAAACAACAGACCAATGTAAAAAAGTTACACCAATTTTTGCCCTGAAAAATCTCACAAAATTGAATATTCTTCAATGAGAATTTTAATGCTTTGCCCCTTATTCTTAAGGGAGAGTTAGCTGAATATATACGACTGACGACGCTGATTGGTCACATGAACATTAGCAAATCGAGGTTAGAAAAAATTTGGGATTTCAAGTAAACCTTTATTATTAAACTCAATTGTGTAATATTCCGCGTAGTGCCCTAAAAGTTAAATAGGAATGGGATGATGTACATGTTTTGAGAATAACTTCTGTTTACATATATACATCGACGATTTGTCAAATAAGCAATTTGAGGTTAGAAAGGATTTGAATTTCAAGCATATATTTCTCTTTTATTACGTTACTAAGCTAAATCTAAAGCTATGTGATAACCCGTGAAACCTATGATTTATAACATTATGAAAACAAGTTATTGTCAAAATCTGTATATCGTCCCATAGCTATTCAATTTTTAAGATCATACGCGGAATATTGCAAAGTTGTAGCCGAGCTATATAGTGAAAAACAAATACCACTGACATCGTAATGTGTACGAGAGAGAAGCGCGAGAAGCGTGCAATACGTCTGTTAGAGAGAGACAGAGCACCTCGTTGCCTAGCAACCCGAGTACGAGGTCATTGGTGCCATCGGCGCACTCTTTCTAACATACATATTGGACGCTTCTCGCGCTTCTCTTTCGTACACATTACGACGTCAGCCAAATTTGAACCTCACCGTATAGCTGGGATATATGCTGCAATATGTTCAAGATCGATGGGGTATAGTCGCAATGGTTATAGCCAAATCGGCAACACAATTTTACCTGTTTAGAGGCTCCATTAGGTAAACAATAAAAATGTTATTCCCCATTGAACAAGTATCATTTGCACAATCGAAAGAAAATGTTGTTTGCATCGGCTCGGTATTTACTATTTACCGTTGGCGGTAGTTATATTTTCATTAGTAACCGAACCTAGAATGACGAGTGGATCTGTTAGTCACTGTATTGTGCGAATGCCTGCTTGTTTTTGTTTTTCTCGAACGTCCCCAGTCTCAACACGTGCAATAATTGATCGTCTATGAATGTACGAAAGATTGCAGCGTATCAATAAGCTCTCTCTCTGTCTCTCTCTCTCTAATGTAAAAGAACTTGGTTGAACTTACCGTATTTATAATACCGGTAGAGGAAATATACTATGGATAAACAGCATATACTGCCAAATAAGTTAGGGCAACTCTCAAAATGAATTAAGGATACATCTGTAGGAAAAATAATATCAAGTAGACTAACTTAGTACTTTTCATGCTTTTTCAAGCTTGACACATATTGGGAGTGGAGTTATGGAAAAGTGATATAATTGATTATATTCTTGAGGGAAGGAATACGACGCTGTCTCAACGAAATTCAGCTGCATTTATGCAAAACAAATTTCGACAAAATGGTGCGTATGAGCCACAGGCGAGCAGGCCATTTGCCTGGTGGGCTAATCCATTACAAAGATACGTCCTTATATATACTTCATGATATGGTCACTAGGAAGCGCTGATATCGCGCACACAGCGACGGTTCGTTCCATAGAAAACATCATCAAAAGGGTTATGTTAAATATGGACCTGTAACTTTTGTACATAATTTGAATGTATTTCTAGCTTTGATTTATAACACCTGTTTCATTCATTTTTTGGACTGAATTTTACAGAATGAGGTTGTTTAATATGTTGAATGAAAGTATTTTCCAAATATGCAAAACCTTGTTTTTGTCCGCTTCCATTGTAAATCCTTGTTATGTTAAAAATAATGTTACTTTATTTATTCATCTACCTAATTAATTAATTTTTCCATAACCACCATCAAATTATTTCCTAACACAATAGTTACAATGTTGTTTTCCTGTATTAATCCTTAGTCATCTATTTGCTGTGTCATTATATCAATAAATGAAATACCTATATCAATACACTTTGTGTATGTGAGTAACAAATATAACCGTCAGAATTGCGTCACTGCTTTTGTTTTTAAGACATACCGGATTGAGATGCACATCATTAATTGGAAATCGCCAGGTTGATTGCAAGGAATTCGAATAGATTAGGAGCTGAGCCTATGTTTACATTGCATTGTTTGTCGCCAAAATTGTGTAGTTTTACTGCATACTTTTGCCTCAGTTGACCAAACTGACGACAGAGCAATACAATAATAAACATCTACCTTAGTCTTGGGCAAATTATGTAAGAAGAATAAGAAGAATAGGTCTTGAAATCGTGTAACACTACAATTATTTGGAAACACTAGCACTTTTAAAAAACGACATCAAAAATATCAATTTAGTGACAGAACTGTCAAAAAGTAAAAGGTTAACTGAAGTCAAGTGCACTTTAATCCTCACTACAGGCTATACGAATTAGGAGACAAACAAATCCTTGACTGGCTCCTTCAAACTAGTCTGAATTGGTTGGCTGAATGTTATAAAAAGATGATGAGGACAATTTTTAGGAGGAACAAACAATTTGGCTAATCTTATCATTAAATGTCAAAGTTGGAAAAATTTGTTTCCGCATATTTGAAAAACTGTGAGGTACTGGTATAAGAGTCCACAAAAGAGTTGTAGGAAATGACAAGAATGTGACTTTATAAAAAATTATTCGGGACCCGGGACCTATCAATTCATGGCAATCCGATGCTCCGATAACAATTTTTGGCTTAATTATGATCAAAATTGAATAAAAGTAAATGAAAGTACTCGTACTTTAAAAGGCTGTGGTGCATATTGCACGTAATTTGCGTGTATGAACAAAAAATGGAAGAAATTAGTGCTAGCACAGCATGTGAGAGACGTTGAAGAGCTTAGGATGAACAGACAAAGCTACTTAATAAGAGCTCTGACCAAAAGACAGTCTGTGACACAAACTTCGTACAAAACATTATTAAATGTAAGTACCTTGGCTTGGTCTACATCAACCGTTTTTTTTAGTTGTAAGTTATAAATATGGTGCTAAAAAAAGATAGCAAATGCAGAATTTGCGTGATATTTGCGGGTTTAATTGATTTTTTAGCATGTTTTTATAGCCTAAGTACTTGCCATTCAAGCGATTTAGAAAAATGCTCTTTAGATATAATCATTATTGACAACTGGCATTATACTTGATCATTCCATATCAAATGTAATGTAGTGAAAACTTAAAATGATAGTAATTTTATAAATTAACGTTTATTTAGACCCTAGTGCGATCCAAAACTGAGTTTTGATCGACCATGTTGTAGGCGTAGACGGTTCGACAGCTATTAGGTTGACATTTGATGGCACAACGTTGCCAAGTTTAACATATAGCTTAAAAAATTGAGAAAATATTTATTCATGCTAATGATATAAAAACCAGTTATATAATAATATATTTTAGATAGTTTATGTTTGCACTCATTTTTAATCCCATTTCTTTCATCTACAAACAAAAACATGGGTCTAAAATGGCTGGTCCCAATTCCCGAGATGATTCACCTCTCTGCCACATCGCGCAGTGCGAACGATTTGACGGTCCCCTCCACCCATTTCGCACATAGCAAACAAGAGCCTTCGATATAATACTAACAAGTAGGGATGAAAACGTTATTATTCGATATTAGTTACAATAATGTTAAAAATAAATGAAATCTAAAAAACGATAAACTTTTGAAATTATGTAAGCTCTCGTGAAAATTGTGTAGCATTTTCCTGATTCAAGTAACATCGAAACTTCAATCAAGAGACTTGGAAAAACTACATGTTTTGCTGCTTGACTTTTGAAACTGGGATATTGGATGTTGGATATTACATTTTTGATTATGTTTTGTTCGCAGTGAAAAATAGAAACAATTTTCCCACGCAAACTGATCACATATACGTTACAAGAGCTCTGCATGTTTTGCTGCGTTTGCATAGGCTGAAAGTAAAAATCTTTTTTTGTACGTGCGCAAAGCAAACGGGTTTTAGTTCAGCCGGAAGTGCCGGAACCATACAGTATTTCTGAATACATGAATGGTTCGTTTTAGTGTTTGCATGGGTATGACGTTAGTTGCCCATCTATGTCATTTGTACATATTAAGTATTTGTCATTCTAGAGTTAGAATAAATATTATTATTATTGGATGAAATCTCGTCCTGTTTCTGCCCTTTAGGATCCGCCACTGTCCCTACTGGTTCCCCTACCATTTCTACCCTTTAAACGTAAATACAGTCTACCGCTTACCTCCAAATAGAAATAGTTCTTGAGACTTCCGCAACTGCGGATGTTTGACAGATTGAGGTCGATGACACTGCCTGCGGCCGTGGCCGAAGTGCCGTCGCTCGAGCTGCCGCTGTCCTTTTTGATGAGGGTCAGCGTTTTGTCGGTCAGGCACAGTCTGTAGTTGCCCGTTCTGCCATTGCCTAGACCTCGACTCAGCACAGACACTTGCCACACGTGCTCTGAAACAATACAGATAAAAATCAGAATTACAAGAAAAGTTCAACGTGCACCATCGTAACGATAGTCGGATACCAAAATGGAAGAGGCTAGCATAACATATCGCACGCTACTGCTAGCGCTGCTGTATTTGAATAGGCAAAGTCGGATCCCGTCGTATTCAACGTCACGCCGAGTTAACAGTGACGTAAGAAACAAACAAAAAAATGTACAATTAAAATATTTAAAATAAAAGGTATAAGTTGGATGTTCAACCCAATCAATTAAAGAATAAAAACTGAATGTATAAGTGATGACATTTCATTCTTGCTGTTTTTTTAATAAAAGATTTAATTGTCTTCTTAAATGGGAGTTCCCTTATACTATTGGTAAAAACTTGAATATTTGAAATCCTATACCTGCTGGTTTGCAGATTTATCAACTAATTTGTGACAGTTTATAAAAATTTCACATTCACAGATGTCATATTGACGACAGTATTAAAACACATTTTTTAAACTTCAATAGTGCGTTTTAAATGAAATTTGGAACACATATGTTTTGCTATACGTTCTAATATTTGACTTTTACGAGAAGGGTGAAAATTACCAACACCCCTCCATAAATCATAGCAGAATTTTTTGTTAACAGGCCATCTCGGATAGTTTTTGATAAAAAAATGAGTTGCATCACCAGGTTCCCAAGCGTCTTATTGATTTCAGTCAGCGAAAATAAACAAGTATGATATCACTTATTACAATTTTATTTAATATAGGCAATAGTGCAAAATATTTCATAAAAATATGACCACTATTTTCGTTTCTGCACATAACAATATGGCGTAGAAAATGTTAACACTTGATGTAATAAGCATTTTTTAATCACCAGCTCCGAAAAACTTTTTTATCGAAAACTATACGAGATAGTAGTAGTACGAGTAGTAAATAAGAGGATCTTTTAAATAAAAAAATCAGAGTCGTTGGGAAAGTTGCCAAAAAAATTCTGCCATTATGCAGGTGTGGGGGTAGTTTTCACCATTTTCGAAAACTTTCGGATTTTTTTGTAACAGTCAAATATTAGGACCTATATCTAGTAAAACATAAGTGTTCCAAATTTCATTCATATGGAACTATCTGTTCAAAAAATATCTGAAAAAATGTGTTCTAAAAAGAAAACGTTGACGCCCTCTAACGGACAAACAAAGCACTTTTACATACAGGTAAGACAAAGAGGTAAATCATGACAAATCGACTTATTTTTAGTAAAAAAAATACGAGGTACTTCTTTCTATACACACGGAATATGTTAATCAGCCTTTTTGATTGCAGCTCAAAAAAAACATGTGTTATAGTAATAGTAAGTAGTAATGATAAATTAAATAAAATGTGTGTAGTAGCTCATTAAATCAAGAGAAGCAAGTTATACTTGACGAATAAAAGCTTCATCTTGGAGCTCACGACAAATTTGGCCGGCAATCGAGTTCAGGGGTTTAAATTTAGCATTTACTTTACAGCATAATAAGGGATCGTCATTTGCCATACATGGTCCTTATTGAAAAACCCTTTAGAAAGATAACAAAAGTTTATATTTTTTATTATACTAATTGCTGTTTTGCATAGTTATCGGTAACTGCATGTGTATTTTGACATTCGATAAAATTCATACACAATCAGTTCGTCTGCTAAAGTGCAATATTAATCATTCCTCATCCGTTACTCTTATTTTAATCCTGGTTGTCCATGCACACTTGCGTGAAATGTACTAAAAATACTGATCGGATAAAAAATGTCGGTGGAAAGTTGAATTTGGAATCGAAAACAAAATCTGCGACAAAATCAACATACATGAACGTTTAGTCTAAGCTTTCAATAACATTGCGCTGCTTTTGCTGCAATTTTATGTATACGTATAATTCAACACGTGCGCAATGAAGATACATTGTCGTTTCTGGTTTTATAATGTCAACGGATCAGCGAAGAAATGCTATCGATCCACATGTGACATTGATTTCAGGGTTTTAGGTTCAAACAACCATTGTGTTTAGAGAAATATTGTACGATCAGTTGAAATTACTTGTAAGTAATTTCGGTGGATTTGCTCCAAACTTTGAGGTACGCTCTATGAGAGTTTGTAGAGAACCTCAAAATTATGTTATATCAACATTCTTCTAAGTCAATAAATGAAAATAGGCAAGAAAATTCCACAATTGATGCCTATATCATTGGGAAATATAAACTGAGTGTTCCTCTAAAGCTGGGAGGGCATTTTATGAATGAAAATTCACTATTGGATGGATTGGTGTCAAGTTCGCTCCAGAGTTGAAGTTGTGAAAACGTGTTGAGCAAGTCTCAGCTTTATTTAGTGGCTACATCTACTACTGACAGACAGAAGCCGAGCAAGATACTGATGATGTAAATTTTTATAATGAGTTGGAGTCTGATATTTTGTAAAAATAATTTGTATCTATTATTTATGAACATTATTTTGCAAGTTTAGAGAGGTTTAGTTTGTAAAAGCCATTGAATTTAAATAATTCAATTACTATTATTATTTTCTGAGCATTTAAACAGCGGTTTCATAAGAAAATATTAGAATGAAGCCGTTTTTAAAACATCCACCTTTTGATTTTTATTGCATAAACTATCATTGAAGAAGAGGTCTAGGCTGTTATGGTGGCCTTTATGAAGGTGTGATATTAGTGGAGAAACGAATCTAATCTACTCATATTTTGTCATACTTGCTGTAGTAGACTGAATTATTAAACAGTTGCAACTAAAAAAGTATTCATCCAATGCCCCTTGAAAACATTAAAAAAATGGATTTCAACGCAAATAAATAAAAATATACAGGTGTGCTAATTAACCTTTTTGAATCAAGGATTTTGAGCACACTAAAAACAGTCTTTTCCAAAGAATAAAATTAAAAGTTTTCAATTAGAATACTTATTTTATACCTTATGACTGTATACTTCGTAAAAAGTCCAGTAGCAGTGGAAACGTCAGTAAATTTATATATTTAACATAAGAAATTCTAGTGAACGGACAGGATACGAGATTTATTGAAGGAAATTAGTATTGAAAGGGCGTGTCTGAATATGCTTTGTTTGTGGTTCCATATTGGGACAATTCAAGTTACATAAGGAAAAAGTTGCGCAATCTACATAAATGCATTCGCATCATGGAGTTTACAAAACTGGCTTTTTCCAACATTATTTTTTGAAATAAAATATGATTTTAGTTATTTGGATATTATTTCAAAAGTTTTCCCAGGTATTTGCATTCTAAAATCTGAAGTCATATATAAAATCAACATCGTCATGATTTAAATACGTGTTTGCTTGTTTTGGTCCTCTAAGAAATGTTCGTACAGTAAGAACCACATACAGTAATTGACAAAAGTTTATAGACAAATATGAATATTTACCTAAATACCTTTAGAAAACGAATTCATACTTCATTGCTCCATGAACAAATGCGTTATTAGTACAAAAACTAAATTCCTTGTTTTTACATTATCTTCGATGAACACAATACAAGTCTGAATATAAGCACTTTTTTATGGGGGTCAGTTTCGTGTCAGAAGAGGATTAGTTTGTGTTCATCAAGTATTGTTGAAGTGATTTTAAGTCCATGCCGCGTGGTCCAGAAATTTATTTTGATGTGAAAACTAAGATCATTGAGTTATACAAAGATGGTCAACGTCAAGTCGACATTGCCAAAAATTTGAAGCTGAAGCGTAAAGCGGTTTGGGCAATATTGAACAAATATAAACAAAAAGGTATCTTGGAAGCCTCCAAGAGGGTCGGCCTAGAAAACTAAATGCTAGATCAGTTAGATTAGTAAAAGCAATTTCGTCCAAAGATCTGTCTAAAACCTCAAGACAAATAAAATCCAAAATCGAGACAAAAGGAATTGTCAGTGTTTCTACGAAAACTATAAGTAGAAGATTAAATGATTTGAAGTTATTTGCACGTCGCCCGAGTAAGAAGCCGCTAATCTCGAGGAAAAACCGTAAGGCCTGATTACAATTTGCACGGTTGCATCTTGATTGGAGCATCTGTGACTGGAAGAGGGTATGTTTCTGTGACGAATCCAAGTTCAATATGTTTGGATCAGATGGTATTCATTACGTTAGACGTCCTAGTGGACAAAGATTGAACCCCAAGTACACTTTGCCCACTGTCAAACATGGAGGCGGGTCTGTTATGGTTTGGGGGTGCTTTTCGCTTTACTAAAGCATGTCATGTTACCCTATATGGAAGACAATATGCCCTTAAGATCAATCTTCCAGCAAAATAATGACCCGAAGCACACTTCAAACCTCGCAAAGAAATTCTTTCTGGATGAAAAAATACCAGTTCTCTTCACAGTCTCCCGATATAAACCCCATTGAAAATCTATGGGAATACAGATAAGCAAATACGAGATAAAAATTATTCAAACAAGGATGAACTTTTTGCCGCTTTAGAGCAAAAGTGGAGACAGATTGATGAATCTTATATCAAGAAACTTCTATAATCTATGCCGAGACGATGATTGATAATAATGGTTATGCTACAAAATATTAACACAAACATGGTTTGTTTTCTGTAATTCAATGAACTTTGCTTCATTTTCTATAATTGTTTTGCTTTGTCTATATATGTTTGTCATTCATAGTTCTAGTTTTTTCAATTATTTTTTTATTGAAGGGAGTCTAATGAATTTATTTATGTATAAGTGAGTATTATGCTATAAAGAATTATGTATATAGGTTGGTGTATTAATAAAACAAGTTAAAAAGAAAATACAGCACAATATTAATTTGTCTATATACTTTTGTCCATTACTGTATGTCTTTGGAAATGGAAATGTTTGAGGATTATAAAAAATTCTGTGGATATGCGTCATTATACTCGGGTACCGAAAAGGAATAGAGCAGCAAAACACATCGCCCGCACAATGCTATCCAATCCTTATTTTGGTCAAAGCAATTGACATATCCAGTCACAAACTCCAAAAGTTTTTAGGAAAACTCGTAACTA